AATTATATTATTAGCAAATTTTCTTACTAGGCAGCTAGTGAGAAAAACTGTAAGTAGGCGGCACATCACTTTGTATTTAGGACCGGGGACTTCACATAATCGGGTTAGTCAGTTTCTGTTAAATTGATTAAACTTACATTAGTTGCATTGAATTAATTGTGACTCAGTTTTTCCCCTAAACAAGGTAAAATAATATCAGTTTAATAGTTCCACTCAGTTTTCGCATGATCAATCAGCAGCCAAAGACGGCTTAACTAAGTGGTATCCTAATTGAATTTATTTTACCGATGCTGTTTTTGTGCATCATATTACTACAAAAGCAATTATCCTAACTTTTGTCTCTTAATGTCTTATTTCATTTCATTGACCAAGTTCTTGGTGGATATGTGGAATGGGTTTCGACAATGTATTGTCGAGTTACTGTAGTTATTCTTGTTCGTAGCACAAGTGGATTTGACTACAAATTCACTTTAGAAGTCATCTAAAAAACCGATGTATTTGTTGTGCAATCAGGATAATGTAAAGAAGCCCTTTAAGTCTGAACCAAACAAGGGCGAATCAACAAAAACTTAGTCAGTTATATATTTGTAAGTAACACCAAATCTACTTCATTTTGCCACTAACTTTTGGAGTTCGTGAAATTAACTTGGCAATATATTTATTTATTTATTTAAACACATATATATTGGTACAAAAGGGCACCAGGTACATATGCGCCACACAAAATAATGAAAGTAGGAAGAGAAGGGATGAAAAGATAAGGCGGACTAAAATGTACAACCAGAAGACTCTTTCAAATAGGAAAGTAAGAACCATACTTTATGTAGAAAGTAAAAGAAGGTTGCAGCAGGATCGCCACTGGTTTCTATTCTGAGCCATATCTGATAACGTCTCTAGCCACTGTGTTGCACCATCTCTCGGACCCCAACCAAGGAGTCGTGAAGGACCAACAGAAGCTAGCCCTTTGCAGATCTCTTTCATGCCACGACACCATGTCATACACTGACCTCCTCTCCGCTCCTTCCAACCAGTCCCAGGGTCGGCAAATAATGCACGACGTGGAAGTCTCTGGGACGACATTCGTAAAACATGTCCAAGCCACCGAAGTCGGTGTTTCAAGATGGTGACACCAATTGAATTATCGTCTCTGTGCCCGAACACACGATGCCGAACCTCTGCATTACTAACATGGTGTTGCCACTGGATGTCAGCAATCCTTCGGAGACAACGATGATCGAACACAGAGAGTCGTCTAACATCCTCAACTCGGAGAGGCCAGGTTTCACAAGCATAGAGCAAAACTGCTCTCACCGACGCGTTGTAAATCCGACTTTTTACAGCCAGACTAACATCACGAAGGCGCCAAAGATGGCCCAGATTGGCATAAGCCGATCTGGCTTTCCTTATACGTGCATCAACCTCATCACTCACGCCACCACCAGCACTTATATAGCTACCTAGATACACGAACTTCTCAACTACTTCAATCTCCTCACCATCCAGGGTGAGTACAGGATTAGAATCCTGCCAGTCTTGTAGAAGTACTTTGCACTTGGAGGGTGCAAAGCACATGCCGTACCTGCGGACACTGATTGCCAACCGATTAAGTGCTGATTGCATGCCTTGGGCATTATCGCACAGTAAGACAATATCATCCGCATACTCAAGGTCGAGAAGTCGTCCTCCAGGCAACAGATCCACACCGCCATTACTTACATCCATCAGAGCTGTTTCCAAGATGTCGTCGATGGCAAAGTTGAAGAGGAATGGTGAGATCGGGCAACCCTGCCTAACCCCACTGCTCGAATGGAACAAGGGAGAAAGGTGGTTGTATGCCCTCACTCTGCCTGAGGTGTTCGTGTACAGGGCCTTTAAGATGTTAATGAACTTCTCAGGCACACCCTTCTTCAATAGACAATCCCAGAGAACAGTCCTGTCCAACGAATCGAAGGCAGCCCTGATATCAAGAAACACTACGATTGTTGGCCTGCGATAAGTATGACGGTGTTCTAACATTTGGTGGAGGGTGAAGATGTGATCAATGCATCCTCGACCAGAACGAAAACCAGCCTGCTACTCGCGAGTCAATCGTTCTCGGGTTTTAAACAACCTACGAAGAATGATAGAAGCCAATAGTTTGGACGCAATCGGAAGTAGACTTATCCCCCGATAGTTATTGCAGGAACAACGCGAACCCTTTTTAAAGATAGGGACGACTATTGACTCATTCCAAGATGTTGGAACACTTTCTTCCTCCCAAACCTTTCCAAACAACACAGTCAATTCCTTAGTCAGAAAGTCGCCACCATCTTTAAAAAGAGCCGGAGGTAAGTCATCTGGGCCAGGTGATTTGTAACGTTTCAAGAGTTGGAGTTCCTTGCGGACTTTCGCCTCGTTTGGTGGATCAGTCGTCACCGGCCATGGGGGGCAGGACAAACTAGTTGATCTTGCCGGAGCAGCAGGCCAGTTGAACTGCCCTTCGAAAAATTCCGCCCATCGTCCAAGACGTCGACAGATGTTAGTGATTGGCATCCCATCATCCACGTAGATTGTTTCACTCACACCAGACTTCTTGCTGCCAGTGGCTCGGATGAGTTGGAAGAGCTTCCGGCAGTTACCAGATGCAGCTGCTGCTTCCATCTCATTAGCACGCTCCGACCACCAGGCTTCCCGGTCCTTACGCAAGCTTTGCCCAATTTCACAGCCTTCGTTTGTGGTCAAACTCACGGTCACCCGGAGTAGACCGACGGGCTTCCATCAGTTGTAAGGAGCCAGAAGAAACCCAGTGCTTGTAAGCGGGACGTTTCGCGAAGCCGCAAGCGGCTTTACTCGCCATTTTCATGGCGTCGTGAAGATGCAACCAATGCTCATCTATACTTTTCGGTGGGATGGTAGCTAGCCTAGAGGCTAGCTCCGCTCGATACTTACTTGCAACAGGAGTTGCAGCCAGTTTACTAATATCAATCCGTTGGTGGTGGTCAATCCTTCGGCCACTGAAAAGTAAGGTGAGATTGGCGCAGACCAGGGCATGATCAGACTCCAGATAGGTACTCCAAAAGGAGCGGCAGTCTTGTACACAACCACGCCAGCGGTAGCTGATCGCGATGTGATCAATCTGAGTCCAGGCTTGGGATGCAGAGGGAGGACGCCAGGTGGCACACTGGCGATGACAGTGCCGGAAGTTGGTGCTGGCCAGAAACAGGTTGTGGTCTGTGCACAGTTGCAGCAAACGGTCCCCGTTATCTGTCCTGCGACCAACAAGTCCCCATCGGCCACCTAGACGACTCTCTTCTATGCCTAGACGCCCGACCTGTGCATTCAAGTCTCCGGCTAGTACTACAATATCTGTCGAACGCGCTTTCTGGAGAACTGTTAACTGATGGTAAAACTCATCCTTGATTGCATCCGGGCTGCAATCTGTCGGAGCATAGGCGGAGATGACAAAAAGACACCGTTTCTCACGCCGGTTTCTTCTCACTTTGATGGAACTTTCTAATCTAACAGCACATAACCGACTGTTAATGGGGATCCAATCGATCGACAGATGGAGAGCGGATTTGTAGTACTTCACTAGAGTCTTGAATACGGGTCTCGGATAGACAACAAACATCAACATTAAGACCTTCCAAAGACATAGCCAGCCCTATCTGTTGTCTGATCTGCATTAGTGTGCGAACGTTGAAGGAAGCCAGCTTGAACGGCGTACGTGGTTTCAGAAAGACTGCCTCAGTAATCATTATCGGTGGAAGCATTCACTTTCAACCAGACAGTGACTGGAGATCGTTTAGATAAGACAGATTTTCCACCAAGAGCGAGCTGCTGCATAAGTTGAAGAGTAAGGTTACACAAATTGGGGGTAAAAGGGGGTGAATTAGCGATATGGTAAATAATAATAATAATAATAATAATAATAATAATAACAATAATAATAATAATAATAATAATAAAGGTAATAATAATAATGTGAATTGTCTTGCTTATAATATGAGCAGGAATAGAATCGTCAATAGAGTTAGTCATTTCATTCATTTGTGTGTGGGCTGTGATACTGCCCGGGTGCCCAAACCGAAGCAGGTGGTTTTCTTAGGGGGCCACACCCGGAGCCTTTGACCTAAAGGTCTGATCCACAAGGCAGTGGAGCATCGTGAGGAGATGCAGTCCCATGGTAGTCGTTGACCAATGACAGGTTCTTCCGCCATTCGTTCCATCAGGAAACTGGAGCCCATGTGCACCATTGGTTTGGAATCAGGGTTTTCCAACTCCCCTAGGTGGACCCTCCGTGTCAATATATATAGTGAGATTTTTCCCTACACATATTTACCAAATGATGCCTATAAAAAGGTGGTTTTGGACATGTCATTGCTTAGCTCAAAAAGCCTTTATTAAAGTTTATTACAGATAATTATTCACCAGGTTACAAACATTATGGATCAGCAATACACTAAGCGGTGGAGTAGCATTTGCGCTCAGAATGACCACAAACGGTTAACTACAAACATTTTCACAACCCTAGTAGCCTGAAATTTACTGGACAACGATTCTTTGTGTTCAATCTTGGATAATCAACCTGTGACCTGCTTTCATAGCAAAGTATTTAGGTCGTTTTACTCAGTATACCACCTGTACTTGACTACTGTTCACCTTTATCGATGTGAACAAAAATGGTAACACGAATTCAAAAAACAAAGTTAAACATCGAGAGTTAACTGACACTGGTCACAAAGGCGTACTACAGGGACACAATAACCCCAGTAGTGACGACCAGCACAGCCATTATTCTGCAACTTCTCATAATATTTAAAATAGCTGGATGTAGAAGACCTTCAGCCCTTGACATATTGACAGATAATTGCGATCAAGACCTCAATCATGTGGTGGTCACAGAAACAACTATCGGATGTCTTCAGTTTGGGCACCTGGGCAGTATCACAGCCCTCAAGCAAATCGAATGGGATTTGTGTGGCGCATATGCATTTGATGCTTCCTTGTACCAATATTTATGTGTTTAAATAAATAAAAATAAAATCGGATGTCTATTCACACATTGCCTTGCGCTATGGTCAGACACCCTGGTGAATCGATAGTTTGCAATGATGTCCATTAATTAGTAATGAATATATCTTAACACCATGGCTTTTACAAAGATTTTGGAATAGTTTTTTGTTCGTGACTTATAGCCGATGGTGCCTGACAGCAGCCTTTAGAAGCCTGAGCAAATTTCGAAGCCAATATGAAAACCAGTGTTTAAACTAATTAAAGACTGATAAAATTATACATCTATGTACTTAGGAGTTATAGATGCAGTAATTAACTATATCTTGCCTATTTCAGATATTGAGATACCTTGTTTAGAAATCGTTTTGGTGTGATATGCTCCTGACTAAACTTAGAATGATAGCAGTTTAGTGAACATATCGATTTACAATTCTCTAAGTAAGAAATAACGATAGGTATACATGACGTGTTGGCTACAAGACATGGTTTACCAGTGCGATAACCTTTGTAACACATTTACGAATGGAAGACTACTACGGCATTTATGACCACATTCCGAAAGATCGTAATAGTATTACCTACAGATCGAGATCATCATCATGACTATTAATGAATGCAGACAGCTAGATATTAGAATCATCTGGAAGGTAATAACCATCGATGAGAACAAGTCCTCGAATAAATTGCCAGGTACCGAGATGCATTGCACAAAATACGAAGACAGAAATCCCTACGTGGATTTTCAACCAAACTGAATACAAATGCGTACATACGCCGTCACACTTTCTATGCACTGGGCTAAGGAAGTTGTATATCACTTCTCTTTTAGCTTCTTTTATATTTTGACTGTTATGCAACGTAAACAAGCAGCAAATCTCTGTAACAAGTATGCTTCATATCAAAAATGAATTTCACTTCACTAAGTTACCTCCTAAGAAGTTATCCGGACGATTGAAATAAACAAGACTTTTCCTCCTACCCAATACGAGAATAATTCTGAACTTAACTGCCGGTAGATATACTGGTATGGAAAAGTAGTTCATGACTTATTGCCCTGTACTATGTTACGTGATAAAAAGCAGCATAAGACATGACAAATCAACCCACATTGTACTCTAGGTGGTAACTGGAGCACGTTTCTCTGAGATCCAACATGCAGGCTTCCTGAAAAGAAGCAGCATAAACTTGATTTATTTGCTTACTAAAGTTTTCGGGATGCTTACAACCACTAATTACATGTGACTTGCGATCGCAGTTACGGTGGGCACAATCCACGTGACGCCATGTTAAAATATTGAGTCTGCTAATTAAAAGTTTGGTCGACAATGACATTGATATGAGATCCACACATCCTTTACCTAGTTACAATAGCGAATAAGGGGTGTCATTAACGGCAGTTCCCAACGATGAAGTAAAAAATATGTCATGAAAAAATTATATTCAGATACGCAGCAGCAGCAGCAGGTCGAGGGTAGCCTATTTAGTCACAAAATTACAATCTATTTTATAAAGGTCAATGTACATATCACTGCAAGTCATTTAAAGAAGATAACAATGTTTGACAAATGTGAGAGATTACAGCACTTTGGATTAATTTTTCTTCGAACTTCCTAAAGGCTTTCCTTTATCTTTACCCCTCAATTTAACTCCCAGAGCCTTCTCTAATTTCGAGATAATAGCCTGGTTTTTTACTGCACGACCTTGTTCGTAGTCTGCAATTACCTGTAGCAATGAGCAAACACTGAATATTATACCTGTTGTTTCTCGTTAATTTTGGTAGCCAAGTCTTTTTGTGTTAGGTTCTTTTCCCCCCTTGCCTGCATTATAATCTTACCAACATCCATGTCAACCAAATCATGGTGCAGATCCTCTGTATCCTCCTCTAGCTTAGCTGTGCTTTTCTCGATTGTCCGCTGCTTGTTTTGACCAGCAGCCCATCGTTTGTGAGTTTCAATGTGGTCACCACGGCGTTGTGCCGCACTAAAAGACTATATTTCTAAAATATCAAAAGAGTAAACGGAGTTACGGAATTCGACTTAAGCGTCACTGTACGGGCACCCTCCATCGACAAATAGTGCACATCGACATTTACGAAAATTATAACAACTGCGAAGGTCACACTTGTATGAGCGGCTATTCCAACAGTCGTAATACATAATCCATGTGTCTGATGTTTGTGATTTTTGGAAACAAAATGTAAGCGGCGTTGTAATTGCTCGAAGCATTCTAAATTATTGAAAGTGAAACTTTCAACTCTTTATTTTTAGTATTGTATGCATAACTAATCACGTTTTTGTTCAAGTTGCTTCAGATTGTTGTGTGAAGGGTAAAATTGGTCGTACAATCGTTTCGCACCTTTAGAACCACGAAAGGATGTGGATGCAAACTTAAGGATGTGAAGTTGACACAACTCGGTAGTAAATAATACCCCAAAATGTGGAAATAATATATGTAGTAATATATAACTAAATCAAATAAATAGCCTTATAGATATACATGATGATGATCCTTCTCAAGTGAAGGGAAGGGGTCAGATATTATGGTAATACACTGGGACAGCTCATGTTCGGAAACGTTAAAATGTGTTGGTCTTACGAATATTCCAGAGTAAGAAATTTTGATCAATAAGCGTAACTAGGAAGTGGTATCTAAAGCGTGTTCAATAGTACAGTCCACAATTCAGGCATAGCGAAGGAATTAGTAAGATTTGTAAGATACACATATTTCTGCTATTCCAGACGGAAAATACTAGCGTCTCCGTATAGCTGGCACTTTATCGTAGATGGGGTAACTCATGGTTTTAGAATCGTCACTTTTTATATTCCTGACATCCGCAACAAAAAATACGACATTGTTAGCCTGTGGTTTCATCTTTGTATTTGACACTGATAGACGAAGGGTGAATTTCTATAATTAGAGATTTGTTGTATGATGATATTTCAAGATGATATGTCTACATAGTTTTACCAACATCGACAAGGTCGTGACGATTTCGAACTTCCTGAGGTAGCTTTACCGAAACAATAGTTTCGGTTGCCCGAAGTCTAATTCTGCTTTTGGACGAACGAATGAGTATCCCTTTAATATAAATCTTACTTAGGCAGACGTCAAAAACGAGAAAGGGAAGAAGAAGCGGAAAGGAAAAACATATCAGCTCACCGTTAATACCCATTAAAAGCACCGATGTGGCTCAAAGCAGATACTGCTTGGTGTGACAAAGCAGTAGTACCCTGAAGTCCATGTACACCATTGGTCAGGAATCAGTGTATACCAATCCCTCCACAAGTGGATTATCCATACTCAGTGATGTGTGGGTGAGAATGATAATGATTGGTTGTTTTGCTGGGTCAGACATGTAGATAATGTGACAGGTGTTATGTGTTATATATTCCACTATCCTGACTATTATTGATTGACTGTTCCTTGTTGTTGGATTGTGTCAAACCTTGGTGTGGAAATATATTGACGTTCTAGTCAGTATAATCTTGTATTCTTGATCTGAGTTGTGTTGAAATCCTGTATAGTAGACACTGAGAGGGAATCTAGTGTAGATATTCGTCTAAGGTAAATTAAAGTCTTACATACGTATAAAAGTGAAAGGACTGTTATAACAAGAAACCCTAGCGTTATAACAAGTATCCTACATTTATAACACCCACAAACCCCGTTAACGCACCGAACATTCGCTTTTCGTCCGCTCAATTTCGTCAACATCGGTAATGCTGCGTGAATGCGGTGAGTAGGATTTCCCTGATAGTGGCAGTATATGTGTGGCCACGTGAGAGCATTTTGGAAAAAGGGAAGATTGTCCCCAATCTCGACCGTACCAGGGCATCCGGAGGTGACGTTCAGGCTCATCCGGACAGCATCAATGTCGAAAACTTAACGAAATATCTTTGGGGGGGGGCCTTTATACTGCTACCCAGGACTAGGTCCACGATTGTTCAGTACAACACGCTTCATTTTAAATGAATCAATCATACAGTCGTCAAACGTTTCTTCATTTGTTGCAACAGATGACAACTCTGGGTGATGACCTCATTCTACACATATGTGATCAGAATTATCAACACTACCGTCAATAAAGGTCATTCTAGTATAAGTAAAGATCCTTGAAACAACTGAGAGAAAAACAATTTTCCCATATTGCACCTATGCAAAGAACAGTCTTTTTATGGCACATACGACTTGATGAATTTCGATCAAACAAACATATGTGTAACTGATGGACATTTAGAACATGCGTACAACTGCCAACGTATTGGAATCTCAAAAAACTTGAAAATGGTACAGGAATGTGCAATATGTAGATAATAAATGAGTGAACAAAAATCACTATCGTTGAGTGCAAAGCTTCAGTACAGTGGTAAGGTGATGATAGTAGATAATGCAAATTAATGAGCAGTTGTATTTATAGTAAAAGGCAATAACGAGCAACATTTATTGACCAATGTGAGCAGTATGTCCGACACATTATAAACTGAAAAACGTGACACCATAAAAACATGTCATCATCTGATAAACAATAATAAAGCGCCGGGAATTATTAAAAACTTATCTGACACTAGCATAGATGGAATTAAGACTAAATCCATAATATGGATTTTGTCTGGCTCTGAGAAAATAGGACGCCCTCTGTTATGCCTTATGTTTTCTCATACTTACCATGACGAAGTTGCTAGAAAAAAGTTGCATCCATACTTGTCTGATTTATAGAGTACGAGTACACCCCAATATGTGGCTCAGATAATGCATCCCTGGATACATTTGACGTAAAGGCATCGAGAGCAGGCAAACTTCTGTAGTGACCGGCCAGTCTCGATAAGAACACGATTGGAATAACAGAAACAATTATTATTATTGTAACCAATTGTACCAGAGATTGTTTTACTGTATTTGTTTAACTGTATCAGTTTCACTTCTGATTTCGCTCTCCGCCTTGTTTGGTTCGAACTTGTTCACGCACTGCTCAATTTGCCTGTACTCTTTGGCACGTCTCGGTATTATTTCGATACCACGAGATCGCCAATAAATACAATTGGTCAGGATTAATAAAGCCTTCTGATTTACGAGCTATCAAAGGAACCAAGTCGTTTTTGGGCGCGTAAACGAATTGTAGTGGTGATCATAGTTCGTCTTCGACTCGACATCCACTACACTTCTGCCATCATATTTCAGGGGCTTATTATACGGATTATTAAAAGGCCGTATCCCAATACAGACAAAAAAATCACTGTTTGCTGATAACCAAGTAAAACACGCTAGAGCTTTGGAGGAAGACCAAACAATTATTCAGTGATAAATTAACGAGATATCAAAGTTCGTCCAGCCACTACTCTGTTTAAAAGGTTTTGAAAATAATTGCCCGGGAATTACGATGGCTTAAACACATGAAAATCATAAATCCCGACAGTTAATTTTTTCCCTGAATGAATCTGAGTGATTTTTCAGGTTAGTGAGGTGAACTGTCACTAAAATTCTGTCATCCAGTGCATTAGAATTACAATAGGTTGTCGCTCTTTATAAACTAATCGGTTTCTCAACTCTGCCTAAGACTCCAACCAGTAAAATAAACCTTATTTAAACCGTTTATCAGACTGATTATTCAATGAATGTCATAATTCATACGAGAAAAACCATTAAAACATAGAAACGAAAGCTTTATATATTTATAAGCAACTCCCTAAAACGTCTAAACACTCATACGCTCTGGAGAAAGAAATACTTCATTTGTAATTTTTTATCGCAGCACTTAAGAAATGCAGTTACTTCTTCGTCACTCAGGATATTAGATCGTCAAGCTTTTTTTAAATAAGTTGACGAAACAATATGGATTTGGTTATTATGAAAGAGATAAGCCATTGGTAAAATGATTTAATGCCATAATGAGAGCACTATATGAGCCAGAGGCAAATAAAATTCACAAAATGTTGCTTAGGATTTTTTTATGGTTGAACCGTTGCAGACTAGTGAATCTAGCAATCCGGGCAGCCTGCTCGAAAATATGGGCTACCTTTTCCTGCTATCTAGATATTCGAACAAGTTACCTGCTTCCTTGTTTATTTGAACAGATTATTATGTCAACTAATTGCACAACCTAGAAAAATGCGTTTCTGAAAAGCTTACGACCTTTCACCATACAACTTAAAAAATTTACAGTCGTAAAGCCACTAGCGTTCGCGCACCAAACTGAGAGCCCTGGGTTCGAGTCACACATACGAGATCGTTGATGTGGACTGTTGTGGAGTCCCATGCTCAGACGAAGCTGCCATCCAGTGCTTAGAGATTTTCAATGGTTGTGTATCATTCATCCATTCACGATATTTATTTAAACTCAACAATCTCGACATCCATATACTCATGCTCTTATTGTTTCAATCTTTTGTCCCGTCTCTCTTTTACCATTTAGCAATAATATGCGTAACCTTATTTTATATTTCACAATAATCTTTATCTAAGTCATCCTATCCGGCTTTAATTAAGATTCGCCTCTATAAAAAGTTTTTAAATGGAAGTTCAATCCTATTGTCTAGTCGCTCCCAATGATCGCAGGCTTAATACACATGTCAACGTGAATGCAAGAGAAAAGGTGCACAGAGTGGAAAGGAGCTCAACTCCAAGTTTTGGTGTGTTTACATGAAAGCAAGAGTATTTATGGCCACACAAGACCTTGAGCTTTTGGAAAATTCTCAGACCATACTAAATATTGTGGATGCATAGTTAAATATCCAATCAAAAACCTGGCCGAAGGTTCAAAATTATTCAGATATTTCTATTCAAAGTTAAGTAGTCAATAAGTCTTCTGTCTTTCCTGAGCCCTTAAAGACCCTGATTAGGGGTATTTTCGGGTATCTTCCAACGCTTTTATTTAATTGTTCTGCTACGTGATGTCAGATCATTGACATAAGTTCTTGTTAAGCTAAATTCAAGATGATGTCATGGAGTGGTTGGTCGTTTGGTTATTGAAACTGTTCGCGAATACTTACAGATGAGGTAAATTCGAAAATGCGTCGAAAGTATTCCAGTGTGCGAGAACAGCATCATTTGACAATTGCTGATTATACGTACTCATGAAATCCATGTACGGAGTAAGCACTCTGTTTTCTCTTGGGCCATCCAAGTAATAATGCCGTTCAGATGCCAACTCCAGGGCAACATGGTTTTACAGGAGATTGTTGTCACCAGTAAAATGTACGTCTACCTTTGTTATACAGATATTCAGATAAATGTAGGAGATGCTGAACTATATGAACATACATTAAAATGATTTTTCAATGGAATGTACGTTTAGCGGCTGTAATGTTGTAATAAATTATTCAGTAATCCCGGATCGCTTTCGTTTTCTCAGCAATTCGGAAAGAAAAGCCGCTATTGCTAATTTGTATAGATACCTACTACATGTTTATGTAATCCTACATGTGGCAAGCTGGTGCATATGTATCAGCAAGTAATCTCTCTGATTGTAGTCTCGTTCTACCGTTTAGTGTAGTAATTTGGCTTAAAAACATCTGGATTGGCATTCACATTTTGAAAAATAAATTTTTTCATGCAATTACTTATCCAGCGCTCATTTTTATCGATTTAAACAAGTACCGCGATAACGCAATAAATGCCAAGGAAACCCCTTCAGCTAGCCTTTTTGCAATGTCACTTTTCATATCAAACCTTTGGTGAGTTTCTATTACTTCACATAACTAGATATGAAGATCTCGAGCCCTTTTATCTAGATCGGTAATGCTATTTATTTAATATATCCTTGTTTTCACTGTAAGTCGTCCTGATTGAGTTCAATTTTCTCAGGCTTACTAATTACAGTTTCTTTTGTGGTGGATTAAAAAATATATGAACTCAAAAATGATAACAGTGTTATTTAGTACAAATAGTAACGTTAATATATATCATTTAAGTGTTATAAACACAACACACAGGTTTGCACGTGTTCACATTGAGTATGGTACAAAAGACCATAATTGTAGATGATCGAAGATTCCAATAAGATTGATGTCCTCCCAGTGGTATAATCAAATGTAGAATATGATATATTCCGATTACAGTCTATAAATGTAGACAGTGTTTGGTTTAGAGTTTCGTTAACACAATCGCGAGTGAATGAAGAACAAGAGCTGTTTATTTGTTAGCAATTAACAGCGTGTGTCATAATATGATTGTAACACGACAGAAGAAAAAGTGGTCAACGTCATATGCTTAAACCACACGTACAAACACTCAATGATAAGTGTACTTGCAGTGAAAAATTGACAGAATAAATACAAATAACATCAAAAACTATCTACAAAATACGTTTGTCAGGTATATTTCCACACTTTACTCCAGTACTTACCGTCGTCTATATTGCTCATGTCATAGACTGAGTTGACACCATCTTGCACATCATCATGGGACTTTTTCAAAGCTGATGTAGTAATGAATAAATCCCCAAAATCAATAGCTCTCTAAGTATTCGACATTGGATGCTGACCACATTAGTTTTAGTGGTCTCGTTTGGCTGAAGGCTCCTGGTCATGCATCCGTACCAGATCAAGTTAAAGAATAGCGTGGGAAGCATCGCCTACGATCATTAGCCAGATAAGATCAGTTACCGTTCGATATATTGATAACGCATCGAATATATCTTCCAACCTCCTCGCTTCTGACTTCTGATTTTAACTGGGTGGGCGTGATTCGATTATAGAAGGCGTTAGTGATAAAGAGTTGTCAAACAATAATACTGGTAGTATCTTCACTGATATTGTTCTCTCATAGAATTGATTATAGACATATGCTTAGATGTCAGAAATGGTAATACCCTCTAAAATCCTTTCCCTTATAGAGAATATTTTTGAAATAGTAGTTGGTAAATTGTTGATAAACTTTGTGACTACCGTGAACATGATATATATTAGAGAAATATGAGTTTATCAAATTGCCTAGAATTTTCCACTGGTTTTTAAAATCGACCTTCAATTTATTAGTCAAGTATTTTGGAACCCACAGTCCGAGGAAATGATAATGCATGAGATTCATAAATGAATATCCACTAATATATGTGCATAAGTATAAAAGTTCAAAATTTTTAAGATTGAAAGGTCACGCTCGAGAAAATAAGTATAGTGGGCATATGATGATAGTTATAAGGAAGTATGCTAAATTACAAGTTCAAAAGGCATTTTAAAGGATTAGAATGATACGTTTCATTCGTCGGATAAAAGTGTGTTGCATGTAGGAGTGATAATTGCCATTTGAGCATCGTTTCAGTTTAGAACACTAATGAGCATGGACAGAAATAAGAGCGAATTTTTAAGTATTCAGAACCTGTAAACTATGGAATTCGGCGATTAAAGGGATAGCGATGATACATTTTGCAAACTTTTAAAAAATGTTTGGGACAACCACTTTGGTTCTGGTGGTACCAAGGGAAACTGCTCAAGATTCTTCCTCTACCACACCTATAATTAACTATTTTGTCGTTCTTCACACTTTTTGAAGAGCAAACTCGAGTTATACCGCTTTATAACGGAGAATCTCTTAAAGCATCCTGGAATCAGCTTCTAAAAACAAACTATTTCGTGTTTCTGTCCATTGAGGTTTGTACTCTAGGTCATCGATTGACCTTGGCAGTAGTTCAGTTACTTACATGTGATTAGATGGAAAAGTTATCTCGGGTGCATACGGGATCATTTGACTTCTTTGTGAAGGAGGGTCTCAGTCGATTAGTCAAGGTATTCCAAGAGTAATCATTCGGATTATCCCTATAGCATTTACAACCACTGGAATTCGACAGTGGAAGTGATGTCGTCGAGTTCAAAGTACAGGTGAGATAGTTTTGGTTGGTAGGTATGATTAGCAAAGTTTATAGAAGTAGCTCCCCCCGTCGATTCAGATAACAGATCTACACTACTTTATCCCAGTGAGGTTAGTACATGCTAGTGTTGGCCTAAATTATGTAGTGCCGGAGGTCAGGACTAACTTATGGAGGAGAGTTAAAGTTGAGTGTTCGTGTTTCTGTAAATGGTTCACCTTTGGGAGTTTTGGATGTTCCATGTGGAGTTTTACCTATCATGGTCATGTCTCGAGCATGTAACCTATCGTCTCTGCCACGCTCACAATTCTATTTACATGGCGAAGAATTCAAAGAGATTGGTGGTTATTTCATAGTCCACGGGAAGGAGCGTGTTCTTAGGTTGCTTATTATGTCAAGACGAAATTATGTAAGCCTCCGTTTGTCGCTAATTGTAATATATAGCCATTAGCCATCTCCAGATCAACTTTCAAGAAGCGTGGACATGGTTACACAGAACATGCTATAGTGATGAGATGTGTGAGAGAAGATGAAACAGTCTCAGTAAGTTACAGTACATTTAATGCGTTTAAGTAATAATTTATTTACACAGCCCATTAATTTCAAGACTTCAAAGTCTTAAGTTAACTAATATTTATTCTGACTGGTCATAGTTCTTAGTTATCAAGAGCGATTTGAATATATCCTATCATAAACCAAAGCTTCGCAAGTAGTCGCAATATTTTGCCCGTTCCAATGCATTAGTTGCCGAAGATACACCTGAATTGTTCTGTTCTCGTTTCAGTGATCCGAGCACCATAGTTTAGGCTGGAATGAATGTTTTCTCTTCATTTCCTCACCTGTTTTGTGCCTGTTAGTGTAATGACTTTTCGTATGTTTGTAATACCGAAAATCTGCTGACTGTCATAGTTATTTCGACAGTATCAGACTTATCTCTTTGCTCATTGAGATAATTAGTAATTGAAAAGGTTAAATGCTCTTGATAGTGACTTCTTTATAACTATTTTCTCACTATCAGAACCAAATATTTGATGCTTTTGGGTTATAGTCTGTATTTTCGGCTTTAATGTTAGAGAGCCCGATTTTAAACCAGTGTATTTTTTCCCAAGGTTTATACTCATTAACTAGTTAACGAAGAATTTCTGTTGTTAAATCTGTGGGACTAGTATTATGATTATGATGCTTCGGTTTGTGCACCCGGGCAGTATCACAGCCCACACACACAAATAAATGAACTGATGAATTCTATTGATGATACTATTCCTGCTCATACTAGAAGCAAGACAATTTACATTATTATTATTATTTACCATATCGCTAACTCACCCCCTTTTATCCCCAATTTGTGTAACCTTACTTTTCAACTTATCGTTGCTGCTACCTTGACGTGGTGGTCGGGCTTGCCTATCGTGATGAAGCAATCGAGCTATGCTGGCTGGAACAGTCGTTCCTCGAGGTCCTACCATGCCAGACAGGTCGGTTGAAGAGCGGTGAGACTAAAAGCAGCAAACCCAAGGTCCGAAGGCGAAGTCGTACTGCTGACTGTACAGAGGTGTGACGGCAGTAAGGTGTTTCCTTCAGACAACCAGCATGACAGCGATGCTGCCTTCCCACAAGGAGGGGTGGGGTTAGAAAAGGTCGACCCTAAAAATGCACACCTCGCCTTATCCCACGGATTTCCGTCTCCGGCGGTAAGGTTTTTTTTTTGAAGAACGGAGCTAACACAAAAACTACCCACAAAAAGGTCGTGTGTGACCGACCTCAAGCAGTTGTCCCTTGGGCACTGCAGTCATGCTCTCAGGTCATTAAGACCACTCCTAACCCAATTTCCTTTTCAGGTACCTCTAGAAGAATCCTTCCACGGTGTGGGCAACCGGGAAGTGATAACTGCCCTCATACCTCTAACAGCACTCAAGACCACTGTATTCATAATCAATCTTCTTCTTCAATTCCTACTATTCCCTCTACCTTGACTTTCAACACTAAACTTCCTCTCTCGGTTTCCTCCTCAAGTGTCACGATTCTAGTGCGCGAAACGCTGTCCCAGGTCTACTTAAACCTCGCTCCAAACTACACATTGGAGCCTTCAACGTACGTACCTTATGCCAAATCGGTCAACAGGCCTCCTTAGCTAAAACCCTAGAATCTCGTACCATTGATGTATGCTGTGTCTCCGAAACACGCATACAGGATCCCAGTGTGGTCATTCACTTGACCTCACCTCGCCAAAATGGACAGCCGACGAAATACACCCTCCGTGTATCTGGCGACCCGTTGGCTAGTTCTCGCGGACTTGCAGGTGTAGGCATAGCACTAAGTACAAGGGCAGAACAGGCACTACTAGAATGGATCCCCGTTAACAGTCGCCTGTGTGCTGTCCGGCTAAATGGCTCCGTAAGAACTCGGAAGGATAGGGACACACGTCGTTGCCTTTTCGTCGTTTCTGCCTACTCTCCCACTGACTGCAGCCATGATGAAGTAAAAGATGACTTTTACAGAAAACTCTCTGAGCTTTTTCAGAAAGCTAAGCGCTCAGACATAGTAGTCGTAGCGGGTGACTTTAATGCCCAGGTAGGCAGCTTAAATCAAACAGAAAGACATTTAGGTGGGTGTTTTAGTATTCCGGCTCAACGAACCGATAATGGTGATCGTCTGTTGCAACTATGCTCAGACAATCGTTTATTTTTAGCAAGCACTAATTTTAAACATAAGGAGAGACATCGTCTAACATGGCGACCACCTGCACCAAACCAACGATGGACTCAAATAGACCATATTGTCATCAGTCATCGTTGGAGAGGCTCAATAGAAGATTGTCGCTCGTATTGGAATACTTGTTTAGACTCTGATCACGCTTTAATACGAGCACGCATTTGTCTGCGCCTCAATGGACGCAGGAAAAGTACACTAAGAAGACCCATTAGGATTGAACTGGAGGACGAGAAAGCCAAATGCGAATTCCAGAAGCAACTGAGTTCACATCTAGGCAGTTCTGTAAACGAGACTGACCCAGATGCTGCTTGGAAAGACACACGAACATCTGTGGAAACGGCAGTAACATCTATTAGTCATTTAAACCATAGGGCTCCAAAAAACCAGTGGATTTCCTCTAAGTCTATTTCACTGATGGATTCGCGTAAACTCATCCCATCAGGCTCTGAACATGACGAAGAGCGTAAACAAATTAGATCTAGGTTAACTAAAAGCCTAAGGAACGATCGTGAGCAGTGGTGGGCAACGAAAGCAAAAGAGATGGAAAAGGCAGCGGCTGTAGGCAACACCAGGCAACTATTCAGACTAATAAAAGAAACCGGAATTAAGAAGTCAAGTGTAAGTGAGACAATCTCGGAAAACGACGGAACCCTTATCTGCTCTCAACCTAAACGTTTAGAACGATGGGCGGAACACTTTAAGGAGCAGTTTAGCTGGCCTTCAGCTACTGCACAACTACCCACTATTCCCAGAAAACCTGAATGGAACATTGAAGTAGGCCCCCCGACCCTACTTGAAGTTCAAAAGGCTATAGGTAATCTGAAACGGGGAAGAGCAGCTGGTCCTGATGGATTGGTTCCAGAGGTTTTTAAATACGGTGGTCCAATTTTAGCGATTAGGTTGACTAATATTCTGGCTAAAATCTGGGAGACGGATGTAATCCCATCCGACTGGTCACAATCACTGATTGTCCCAATATATAAAAAGGGGTCAAAATCATCCTGCGATAACCATAGAGGGATTAGTCTGACTAACATAGCATCTAAAATACTAGCCTCAATAATTATCGGGCGCCTAACTAAGACTCGTGAACTGCAAACACGAGAAAATCAGGCTGGCTTCAGACCTGGTCGTGGCTGTATCGACCACATATTCACCATTCGTCAAGTTTTAGAGCACAGACACGCTTATCGGCGTCCGACAATGATAGTTTTTCTTGACTTGAAAGCAGCATTTGACTCTGTAGACCGAGAGGTTCTGTGGCAGTGTCTGTCATTGAAAGGTGTACCTGAGAAGTACATAAACCTTTTGAAGGCTCTTTACTCGAACACTATTAGTCGAGTGAGAGCTTATGGCGAACTGTCATATGATTTTACAACCTCAAGTGGTGTCCGTCAAGGCTGTCCACTATCCCCATTTTTGTTTAACTTCATTATAGACCTGTTGCTGGAAATAACACTCTCATCGACTGAATTTTCAGGAATTGATCTCCTACCAGGGGGACCACTAAGCGACTTAGAATACGCAGATGACATAGTCCTGTTTGGTGAAGACGCTGGCAAAATGCAGAGTCTTCTGTTGGAACTCAGTAATAATGCCAGGATGTTTGGGATGCGTTTCTCCCCATCCAAATGTAAATTGTTACTCCAGGACTGGCCTGCGTCAACACTCGAACTAAGGATAGGAAGTGAAGTAGTCGAACGCGTCGACAACTTCACTTATCTTGGAAGTCTGATAAGCCCTAATGGGTTGGTGTCAGACGAAATCTCAGCACGGATTCAAAAAGCTCGTTTGGCTTTTGCCAACTTACGTCACCTATGGCGTAGACGAGATATTCGTCTATCAATTAAGGGACGAGTATACTGCGCAGCAGTTCGCTCTGTCCTACTTTACGGCTGTGAAACATGGCCATTAAGAGTAGAAGATACTCGTAGGTTACTAGTATTTGACCACAGATGCCTTAGAAATATTGCTCGCATCTGCTGGGATAACCGGGTAAGTAATAGTGAGGTTAGACGCAGGGTATTAGGGAACGATGGTAAATCAGTTGATGAGGTGATAAATCTTCATCGACTGAGATGGTTGGGCCATGTGTTACGTATGCCTGAACACCGATTACCACGACGCGCTATGATGACTAGTATTGGGGACGGTTGGAAGAGAGTTAGGGGCGGCCAAACCAAAACATGGCATCAGTGTTTGAAGTCACTAACTTCTAGCCTGAGCCATGTTGGCAGATGCAGACTACCTGGTTGGGGTCCGCGTGACTATCGTAATAAATGGTTGGAGACTCTAGGTGACATGGCTCAGAATCGGTCACAATGGCGTAGGTGTATACACTCTTTATCTTCCCTTAAACCTTGAGACTAAAATTGCTTCATATCTCTCTTCCTTCCTGTACTATATCCTTATATACAACCTATAATTTATATACTACTACCACCAGTAAATTAATTACTTCTATGAATCCGGTGTTCCTCTTGTTGTGCTAACGAGGTATGGCAACTTGGACCGATGCATATATGTGCCTGGTCCTACGTTGTAGCTGACCTGACCTATGCAGCAGCTCGCCCATGGTGGAAAATCTGTCCTATCTAAACGATCTCCAGTCACTCTGGTTGAAAGTGAATGCTTCCACCGATTATGAATACTGAAGCAGTCTTTCTGAAACCACGTACGCCGTTCAAGCTGGCTTCCTTCAACGTTCGCACACTAATGCAGATCAGACAACAGATAGGGCTGGCTATGTCTTTGGAAGGTCTTAATGTTGATGTTTGCTGTCTATCCGAGACCCATATTCAAGACTCTAGTGAAGTACTACAAATCCGCTCTCCATCTGTCGCCTCGAAAAGCTTGTTCCACGTGCGCTTATCCGGGGACCCTGTGGCATCTTCGTCTGGTCTAGCTGGCGTTGGTGTCTCACTAAGCGCTAGAGCTGAGGCAGCACTAATCGATTGGATCCCCATTAACAGTCGGTTATGTGCTGTTAGATTAGAAAGTTCCATCAAAGTGAGAAGAGATCGGCGTGAGAAACGGTGTCTTTTCGTCATCTCCGCCTATGCCCCGACAGATTGCAGCCCGGATGCAATCAAGGATGAGTTTTACCATCAGTTAACAGTTCTTCTCCAGAAAGCGCGTTCGACAGATATTGTAGTACTAGCCGGAGACTTGAATGCACAGGTCGGGCGTCTAGGCATAGAAGAGAGTCGTCTAGGTGGCCGATGGGGACTTGTTGGTCGCAGGACAGATAACGGGGACCGTTTGCTGCAACTGTGCACAGACCACAACCTGTTTCTGGCCAGCACTAACTTCCGGCACAGTCATCGCCGGTGTGCCACCTGGCGTCCTCCCTCTGCATCCCAAGCCTGGACTCAGATTGATCACATCGCGATCAGCTACCGCTGGCGTGGTTGTGTACAAGACTGCCACTCCTTTTGGAATACCTATCTGGAGTCTGATCATGCCCTGGTCTGCGCCAATCTCACCTTACTTTTCAGTGGCCGAAGGATTGACCACCACCAGCGGATTGATGTTAGTAAACTGGCTGCAACTCCTGTTGCAAGTAAGTATCGAGCGGAGCTAGCCTCTAGGCTAGCTACCATCCCACCGAAAAGTATAGATGAGCATTGGTTGCATCTTCACGACGCCATGAAAATGGCGAGTAAAGCCGCTTGCGGCTTCGCGAAACGTCCCGCTTACAAGCACTGGGTTTCTTCTGGCTCCTTACAACTGATGGAAGCCCGTCGGTCTACTCCGGGTGACCGTGAGTTTGACCAGAAACGAAGGCTGTGAAATTGGGCAAAGCTTGCGTAAGGCCCGAGAAGCCTGGTGGTCGGAACGTGCTAATGAGACGGAAGTAGCAGCTGCATCTGGTAACTGCCGGAAGCTCTTCCAACTCATCCGAGCCACTGGCAGCAAGAAGTCTGGTGTGAGTGAAACAATCTACGAGGATGATGGGATGCCAATCACTAACATCTGTCGACGTCTTGGACGATGGGCGGAATTTTTCGAAGGGCAGTTCAACTGGCCTGCTGCTCCGGCAAGATCAACTAGTTTGTCCTGCCCCCCATGGCCGGTGACGACTGATCCACCAAACGAGGCGAAAGTCCGCAAGGAACTCCAACTCTTGAAACGTTAAGTAGTATTATGAAAAATCTCTACACCTAGTAGTTAGTATCAATGGTAATTCGAAGCAAATTCTTGTTTTACATTACACACAACTTGTGACGTCTTTTTGGTGATTGACAGTACTTTTCCAATGTTCTCTTTTCATTCACGTATCACTGCCCGTGGATCTGCGTAACATGATCCCATTTGTTTTGAAATGATATCTTCCTATTGTATGTGGAGTAAAAACTTACATTTCAGATCCTGATGCTACATTGGCTCGTGAACGGAGAACCGGCACTGGCATTCATCGTTGAACGTGAGCAATTTCTTGTCCCTATCTCGATTATACTCCGAGTGAGTTTTAAAAGCTTGTATAAGACTTTCGGAAATGGTTTGTTTCCTTGTTTTTCTTAGAATATCTATCTTTTGTATTCTAATTCATTTTTAAGAATACATGGAGTTGTTTCTGAATAGTTATATCCCAGTTTGTCTGTGATATGTAAAAACGGAGCACTATAACATATCGATTTTATTTGTCTTGTCCTCAAGCATTTCAATACGAAGACAAAATGAAAAAAACAGTCAATTATTTTAGTAGATTGAAAATGTACATATAGAATTTTGATTCAGTAAATTAAAAAAATCGGGGACATAGGTGATAATAAATGTACTTACTATTCAGTGGCTTCGATAAATAGTTTGTACAAACTCGAAAGTCTTGTTGAAAACAACATTTTCTCGCACAGGCGTTATTATTTGCCCTTAAGTCCATTTATTACTGCCAACTTTATGTTGGACTATCTGAAACATTACAAAAAAGACCCTATAATTGAAATACTCGAGTGCGTTCTACTGCACTGTCAGTGTGACTACACAAATTCACTGATTGATATACATATACCAAGCGTAACAATTATAGTTTGTTCAGCAGAATTTTTGTAGAATCAAATGTTCAGGATTTTCTCATTACAAAAATGTTCTAATAGCAGGTTTCAAGTGCCGAATATTTTTTCAACTAATAATAGTATCCACATAACTACCAAGTTGTCTTTAATTTGTACTATTTAAGGCTCTGGTTAAGAAGACAGAATTCGAAATCTTCGATGATATTCGGCGCGGTTGTGGAGAATCTTTTTCGCTTGAAGAGTATGTTTATAAATTGTTTTCCACAATTCAAGTATTAATCTTTCATCATTGTATTGTTCTTATCATGATTGATCTACAGCTGATTGTAACTTACTTTTGCCCAAATATCAAAGCTTATTAATTATTCTATTCATAATAGCAAAAGGGTTTACACTTTATTTCTATGTACACGTGACTTGCCGGTTTATGATATTATGTGATCATTCTGTTATGGAACGCAACCGGCGCATGCTCTTTAGCTAAAGATTAGTAGGGAAACAATATACATAGTTTCGAGAGTTTCTATATTTGCCTTGACGTCATTTATGAGAATGCCAAGTGCCTGGGATATTAACTGTGTATGTTATAGTATTCAGAATTACTAATTGATCTCACATCACATAGAAAAACTTAAACAATAAAGGGTAGGGTTCACATTTGATTCTCAAATAAGTAATGAGCGCATCTATATCAGTACTTTTTTAGTTACTAACATTTAATACAGGTTAATATCCTTGCCATTAAGGAAAAAATGAGTCCTTTACCATAAGTTAGTCGTCCATCCTATTCCACTTTTTATCTTTGTTGGACAATAAGAGTATATAAAGACGAAGCTTTGTTTGTCTGTCGGTTAGGTCATAAAATTTAAATGTATGTGAAATGTATCATTAGCCGTCTTTAACTAGTTATTTAAGTCCGTACATGCAATATTTCGTTCCTGTTTTTAAAATTCCACATTAGGAACGCAATGCGGATTCTTATACGTTTAAAAGATGATGAATACAGTTCACAGACTCGTGCTTTGTGCTATTTAGGAGGATTATTTCGCAAGCGAATGAATGTTCCCGATCGATTGTCCGATGAAGAAGCTGGAAAATTTCTACTCAGGTATTTATGACGTTTGCTTTATCTTTATAGAGAAAGTTTAAGATCATTCCATAGTTTTGTATCAATCAGTCTGAAAGTTCTTCATTTATTTCATATGTATCGTAGTTATGACAGGTTGATTTGACAATCATTACTACTGCCGAACTGATCTTAAGTTACTCACATTCACGACTCTAGTTTCTAAAAGTGATGTGCTATTTAATTTCCTTTTTTTTCATATTCCTTTATAAAATTTGACCACCGATTTTTTGACTGAAATCGAATAGTTGCTATGTTCCTAATAAGTCAGCTTGTCATTAACTGAATTTTCTTAAAACATTGTGTTTGTTACTGCTAGGACAGATAACTTAAGTGGTCTAAGTATCTACTGATCAAAGTCTACTCTTATTTGGAAACAAACGTAGCACTATAAGATAATCTTCATGCCAAAAACTGGTTGAAGTTGGAAACATGAGACTTCAGAATCAAGCCGTATGGCTCTAATGACAATAAAATTATTTTAAGTTTTGTGATATTACAGTTATTCGGAACCGCCTAATTTTTAACGGTCCAGTTACTTTGGTTTATGCTGGAAATTCACTTAGAAGTTAATAGGAACTTCTTAATTCATTAGTTGTATTCTTGCCAAAAAATACAAATTCATCGAGTCTCGTTCACAGTCTTTTGAAGAATTTTGTCAACAGAAATGATAAAGATCCAAGTCAGAATTATCTTTCTGAAAATATGTCAAGTTTCCTAAACTGCTTTCCATATTTAGTTTCGTGATAGGCTACTAAACAACAATTGCGACTTTACCACATTAAAATAATCTTTAATTCGCTACCGGAAATACAAACTCGGAGGGATAAATTATCATAAATGAATAGGTTTTTAACCGTTATTTGGAGTTGTGCTGCATCTTAATTTTATATGATTTCATGTATGTATTTATTTTTTTACCGGTGTTAATGTCTACCAGTCAACCTCAAAGTTTTATATGACCTTGTGGTTTTGTCAGAAATACATCGAAATGATGAAATTGCCATTCGTTTTCGAATGTTTCGTTTATTTTGACAATTTTTCATTATTTTTTCAAACCTAAATGGCATTCATAGTTATGTTTTGCCACTTAGTTTTTTTGATTTGCCATGGCTCCATTTTATTATAAGTGATTTGATTCACCTCCAGTCAATAATTATACAGCTGTTAAACGTGGCTCATTTTTTCGAATTTTCGAATCTGAACTGTTGAATTGTGAGTTCAAAGAGGGTTACACTGATTCAGTTTTATGTAAAACTATGCTATTACATAGCTTTACATAGCCATTGAGATTTTCACCATCGTTTCTTATCTGTCATCCACTTTTTATTTGAAAAATATGCTTCTAACAGAGATTTCAGCACTGTCAGATTTAAACCATTTTTGTAACTTTGGTCAAGCGATAAAATTCAAATGCTGTTTATAGTTTTATATTCGCTCGAAATTGACGATAACGTTTTTGCGTTTTGATGGCAATTTCGTTTCTGTGGTATTATTTGTCTATTGAACAGAGAATATTGTAGTAGTGTCATATATTCGACATGACCATTATGTTATGGAGCTTGATGACTTGGTAACACAAAAATCAGCAACTAAGTTTACATTTTCTCTCATTATTTTTCGGCCCCACTGCTGTAGAATTCTTACTCAATATCTTCACGCGGCTGTGTTGCTTATGAAATTTAGACGACAAAAAGATAATATCTGGGACTTAAGCAGGATTAGTGGGTACCGAAGATCCACTCAGGGGCGTTGGAAAACTCTGATTTCAAAACAACGAAGTACATGGAATTCAGAATCCCGAGGGAACAAATGGCGTATGAAACTATTCCCGGTCACTGTCTACTTTGAGACCGCGCCGCCTAACGTCGCTCCTCTGACTTGTGGATTAGACTTCGAGATAAAAGACTAAGGGAATGGCCGCTTAAGAAGATCACTTGCTTCAGTTTGGGCACCCAGAGAGTATTCTAACCCATACACAAATCTAATGATTTATATGGGGCAAATATATTTTGGTGTTTTTTGGTAGCAATGTTTGTATTTAAACAAATAATACATTCTTAGACTTCAAGCATCAAAAAAGAAACTGTAATAATACAGTAATAATATAGTGCGAGGCGCTAACATATTTTAATCAGCCAGTAAGATTACGGTTGTAAATAGAATATGAGTTGTATTTCCTCCATCCACTTTTACCAGTTATTGTTATTGATAAACATTCTAATTTCTTAGCACATTTTCAAACCTAATGCGTTAACATATATTATCATATAGGGTGTTGCTTCATAACTTGTACACTTAGTCTTTAATTATCGGCTTATAGATTTAAAACTAAACTCTCATTCTTTGAATTTTTATAAGGTTTTTCATCGTTACACAATTATCATGGCTCATTACCCTTGTATACTAATTTGTACTAATCTACATTTGATATTATCTATTAATTGTATATGAAAGACGTTTTCTTTGTTGATATTATATTTTTTGTATAACTGTTCTTATTGTTGGTAATACACTTTCAGTGAATATATTGCAATCCATTTGTCATCATTCTTGGATAAGTATCATTTACTCTGGTGAGTTAAATTTTTTTTTAAAAAATATTTCTACACTGTTGTTGAACAAAATGCTTTGAAGAATATATATTCAACATTTTGTTCTTTGTAAAGGTCTCAAATATAGTATTACTATTATTCTTTGATTGTCATTTTCTACTTTTTCTAGTCCGATATTTTTCTGTCTCTTGAAGATCCTTACTATTGTTGATTTATTATTTTCACGCTTTTTGTTGCGTTTATTGATTTTTCTCTCAGTACTGATGATACAGCTTGTGAACTTACTTGTGTAATCAGTTTTAAGTTATAAACTGTAAGAGATAATGTTACTATCCGGTTTCCCAAACGAAACTATGTGAAGTGGAACTCGAACCCACGACTTACTGACTGAAAGTCGAACACTTTAATTATTAAGCTATCACTCCGTAGTTCATTATAGTTTCTGTTTTTTAATTCCATCTAGAACTTTAACTATTATGACTGTTAACCTAATTAACACTGGGGATCTATGTGTTTTGTGCTATAAATAATAATGTCAGTTGTATATCTTATAACATAGATAATTAAAAATTAAAGACATGTTTTCAAAATGTCTGTTAATATTGTATAGTTAAGCTACATCACCAATTGTATAAAGATGAAAGTACCGATATAATTGTATTCCGACTCAATGGACTTGTTTTCAGAGCATTTATATCATGATTCTAAGAATTTCCATCGTAAAAAAAATTAGAAACTATGATGAAATGTCTGGTAGTCTTCAGTATTCAACGATTCTTAAGCAGATCTTACTGTATACTAAAGATTGTAGTTATTAATGTATAAGTTGTTGTTGTTTCACTTATTTTGCAGTTCACATTTAGGCAACCTTTACTGAATACGGTTAATTAACCTCAAATAAGCTAAGATTTATGCCTGGGATTTCACTACACAATCGGCTTAGTTTTGAATATGTAGTGCAGACTGTTACAGTTTATATTTATATTCTATGAGATTTTAAGTTTCATCCAATGATATTACCGATTTAAATTTGCATATTTCGCATAATATTAATAGCTCAGTAATTCAATGTGATGCAAATCAAAGTTTAGTATCTTTACCTGAAAGAAATACTATTTAACTGCGGTAGTTAACTTGTGGCATTGGTTATATTTAGTTTGAAAAGGGTTAGTCGCTTTTTGCAATCAAGTAGGTTCAGGATTTAAAACGTTACAATTAGATCGCTGTATTGAATGAAGAAATTTAAGTGTATTGAGTTTTATCCTAACTCAAGTTTTATATTTATGGACACAAATGGTCGGTGTACTAATACTTTCAAAAGCACACAAATCAGGTTTTACTGTAAACGGCGCAATGATTTACCAATGTTAATTTGATTTTCTTGTGTTCTTAGTTTTGGTATCAGCAGTATTTAGACTGTTAAATTATTGTATGACACCATAGCAGGAGCACAGGTTTCTAAAAATAATTTCCTATTAAGGTTTTTTGTATTTCAAGCAGTTAAGCTCATGTGACATATTCACGTGCTTCCTTACTGCTCAGTGCACAACTTCTCAGCTTACTGCATTTCGCTTTTAAATTTAACAGCATAGTATCAAAAGCAATAAATTATTGTTTAGATCTGTCGGTATTATCGCAGTATAACTGGTGTTTCTCGAATGTTTCGAATTAGATATTAATTAGCTTCATATTTTCATTCTTAAAATGAGTTATTTAAGGAGATACTTGTCTATTTTAGGTACCGCATATTGATACTAGGTTGTTTACAATACTTGTTTCTGTGCATATTATCACTGTTTATTTAATAATTAATTAAAAAACTAGCTTTATAAACAAATATGGCAGTGAAAATTGCTTAAGACACTCGATTTTCAATAGATAGTTTATTGTTTCCATCTCTGTTTCATTTTTGATTTGATCAACTGGTCAGTATCAGAAGCCCCCACACAGAACGCGCTATTAAAAATCGATATCTCGCGTATTTTGTAAATAAATTACATTAATTAAGATCATGAACCGATCAATGTTAGACCACCGTTGAAGACCTGGAAGCCTTGAACTCCCGTTAATCTAGAGGTTAAGTGTTCGCGCGCCAAACCAAAAGTGGGTTCCAACCAATCATGCGAGATCATGTGTGCACACTAGCGAGGAGTCCCATACTAGGACGGAACAACTTCCCAGTGCCTACAGGTTTTCAGTGGTGGCCTAACATTAATCGGTTTATGATATCAATCAAAACTCAACAATCTCGATAAACCTATACTGAAAATTGCATTAAATTTATTTGCGGTCTCAGGAGAAGATAACAGTTTCATATGTTGCTCACTGACATTCATCGGTGTATTTTTCTTCATTATGTTTTGATTGGCATTTGAATCATCCATTAGCAATCGACAAGTGTTCGTATTCTGTTTTGATTACTTCTGTCATTCCCATTTACTATAATAACTTTTTAAATTTCTGTGTACACTAACAATAACAATCACTTATCACTTGGAGTCTATTCATTGACCTTTGAATTAATTGAATAAATTCTCAGTATGATTAACGTATGTTAAGCCTCAATCACTTGTAATGTCATTTGTGTTATTCTCCAGTTCACATACATATCACTAATATCATAGTACACTAATTTTACTCTAAAAGCAAATATTCATTAATGAATCCCCCGACATAATCATTCTCACATTACTGATCACCGTCAACATTTTTTGACACGTTAAAGATTTCAACCAAATGTATCGTTTCCCTTTTTTTTTGCAGAAAAAGCTCAATTGGTTTTTTCCTCTTTTTTTGGGATTTTTTTTATAGTTTCATGATTAAAAAGTTGCATGCATTTGTCTCTGGATTATGTTGTGAAGAAAGCAATGACAATCCGATGTTTCAAGAAGTTTTATTACCGTCTACTTTATATCTCCAAGTATTACGTGTAAGTATAATGTATACAATATGTAGTGTTATCTTTTTCATAAAAATTAACAAAACATTTCTGTACCATAAGCAGCTAACAGTTGGAACGCAAAAAATCATTTTTCAATGCTAATTTATATTCGAAAGTATGTTTTCTAATGTTTTAGCATCTGTGTTTTGATGCTAAGTGGTTAGCGAATTATGACCGATATTGTGCTAAGTTTCTAACAACTAAATAAAATGTACCAACGAAATAATACTGTGTGGTGATCATAAGCACATCTTGGTGAACTGTATTTTGATGTAAAATGCCAATTCACGGAAACTGATGATTATAGTGCTCGTGTATTTCAGGACTGCCAAGTGTATAGTCCTGAGTGTAGACGCAGAATACTGGATACATCTGGGGAATAGTTTGATGAGTTAATCAGTCTTTACTGACTAAGATGTTCAGGATATATATTACGCATATTCGAAGTTGCTTTTAAATTAAATCGGTTTATTTAAAATCAGTTTGATAAGTTATACAATGACATTTATTCGCGTTGTGTAGAGTAATTTGTTTAAACTATTTTCTTTGAAGTTTTATGGGTTTTTTTGTTAGTTATCGATATGTAGATATGTTCAATTGAATTGTATTGTTGGTTAAAAAGAAATTATGAATTGCAAGCAAAGATGGATAGTGGCTAGTAGTGGAATCCAGGACGCGCGTTTCGTCCTGTTTGGGACTCGTCAGCTAGATGTACCTGTATCTCAGCGTTGATGTTCACTCTGGGGCTCGAACCCAGTACCTTTCGCTTCAAAGTCCCTGAGTGAACATCAACTCTGAGATGCAGGTACATCCAACTGACGAGTCCCAAATAGGACGAAACGCGCGTTCTGGATTCCACTGTTAGTCACTATCCATCTTTGCTTACAATGTTTGTGAAATGATGCTATATCGAGTCAATACGCACAGTATGCACATATGCCGATCAGTGACTGACCATTTGCAGTCCTAAACATCAATGAGAAGATTCAAACAAACAATACTAAGTGAACTGAAATTATGAATCGTTTTTAGCTTAGATTATGTAGATTTTCAGAAACCACCACTTGTCAACTACAGTATTTGCAGCTCATAGTTTTCATTTCAATTAATTATATTGTTGTAGAGATATCAACTCACTGAAGACAATTTGTCGCTCAAAATCGTGGATTGGTTGAAGTTAGACATTAACACCGTTGGATGCCGGCTCAGTGGTCTATCGGTTAAGAGCTTCGGCTCGAGACTGGTAGGTCCTGGGTTCGAATCTCGTGGGTGCGGGATCGTGGATGCGCACTGCTGAGGAGTTCCATAATAGGACGAAACGGCTGTCCAGTGCATCTAGGTTTTCCATGGTGGTCTAGCTTCAATTGACTCATGATTTCAACCATGAAAATACTAAATTCTCTACAAAACCCCCTCTGATCTATAATTACATTGTGTTTATTTTCTCTTTAAATTATTGTTTCATTGTCGCTTTTTGCACAACTAGAACTCAGTTTATTTCTTAATAATTGTAACTCTCTATTTTATGTGACTGGTTGGAATGTACACTTATTTTCTGGGGCTTCAGTTTGGGCACCTGGGCAGTATCACAGCCCTCACACAAATCAAATGAGAATTGTGTGGCGCATATGTATCTGGTGCTTCCTTGTACCAATATATTTTTGTGTTTAAATAAAATAAAATTATGGGGCTAGCCGGTTTTCAAAACTAAATTAGTTGAAGGTGAGAAGATCTAAATCAGACTGTTTTGAATGTCAGTTTATCGTTAATATCTAATTCACTTTAGTCGACTAGTATTTATTCTAAGATGACATGGTTTAAAATCGCTTGCAATGATGCAGATAAATCAACTTTTTTATCTTAATATAGGTTCTGAGCTCCCCTGTTCTCACATACCTTTTCTCTCTTTCTCTTCGAACCATATTCTCAATGTTAAGTCTTTTTCATTAATATTGGTATTACGTTATCTCGATTTCTTTGCTATTCATGTTGTTTGTTACAACTTGTGCTGATATCATGTAGGAAGCTGGGTCACCGAACATTTGTACCAGATTCTACGTTGATTATGACATTAAGTTGGTTACACATTTTAATGTAAAGGATGACATTAACAGCGAAAAATTAGGTAATACTGAGTTGACAATGTATTATTTATCTTTTAATTGCTCTGTCTTAAAGACACTTGGCTTTTTATTACTGATCAATAAGCTCCATAGTAATCGTGTTAAATGATCAGTAATATATTTATGATGTTCATCCCCTAAAGATCCACTTCATCACTTTATTTTTTTCCTTAATAAATAGCTTCGACTAAATGTTTCAGTAGTTTTCTACTAATTTTGCTAGGTATTACCTTTGGAAGATGATATTGCAGTCGGTAAATAATCGGAGATTTCTTCATTTATGTGTGAACAAATCTGCCAGCAATCGTTCGAATTCTCCTATGATAACTTTACCAGTCGAACCCAAAACCTTCATATTATATTTTGTTTTTTGTATTAACACTTGATTATTTTCCGTTTCAGGCGAAAGTACTTCATTTACTTGCAAATGTCAAAGAACAGGTTTTATTAAAAAGTCGGAAACAGAACGTTCGTATATCCCTGTGTAAGTCATGCCTTATTGGTATAATTACAAATGTGCACCATTTATTTACTAATAATTAAAACAGCTGAAAACCTACATATTTCATTGTCTATGGTACCATATTTATTAATCTTGTAGCATTTATCGTCGATTACATCATTGCTATTGTTTAGTAAGTTATTTGAAAATAGTAGGTTGATTAGTTTATATTTGACTAAAGTTGTCTACGCGTCCGCAGCAAGTGAAATATATTTTCGAATATAAATTAGATGAATCGCTGTTTCCAGTTTTTTTGTGCCCTAAAGAAGGTTATTATTATTATTATTAATGGCTTTATTCAATATTATAATCTGGTACAATATAGAATTCTCAGCACGAGTTATTTCAACAAGTATTTTACCAAAAAAAACAAAACAAAAAAAACAGAAATAAACTAAAAAAAAAGGTTTAGGAAAATCTGAGTTTATACAAATTATCGAATTTGAGACATGTTTAAGAAGACAGGTTATTTACTAGGTCAACTCTAACAGCCTGTTCGTCACAAAGTAAATTTGCAAGGTAAGGTATTACAGAACTTTTATAGATTTGCTTGCGTGCATGGATTTTAATGTATTTACGTCTCGTTCTACCAGAAGATATACAAGGAGAAAGATATGAATGAAGCGGATGGTTAGTATCTGATAAGATAACACCTGCCAAGAGTTTGCAAGACTTAAGATGTCTATCCACAAGCATATTAACAATGACTTCAAAAGATTCACCACATACCTTGCAAACTGCCTTCAGCACTCTACGCAAAATAGCAAAGTCTTTTCTCAAAAGCCCGGGAATGAATAATGGAGAACAATATAAAATAATAGGTAATATGCAGGAATTTACAAATTGTAAGAGTAAATGGCAAGTAATCCCAAAAGCATGCAGCCTCTTTATGTAGTATGCCAAACGGTAAACTTTTTTTCGATAACAGTAAAACATGAGAAGACCAAGAAAGATCAGAGGAAAAAGTAACACCAAGATATTTGACCCTCGACACTGTGTTTATTAAGGAGTCCCCAATGGCACAAGCATTATGGGATCCCAACATAGAGTATAGGTTCTGTCCATGTCTCAAGCTAAAGTTAACATATTTTAGCATATTTTACAAAAGTGTTTTTTGTGGAAGATGGCAGATCATGCAAAAAGAAAGAGAAGAGCAGAGGTGAAAGAACAGCTCCTTGTGGCACACCTACAGTAGACAGTAGAGATGTTGAACACTTTCCTTCAAATACAGTGTACTGTTCTCTTCCAGAAAGGTAGGAACGTAACCAATTGGTTATCCAGCTGTCAGTGTCGATGCTGATCAGCTTGTTAAGTAAGAGGTGTCTTGGAATAGAATCAAAAGCAGAAGTAAAGTCCAGGAAAGCACATCTAACATACTTCTTACCCTTTTCCAACCCGAACACTATATTGTGATGCAGAACAGCAACGGCATCTAATGTGCTTCTTTTGCATTTGTAAGCAAACTGAAATGGATCACAGTGCTCTTTTATTGCAGGTTGAAGTGGTTGTATCAGTAATTTTTCCATTATTTTGAGGAAAGGTGAGGTTATTGCTATGGGTCTAAGTTTCGCATTTTTGTCACCAGAAGCTTTCTTAGGTATAGGGATTACCTTTATCTTTCTCCACATTTTCGGTAAGACACTAGTTGAGAAGGATCTGTTAAAGATATTCGTTAATGGATAACATAAAACATCAGCACATTTTTTAAAAAGGAGATTTGGGATACCATCAGGTCCTAAACATTGGGATGAATTCAGAGACTGGAGACATTTCCGGACATCATTTTCAGTGAAACTGGGGTCACAATTATTCTTCAAACAATTGGATATAGGGAGCATGATGTCACATAACTGACGAATAAAGGACTTAAGGTTGATAACCTTGGGTTGCTAACGCTTACTTTGTAGCGATTGACTAAAATCTCACGTATAAAACAATCGTTCGCTTACATATACTTTTTTAGTTTGTTTTCTGTATGACCATTACTCTAAAATTAATTCATCCGAACAGAATATTTTTCATTACAGCCTTATTTCATCAGGCTCTCTTATCTCGCGCTTCTGAAGTCAGTACAGCAATGGTGTATATGGTGTCTACTGGGAATCTTCCTCCTTCATGTAAATCTACTCTTTCCGCTCAGCTTAGCGGGCAATCAACTGGCTTAAGTGTTCCGGCGGATAATGTTAATTTTCTTCGATTCGCTGCACAATTTCGAGCTGTTCACCGAGGGGCATTTTTCACAGAAATGCGAACTACTTCAGTTCGTCGTTTACTGCCGGAAGCATGGGGTTTCTTTTGTCCTGTACACACTCCTGATGGTGCACCTTGTGGTCTTTTAAATCACTTAGCTGAACCTGTAGAGGTAAGTGGAGTCTTTTACAATTTTGTAACTACAATTGCTCCCAAAGTACCGCTTGTGGGTTTTAAGTTGTATTCAGATTAGGTTTAATGGTTCAATCTGATTATGCTGTCGTAGATTAACGTCAACCTAAATGCTTATTCTATGCAACTGTCTTCTTCATTTTTATACGCTAGCTTTGATAGGCATACAACTAAAATGTCAGATTGTCATCGGTTTTTGCTATTCTCTAACTATACTTGGGGCTTTGATTTGTCTTCTCATATTTCTCTCTAACCTTTTGCTACTCTTTTCTGCCTAGGTCATTTTTATACTTGGTGTTGCGACGCGGTTTCTTTTGAGTTGTGTGTATGAATTTCTACTGTTCAATGTCATATCACTTCTCGAGCTCTTCCACAAAACAATATGCCTCTGGTAGTTACAAAACTCTCTCAAGATATTAGCTTGTATATCTTTAGAGAAATTAGTATTTTACTTCAGATAAAGGCCGTTATTCCTTGTAACTTATGAAAAAGCATTTCTTTAACACAGTAGAATTCCACTTTCATAAATATCATAGTGATAGTTTATTAAATTTCGTCAATCTCCTTAAGATGGATTTTGCTAATAGCACATGACTCCCATCGTTACATGTACGGAAGCTGTGAATTATGACGTGATTGGCTAGTGGTGCAGGCTAACAGATCTATCTCAAATATTCGTGTTGTAATATATATCACTGTATATTTGTCATGATACACCCTTGTCTGGTCATCATCGTATTCATGATCGTTGGTCCAACTTTAAGTGCTTGGGTTCACATGATCTAAGGTCTAGCTCCAAGAACAGAATCGAAAAAACTTGTATCACCCCATGATAATTTACAGCCACAGAATTCCTGTTTGATTTAATCTAACTTAGTCAATTGCCGTTAAGCTGTAGATACTCGATGTAGCTTACAACTTTGTGTGCAAATTTGTTGCGTAAGTATTTGTTTAGATACGTAGACGTATTGATGTGTGTTGATCGCCAGGGTTCACTAAATGTCAACGATGCCTTTTCTCGACGTTGGACCTTTATCTGTTTATTTTCTTTTATCAACAGGCTGTATGCGAAACTCCAAAACAGTCAGTGCTTGAAAATATCGGAAATTGGTTATCCACACACAAATTAAGACCGATTGAATTATCCAGACAGTTGTTTGGTGTTGCTGAACAACAAAATGCCTTGCCGGTTTTATTAGATGGTCGTCTTATCGGTTGGTTGTCAACGTTAGATGAAGCAAAACGTTTAGCACTAGAGCTACGCAATTTAAAAGTTGATCCTAACTGTAAAAATATCCCTCACACAATGGAAATAACGTTAGTTCCTTCAACGGATGTCGGTTCACAGTATCCTGGCTTATATCTTTTTGCTGGTGGATCGCGGCTCTTAAGACCAGTCAAAAATTTACAATGTCCAAAAAATTCAGCTGGTAAAGATGTTATTGAATGGATCGGAACATTTGAACAAGTTTATTTAAATATATCTGTGAAAGAGGAGGAATTAAGTGAACGTTCACCTATTGATAGATCACATATTGAAATAGCTCCTGAAAATATTTTCAGTTTTGTTGCTGGTTTGATCCCATATCCGGATTTTAATCAGGTATTTATATACGTATATAGATGCTTAGTTTTGCTTGAAATTAGAGATGATGACATCGTTTTTATAAACACATGATAAATTTTGTCGTGCAACTCAGAGAACACGTTACCGAAGTATGTATTTGAGCTATATATTTTTTCTTTATCAGTTAAAAATCTGATCAGTACTTGTTGTATTTGCATTTCGAGAACATTATAAACTTTAGAGTGTTCGATTTGTAACTGTCTCATTGAATGGTGTATTTCACGTTGAGGTATGTACTATTGTACGAATTGGTAGCTTAATAATCAAGAAGAAGAATACATTGATCATCTCTCCACTTTGTTCAACCATTCCTAGCGTTAGCATGTAACACACCATGTGGGATTCAGTGGCACGAAATTCGTGGGACACGTCCAAGCCACTGAAGTCGGTGTTTCAGGATGATGACACCAACTGAATTATCGTCGCTGCTTCCGCACACACGATGCCGAACCTCTGCATTACTAACCTGGTGTTGCCACTGAATGTCAGCAATCTTTCGGAAGCAACGATGAACAAACACAGAGAGTCACTAAACATCCTCAACTAAGAGAGATCAGGTTTTACAAGCACAGAGTAAACTGCTCTGACCAACGCTTTATAGATTCGACCTTTTACAGCCAGTCTAACATTACGAAGGCGCAAAGATCGCTCAGATTAGCATAAGCCGTTCTGACTTTCTCTATATGTGCATTAATCTCATAACTCACGCCATCACCAGCACTTACATAGCTACCCAGATACACGAACCTCTCGACTACATTTTGTCTATTCAGTACAAAGAGTGAGCTCATGTTTATGTTCCTGCCAGTCTTGTAAAGGTAATTTGCACTTGGAAAGTGCAAAGCACATCCCATACCTACGGACACTTACTGCCAAGAACACTACGATTGTTGGTCTGCAATAAGTATGACGGTGTTCTAACATTTGCAAGAGGGTGAATAGACGATCAACAAATGCTCGATCAGAACGAAAACGAGCCTGTTCTTTGAGAGTTAGTCTTCCCCAGGTTCTGAACAACCTTCGAAATATGACGGATGCCAATATTTTTGATGCAACCAGAATTATACTTATCTCCCTATAGTTGCTGCAGAAACGACATGAACCATTTTTAAAGATATGAACACCTAGCAACTCATTCCATTATGCTGGAACACTCTTTAACTGCCAAGTCTTTGTGGAAAATTCAAACAGTTCCTTGACCTGAAAGCCATCATCTTTAAAAAGGACCGGAGGTAATTCATCTGGTACTGGTGATTGGTAGCGCTTCAAGAGTTGGAGTTCCTTGCGAACTTCCGCCTTATTTGGTGGATCACAGGCCATAGAGGGTTGAACAGTCTGTTCAATGTTGTCAAGACAGGAGACCGGTTGAAATGCTCTTCGTAAAACTCTGCACATCGTCCAAGACGTTGATAGATGCAAGTGATTGGCATCCCGTCATCTTCACAGATCGTTTCATTCACACCAGACTTCTCTGTCCTTACACAAGGTTTACCCACTTTCATTACGTATCAGTGAATCTGTACTTAAAGAATGAGTTACATAATGTATGTGAAGGTACTTTCAAGAATTATATCAAAGTGTTTGGATGATGTCGAAACAATATATTTTATGACTGATCAACTATCAAAAAGCTTACGCTCTGAACATAACATTGTGACTGTAATTACAATGCTTCCCGGGTAAGATATGCAATTTAGTATTACGATTTAACTATCACAAGTGTCTTTACTATTCCTAACGTTTTATGACGTTAATGGGATGAAGTAAGTAGTAAATTACATCTAGAACTTTTTGTATCCCAAATTTTTTGAGTTACCATTAACTTTTAAATCCTAATTATTCGATTAATTTTCATGAATCAGTCAATTATGGTACACTGGTGGTGTATAGAAAGCTATTAAATCGTTTCATTTGGTTAATATTATACTGTATGTATGACTCCTCCACCATTATGAAATAAGTTACTGAAGATTCAATATATTTGTCAGGTTGTTCGATCATAGTGATCTCTAAAACATTACTTCATGCATGGTGGAACTGCAGAACAGCCTTCACTTTGAAACAATTATTTTGTTGGTTGCATTGTTTCTATAAACTGGTTAGTATATTTGTTATGTTAACCGAGCTATATATTATAGTACAATTCAGTCACTGTGTACCATTTAAAATGCGTATTTGATCGAACTATACAGTAAGTGAGAAAACACCATAGTATTTATGAAACTGTATTGTCTAGTGATATTGTTATTAAATATATCAATGTTAATAACATCTTATTTACAAATAATCTTCATTAATGTCAACATCTTTCCTTTGCAGTCTCCACGTAATATGTATCAATGCCAAATGGCTAAACAGACTATGGGTCATTCTTGTTATACATGGCGTAATCGATCAGACGCGAAAGCTTATCGTTTATTTACACCTCAAAGTCCTCTTGTCCGAACTAAAATGTATGTTAAATACGATGTTGATCATTATCCTCTAGGATTTAATGCAATTGTTGCAGTGATGTCATACACAGTAAGCACCATATATCGATATTTTTTTAATGTTTTCCTTTGCGGTAATAATTAACACATTAATACCTGGCAAATAATCGCATACTTCAATAGGAATCATTCTTTGACATTGGAGTGGGTAAATCAAGACAGAATCAATCCATAAAGTCAGTGACTTTTGATTAAAGCCATATCATTAGGTTTGGATTACGAAGTTTGGGCTTACAGTGAATGTAACACTGATTTGACCCTAATGGCACAGTTGCATTCGTCTTCTAACTCATTCTAAGCCTTGATTTTATTGTAATTCATCATTTGAACTGTTTTTCTGCTGTTTATATTTCTATTGTTTTTGATGTTATTACCTATCGATCGTCTCTTGTTGATTTTCACGTGGCACTGTTGTGAGGTATAATAACATGACTCAGTGCATAATTTTGGCAAGTCCTACACTACTGACTAACTAAATGACCTGAAGTGACTGATATCTTTATTTTTCACTTCAATGTCTGATGTTTTGCGTCCCAATCTCTAAGAAATAGTCAGTTTTCTAAAAGTTTAAAATACGTCTTCTTGTTGTGTAGATGAAATAGAATCTAGAATTTCTTGTAATCACTTCGACACTGAACTTTCTTCCCTTATAGTGTCGGATCATTTGGTTAAGCGTTCACTTTTCTGTCTATTATCTACATGATTGTATAAGTACCAAAAGAATGCCAGTTGCCTAAATTTATTTGAAGTGGTTTCGTGGAGATGTGTCTAATTTGAAAGTATTATTCATCACAGATTGGTCTCATTTGGAGTACCGTTATAAATCAAGCAGCACTTGATAACTGTTTCATCCTAGTGTGACTCCTCAGTAGTGTGCACCCACAACCTCACCATGGATCGGACCCAGGACCTTCATGTCTCATCCTGTTATATCTCTCCGGGTGTTTCTAATGGTTAAACGTTCGCCACAAGACGTAAATGTCTTGGGTTAGGTTAATGACGGGGTTGTGTCCCATGTTGGAACGAAACAACTATCAAGTGCTCCTTAGTTTTCAATCTATGATGAATACTTCCTACAAGTCGCCTTAAGTAACAATCACACAAAACTGCAAAACACCACCACAAACAATTTTCCTTGTTGTGTAAATGTATGCTTACTTTCTTAATATCCATTCATCTAATCAAAACAATTTTCAGGTTTTTCTTTAACTTTCAACTTGATGTAAGCTTTTTTTCAACCACTTTATTTTTTATCTACAAATGTAAGGTCTTTCATTCTTATTTTCAATAACAAAAGTCACTGTGATAGATTTCCCCTCCCCACAAATGCCCTGGTATGGTTGAGGGTGGGAAAGTTCACCCACTGCTTTCACACCGCCTCACATATATAGCCACTGTCAGAGACGTCCTACTCACTGCCTTCTCGCGGCATTACTGTTGTTTACGAAACTGAGAGGACGAAAAGCGAATGTTCGGCGCTTCAACCGGGTTGGTGGGTATGGAGAATCCCTCTGGGGTGGGTTGAAGAACCCTGATTTCAAACCATTACTGAACATGGGCTCCAGGATCTTGAGGGAGAAAAAGGCGTATGAACCTATTGTTGGTCACCGGCTACTACGGGACTGCATCTCCTAACGTTGTTCCACTTCCTTGTGGATTAGACTTCGAGGTCAATGACTCGAGGTGTGGGGTCCCCTGAGAAAACCACCTGCTTCGGTTTGAGTACCTGGGCAGTATTCCGGCCCTCACGCAAATCAAACGATTTGTATGGTTTATGTATATATGGTGTCTCCTTGTACCAATGTTTGTGTATTTAAATAAATTTTAAATATAAATATGAATGGATAAGCTTAACAATGTCAGTGTTCAACTTTGTATACCATACATTTGCTATTATACATTTAAATGGATTCATTTTTTATTATTTATACTTTAAATACTTGTTAACAATATTTGCTTTTGATTATAGGGTTATGATATGGAAGATGCTATGGTGATTAATAAAGCATCATATGATCGCGGGCTAGCTGGAGCTTGTATCTATAAATCAGAAGTTATTGATCTATCTTCACTTTCCAAGTCAACATCTTCAAATAATCCATTTCAGAAGAAAAGACTAGTCACATCTGAATACTATTTCGGTATGTAGAAATATATGTATATGTAAGAGAAATCTTAAAAAAAAACATCAGTTAAACTTCACTTCTCTAATTATACTGTAATTTAAGTTAATTTATTAGGTACTTCGTATTAAGTATTAAATAATTTGTCTCTGTACTTAAAATTAATTTTCATAGTTGAAAGCGTGAGTCAATTGAAGCTAGACCACCATGGAAAACCTGGAAACACTGGACGGCCGTTTCGTCCTATCATAGGACTCCTCAGCAGTGTGCATCCACGATCCCACACTCGTGAGATTCGAAATCAGGACCTGCCAGTTTCGAGCCAGAGCCCTTAACCGACAGACCACTGGGCCGGCATCCGACGGTGTTAATGTCGGTTGCTCAACTTCGTTGATCAGTTGAAGTTAGACATTAACACCGTCGGATGCCGACTCAGTGGTCTGTCGGTTAAGGGCTCTGGTTCGAGACTGGTAGGTCCTGATTTGGAATCTCACGAGTGCGGGATCGTGGATGCGCACTGCTGAGTAGTCCTATGATAGAACGAAACGGCCGTCCATTGCTTCCAGGTTTTCCATGATGGTCTAGCTTCAATTGACTCACGGTTTCAACCATGAAAATACTAAATTTTCACAAATAACCCCTTCTGATAATTAAAATTAATTACTATTAAATGATCCTACTAGTGAAATTTCAATGCGACATATTGGTTCTGATTGTTTGTATCCTTATTTTTTTTTCCTTTTCCATTGACTGTTTATATTATCATTGAAAAAGATTTAACGTTATATTAGATATCTGTTGCGTTATTTCAAAGTCACGAAACAATTTTTCCTCTAACCATCCAAATTATAGAGTTTTCTATAGTTCTTTATTGTTAATCTTATCAAAGTATCTCAGCTTTACTTGTCCTTTATTTTGTCCCGGAAATGTTTACAGGTTTTGCAGGTGAAAAACCTGATAAAGGTTTAGATTTAGATGGTTTCCCACCAGTTGGTGCCCGTTTAGAACCAGGAGTCAGTTGGTTATACGCCTATACACATATTGAAACATTGCAAACTAATTTTATCAAATACGAAGGTGGTGAACAAATAGCTTATGTTGATTCAATATCACTCAATGGATCGTGGAGTTGTGTGAGTTGTCTTATACTTAATAATCAATCTTTTCTGTTTCAACTCACTATTCGAGTACAATGCTGTGTTCAGTTTCAAGTCATACGTGTATAAATGTTAAAGTTAATGATGCTGCGTAGTGAGCTAGATTGTAGCATATGTAATATGTTCGAATCTGCTACTCATTTGGTGCCTGTCTGTATATCATTAGTGTAAAGCGAAAAGGTCTCTCATTCAAACGCATCGTAGAACCTGGCACTTTTGTAGATTGGTTGAAGTTACCATACTTCATTAGCAAAACAATATGAAATTATCAGAGCAAATCTTAAAGTACCAGGGGTAGCGAAAAGGTCAACCTATTGATCTCATTTCATTTATGTGAAAATAATGGCCTCACTTTGAGATTTCGAAGTCTTCAGTTCACTTTGATTTGGAGTGGTATATGCTCATCGCTGGAACGAAGCAGTTGTTCACTACTCTCTGTTTCTCAGCAGTTCTCTACCTCTTATGGGTTCTTTATGTGCAGGAATTCGTGTTATTACACATCCGTGAACTGATGAATCCATTTATTGTCACATATATATTTGCTTTTGTCATTTATTCATGTGTAACCCTGAGTATATTTTACGTGTGTACATAGTAGTATGCATATGTTTATCAACTTCCAGTATTTCTTATATGGCATAGGAAAACAGAGTCATCTTGTTGTTCTCTGATTCGGTGTGTTACTGAACTCTAATGTTATATTCACAGAATCTTTTATTATTTGTCTAACGTTTAATATAAACATATCCTAAATACTGCTCGTATTTGACTTTTATCATCCACAATGTATTTATGTGATTTGTCGTCAGAATGTATACGAAGTAAGTAAAAAATACGTTTCATTAGCGTCATTATGGATTCAACCATACGCAATAGATAAAAATTGGCTTCGAAAGTAGAATGGTCCGAATTAATGAAACACTACTGATACTTCTTAATAGTCAATTTCTTATGAGGGTTTTATCTCGGTGTATTTTTTGTAAAATTCAATTTAATTCATTCATTTTATTGTAGGCTACAATCACACTTCGTTTGCCTAGACAACCAGATATTGGAGATAAGTATAGCAGTCGTCATGGTCAAAAAGGTATTAATAGTCTATTAATTCAATGTGAAGAAATGCCTTGGTCTACTACAAATGGTCTTATTCCTGATCTAATATTTAATCCTCATGGTTTCCCAACTCGAATGACAATGGGTATGATGATTGAGTTTTTAGCTGGGAAATCTGCTGCATTAACAGGTGAGAATAATGATTTGTTCAACTAGCAGTCTGTAAAGTAATATCACAGTTTCTTTACTAAGTGGAATTCATCATATCATTCACTACCAACTAACTACACGAAGTTCCGAAATAAGGTAGAAGTATGTACTACGTTATTTATTTAAACAGGTATTAGTACAAACACTCACCAAAATGTATATGCGCCACACAAATCACTTTATTTTTTTGTGTGGGTTAAAGTGCTGTCTGGGTGCCCAAACTAAAGCACGTGGTCTTCTTAAGCGGCCATTCCCTTAGTCTTTTATCTCGAAGTCTAATCCACAAGTCAGAGAAGCGACGTTAGGAGGTGCGTTCTCATGGTAGATAGTGACCGGGAATAGTTTCATACACCATTTGTTCCCTCAAGATTCTGAGTTCGATGTACTTCGTTGTTTTGAAATCAGGGTTTTCCAACACCCCTGAGTGGATCTTTGGTACCCACTAATCCTGCTTAAGTCCCGGATATTCTCTATTTTTTGGAGACAAATTGAGCCGCCTGCTAGGAGTGGGCTTTGAATCCACTTATGAATATATCCCAGTGTACTATATACCATCTGGAATTCATTTCACAGCAGTCGACTATGATTGTCTCTGTTTATTTTATTAGGTAATCGCATTGATGCAACTCCATTTCAATGGTCAGAAGATTCACCACCTTATGAAGACTATTGTCAAATATTAACTGATTGTGGTTTCAATCATTGGGGCACAGAAACAATGATGTCTGGATCAACTGGACGTCAGCTGGAAGCTCAAATATACGTTGGAGTTGTTTATTATCAACGTTTGAGACATATGGTAGCGGATAAATATCAAGTATGAAGAATATATGTGATAAATTTTATAGTAATGGTTACTTTGTATCAACTTTTGAGATTGAGATTGTTTTTTGGGTAATTGATTTTAGCGAGTGAATTCGATATTAGAATAATTAATTGCATTGTATACCATAGAAAAAAATGTTTTTGATCCGTTTACATAGATTATTACGTTTAATTAAACCAGCTAAAGTTTAAGATGTGGAATCTCAGTGGTTGAAGGTCATATAATAAATCAAAGCTCAGTAGTGAAATATGATTTAGTGTATTAGATTTTAGGTTACACTTTAATACTAAAGTGTAATTTGAAACTGTAACACGTAAAAGTTAAAAGTCAAACTAACCAGTGCCTTATTATTGAATTTAGTCTCTTTTTTTCACTTACAGTTGGCACCTAAATTTTCTGAAACATATATTTTGTAATATACAGATAATATTCACTAAATTTCTATGTGAGAAGTAGAAATCATGTTTTATTGTAGGATTTAAAGCGGTATATTAATAGCGGATGAATGTCAGGTACGCGTTTTCCTAGTGTACTATTTATGTTTAGACTTGTTGACTCTTGGATATCTTTCCATTATTATAAGGTAAATATATGTCCATTTTTATGAGGGTGTTCATTAAATCCACTTTTGAAATGTAATTATATTTCTTAGATCTCTTTATTGTGTGTAAGGTTTCTTGTACTTTCGTCCTTATCAAATAAAAACAGCTTGAATGAAGTTCAAATATGCTTCGATTTACTCTTTTATGCAAATTGCTCATGTGATTCCGATTTCTTTAGAACTTGGTATGTTGTTTTACATGACTGAATACAATAATGATTACTTTTATGAATATATTTCTACTAGGTTCGTGCTGAAGGTCGGTTCGATCCAATACTTCGACAACCAATTAAAGGCCGTAAAGTTGGAGGTGGTATTCGTCTTGGTGAGATGGAACGTGATTGTTTGTTATCACATGGTCTCGTTTTCAGTTTACAAGATCGTTTAGTTGATTCCAACTGTGATAAAGTTAAGGTAGGCATTTTCCAAAGCTAAAATAGTTATAGTACGGTAGTTATCAGATTTTTTGTCACGTTTTTTCCGTATTTGAGTTTTTTTTTATTCTTTTCGCAGGATTTTTTGTCTAGCTTGAATAGATTTCAGTGGTTAGTTCTTCCATGTCGTACTTTAACAGTTTACTAGAGTGTGGGATTTAATTCTACCTCCCGTTGTTAGGTATTTTGAACGAAACCCTTAACTATCGAACATGTAGTTGTGGTGTTTCTAAAGTCAAACCAAGTAAACTGTGTTCTTTAAACTGTAATCTGTTCCTAAAATATAAATTGTTATAAACGTAAGTATGCAGTCGCTAATTGTTATAAACGTAAAAGAGAGGATGCTGGTTATAACAGTAGGGGTTCTTGTTATAACAGTCCTTTTACTTCTTACACGTATGTGGGACGTTAATTTATCTTAGACGAATATCTACACTAGATTCCCACCCAGTGTCTATTCTACAGGACTTCAACAGAACTCAGATCAAGAACACCAGATTAGCCTGACTATGACGTCAATATATTTCCACACGAAAATCCGACACAAAGAACAGTCAATCAATAAGTGTCCATCAACAAGAAACAGTCAATACATAATAAGGATAGGGGAATATATATAACACATATAACACCTGTCATCCTGTCTAATGTCTGACTCATCGAGACAACCAATCATTATCATTCTCGCCCACACATCATAAATTAATACAATTAGTCTAGGAATATAGGCCAATGCAGACTATTAAAAAAGAGAAGTTGTAAAAATTATACATACCAAGCAGTAATTAAACGGCACCACAATCGGAACAATGGCTACTAAATCATGTTTGTGAAAAATTCACAGTTTTGTAATCAGTAGATTAAGAAACGCAGCCACTCAGAATAAAACGTTTCAACTTAAATATTATTCGTTAATCTGGTCTTACCAATCATGATTAATAAGTGATTTTGAGTAAATTTCTGCTATCGCACAAGAGAAGAAATATCCTTCCATGGTCTGAGCAGCCAGGAAGTGACAGTCCTTCTCATATCTCTATCAGCATTCAATATCCTCTTGTTCACAATCATATCCGTTCGTCACTTCTTGGCACTTTTTCTATCCCTACCGCCTACCCTTATATGACTTTACTCCTATACACCACCAATACTGACCATTCGAGTCCACGAGATGTTATTCCTTGTCTCTTGAAATTGCGCTCTGAGCTTCACTTTGACCCTTTTAATTTTCGTACCTTATGTCAAATAAGCTGACAGACTTTCTTGACTGTGACTCTAGAACCCTGGATCGTCGATGTATGCAGAGTCTCAGAAACATGCATACAAGACCCAAGTATGGTCACTCACTTTCTTTATTTCACCTAGTCTACTAAGAGAACTAGCGTGATTTACCATCCGTGTATCTGGGATCTTGACTGCTACCAAGTTTATGTCAGAACAGGTTTTCCCAGCTTGGATTCTAATAGACATTTATTTGTGCGCTAGATGGGGAAGTAAAAGCACAGAGGGATAGGGACACACCTTTGCCTCTCCGCCGTATCTGCCTACGCGCTCACTGACTGCAGTTCAAATTGAAAGATTTCTGTTCTTTACCATAAGCCAAATGCTCGGAAATAACAATCGTAGAGGGATACCTTCACATTCAGGTAGATAGCTTGAACCTCTTATAATGACCACACGATAATCAGTCCAACTAGCATAGTGTCTAAACTATTAGTCATCCAACACTTAATTAGGGCTTTTGAAGAGTAAACTCGTAAAAGTCAGGGTGGTTTCAGACGTGAACGTGGATGTGTAGACGGAACATTCGTACTTCTTCAAGGCCTTGAGCACAGACATACCTACCAACTTCCAGTCATAGTTGCATTTTTCAATCTTAACTTAGCATTTGATTCTGTAGATTTTTTGTGACAGCGTCTGTCATTGAGATGCATACAAAAGAATCATATTAACCTTGTACATGTTCTCCACTCGAACACTACTAGTTTAGTCAGAGCTTATAGAGAACTGTTATTGGAATTGGTAACTTCAAGTGGTGTTCGTTAAAGTTGTCCACTTTCCCCAGTTTTATTTAATTCTGTCATAGATATTCATCTTCTGACCTATAAGAAATCAGTCTTTTACTGGAAGATTCAATAGTTGACTTGGAATACACAGACGATATAGTTCCGTTTGGTAAAGATGCCGAAATAATACAAAGTTTTCTAACTACCTTAAGTGACTAGCTTTTACCAATTTACATCACTTGTAGATTAGGTAAGATATTCATTTGTTAACTAAAGGATTAATCTACTGTTTAGTAGTTCTTCTCGTTATGGATATGAAACATGGCTTTTAAAATTAGAGGATATCCATAAGTTACTAGTATTCAACCATAGGTGTCTTCGAAACATCACTCGTGTATTTCTGGACCACTGAGTTAGCGATTCTGACGTTAGTCTTAGAGTGCTAAGCAATAATGGCAAGTCGATTGACGAGGTAGTCAGTCTTTGGACGTGTATCATGTATTTACATCCACCGACTACCTCGACTAGCCATGATAACTGGTGTAGGAGTAGGCCAAAAAGAAGCTATAAGGCTCCAAACCAAGACTTGTCACCAGTCTATAAAGACACCAACTATTGAACTGAGCCACGTAGGTGGACTTGGACCATCTGATCGGGGTCCACGTAATCATCGTAAGTGATGACTAAAGACTTTGAATCATATGACTCAAAGTCGCTCACAATGACTCAGGTGCGTCCACCCTTTGTCTTTATTCTTGACGTCTTAAGGTCAAATTTTTGTAATGAGTAATAGTTATGATTTTCTTCATCGTAGAAAATATGTTATACTTATATGAATAATGTAAGTGATGAATTTAATAATAACTTCAGTATATAGCCACATGACTTCTACTTTGATAATTCTCACCATACTTCATATTTGTTTGAATTCATTTCTTATTCTAAACGACCTGAGGCTTCTTCAATCCTATTAACATGACAATTAAAACTTCGTGTTAATCAGAAAGGTTTCAATTAGACACTCATAAGACTGCTTAGCCAATATCAATCTTCACTAACATGTAGCACATCTTTATGAAATTACGTCACAACGTTTATTTAATACCATGTTTGTCAATTTGTATATTTAAATGCTTTTGTATTACTGTTTCTTTTCCAAAGATGCTTGCCTGTTCCAAATGCGGTGGTTTAACGCATTCTGATTTGGCACGGAATATCACTAACACTAGTGTAAACCAAATTACCTCAAACAATTCGTCTTCATTTGTTCCAGGTACAAACCGATGGTGTTGTCGTTTATGTGATTCTGATAGAAGTGGCTGTTTATCTCGGGACAGAGATAACTCTCTTAAATATGTTAAAGTTTCAGCTTCATTTAGATATCTAACGTACGAATTAGCTTGTTTGAATGTAAAAACTCGATTATCTTTGATTGACTTGGAGTAATTTGTGAATAATAATAATTTTTTATTGATATTCAACTGCTTCTCTATTTTGGAGGTTTCTTACTTCGTAAACTTCATGAATTGTGTGGTTAGATATATATTTATCTAATATCGAACCATAACTTGCGTAAAATTATTGGGCTTTATAAGATTGCAACATTTGGATTTTATTGAGTACAACCTAATTAAACGTAATTTTTTTATTTAAATATAAGTTGCCGCTCCTGGTGAATACGACTACTCAGTAGGTTGGCGAAAAAGTACAAAATAAATTTTATATTTTGCTGATAGTCTTAAGTTATTTGCGGTAGCAGTAATCACATCTTTCATAAAATAAGCCGCCTGTACGTAATTCTACTTAATATGCTATAGAGTTGACTTCGTTAGTGTTCTCACCGATGTCTATATGCTGTAGTAGAGGATATGTTCCATAGTTGTATGAATCCGCGATTGATAGGGATGAATGATGTGGTCGAGTGATAACGACTTTCCAAGGCTTACTTATTACTGTTGATTCTACAGTGACTGGATATTAGAAAAGGGATAACATCTTATCAGTAAGCTGAGTCTTGTTGAATATCTAACACTTAACTATTGGGCTCATTTATTGCCGACCATATAACCGAAAATATCACTAATTTGAAAAAAATAACTTCTTAAAAACATGTCTAGTTGGTATGATGATCCTACAGATTGCACACACAATTTTCTAAGATGTTTGAGGAAACATATTCAAGTAGAATATGGTCGGTATTATTTTGTCTGGCTGTTTTTATAAATTTGAGTAAACGCTAAGGTCTGGACATGTATTTTCTCTTTTAAAGAGCCTTTTGAGTGAGTTTCTGTAATCTCCTTGCTTCAGTTGTTTGAAAGTGTCTTGTTTTCAGTGTAAACGTGAGCTTTGAGACTTATTGTGGTTATAACTCCAACACTGATATTAGAACATATATTGTTTAGGTTTGTTGGTCAGAAGTGCGATAATATGTAGAAGTCGTTAACGATTTTATTTTTTTATGCAAAAGTTTAGTTACCGAGAAATTGTTATCAGTATTCTAGTTTATATCGAACTAGAGCCTGTTCCTCTACAAATTACCATTGATAAGTATTTTAAGGGTTAATGTTGGCCAAAAGACCTCATGTGTGTAGTTTTAAGCAATTTTAACAGGCAATAATTGTCCCACAATGTTTCCTCACTGGCATTTCCGCAGAAAAAGTTTTGGATTAGTTTCTTGTATTTTATTGACCATTTGCGCGTATCGAATTAGTTCTGTAGTTATCTCAGTTTTTGATAAACCTGTATAAACATAGAATTAAGAAGGACGAGACAAGCACTTGAATGTGAGAATTATTGTTACCAATTGAAAAATTACAGTAAAGTGAACATCCCTTCTGTGAACTTTGCAATGGTTCTGTGATTCTTACAAATTCTAAGGTTAAAATTTTTAGATGAGTTAGTTCCGTACTTTGATGTTTCACCGCCGGTGACGGAGATTTGCGGGTCATGCGAGGTGTGCTATTTTTTGATCCAACCTTTTGTAGCTGTCTCCTTCCGTTGTGGGGAGCAGTATCACTGGTGATGGTGGTGGTTGTCTTATGTGAAAATCCCACTGTCACTTTGTCCTTACTGATCCAGTAGTACCTCATTTTTGGACTATGGTTTTATTATTTTCAATCTTACCCCTCTCCGTCCAATCTACTTGGCATAGTAGGATCTATGAGAACGAATATTCCAGTTAGCATAATTTATTTAAGTTATCACGACATACAGACGTGACTACCATGTCGAAGTTACTACCGCAGTGGGCTACTAATCATCGGAAGCATTTTATAGTCCAGAAATAATGTATATTTTCCTGATATGCTCAGATTCGTTCAAGAATAACTGATACATATATCAGGGTGCATTTAATGACGAACGAGTTTAAGAAATTTATGTGAATGTCCAGTATTGTTGATGTTACATGTGTCTATGTTTAGCTAATAAAGATTCTTGAGTTTGTGAAAGGAATTCTAATTTAGATGATTATTATTATTACAGTTTTTGACAACGGAAAAATCCCAGGAGTAGGTATTCGTTTTCGATGGATTCATATACACTAAACTATGGAATAATACAGTTTTACAGCAGTAATATATTTTTGGGAAAGTAAATTATGGATCCATGTTTACAAAAAGGTTCTGTAAGTTATTACTTTCATCCGCGATGAATTCCTTAAAGAAATAGCTTTTTTGAGTAAATGCATTAGCAATAAACTTTTTTGGGTAATGAGCCAACTATTAGTTACCAGAATCAGGTTATTTAGACGGTAGCAGTAGTTGAACGTAACCTATAACCCTTTAGCGAATTGTACTGGTGTTTTGAGTCATTTATATTAGCGGATTTAATAAAACTTAACAGCTAGAACTCAATGAACACTAAGAAGTAGGTAATACAACATCGATACTGAATGACTGATTTTTGCAAATATCTCAGCCCTACAGCTGATGTAATATTGTCTGATTGTAATTTGAGTCAATCCAGTGAGGATTATCATTTCCCTAACTCACACGAACCACACCCGGGTTTTCCCTCTGGATCCCTCCAGTTATCTAATATACCGGCTACTTTGATCACTCCAAGTTTGATTATAGATTTGCTATCAATATTCACAAAGATCACCTACTAGAGGAGATTAGGTATAGTTAAATTTATATCCTTTTAATGCCCTCAAATGTCCTGGTACGGCCGAGAGTGGGGAGAGTCCGCTCTCCCTCTCGAAATGCTCTCACATGGCCACGAGTATATAGCCCCTGCCCGGGGAGGTCCTACTCACTGCCTTCTCGTGGCACTACTGTTGTTGACCAAATTGAGAGGACGAAAAGCGAATGTCTGGCGCTATAACCGGGTTGGTGGATATGAAGGATCCACCTAGGGGAGTTGGAAAACCCTCATTCCAAACCAATGGTGCGCATGGGCTCTAGTATCCTGAAGGAACAAGTGGCGTATGAACCAATTGTTGGTCACCGGCTACCATGGGACTGCACCTCCTCACGATGCTCCACTGCCTTGTTGGTTAGACCTTTAGGTCGAAGGCTTGGGGTGTGGCCTCCTAAGAAAACCACCTGCTTCGGTTTGGACACCCGGACAGTATCACAGCCTTCACGCAAATAAATGAAATGACACATTGAACAGACAATTCTATTCTCGCTCATACTAGAAACAAAACAATTTGCATTATTAATATTATTATTATTTACCATAGCGCCAATTCACCCCCCCCCTTTTATTCCCAAATTGTGTAACCTTACTTTTTAACTTATGCAGCAGCTCGCTCATGGTGGAAACTCTGTTCCATCTAAAAGATCTCTAGTCACTGTCTGGTCGAAAGTGAATGCTTCCACCGATTACGAATACTGAAGCAGTCTTTCTGCGAAACGTCCCGCTTACAAGCACTGGGTTTCTTCTGGCTCCTTACAACTGATGGAAGCCCGTCGGTCTACTCCGGGTGACCGTGAGTTTGACCACAAACGAAGGCTGTGAAATTGGGCAAAGCTTGCGTAAGGCCCGAGAAGCCTGGTGGTCGGAACGTGCTAATGAGACGGAAGTAGCAGCTGCATCTGGTAACTGCCGGAAGCTCTTCCAACTCATCCGAGCTACTGGCAGCAAGAAGTCTGGTGTGAGTGAAACAATCTACGAAGATGACGGTATGCCAATCACTAACATCTCTCGACGTCTTGGACGATGAGCAGAATTCTTTGAAGGGCAGTTCAACTGGCCTGCTGCTCCAGCAACATCAACTAGTTTGTCCTGCCCCCCATGGCCGGTGACGACTGATCCACCAAACGAGGCGGAAGTCCGCAAGGAACTCCAACTCTTGAAACGTTACAAATCACCTGGCCCAGATGACTTACCTCCGGCTCTTTTCAAAGATGGTGGTGACTTTCTGGCTAAGGAACTGACGGTGTTGTTTGGAAAGGTTTGGGAACAAGAAAGTGTTCCAACATCTTGGAATGAGTCGATACTTGTCCCTATCTTTAAAAAGGGTTCACGTTGTTCCTGCAATAACTATCGGGGGATAAGTCTACTTCCGATTGCGTCCAAACTATTGGCTTCTATCATTCTTCGTAGGTTGTTTAAAACCCGAGAACGATTGACGCGCGAGGAGCAGGCTGGTTTTCGTTCTGGTCGAGGATGCATTGATCACATCCTCACCCTCCGCCAAATGTTAGAACACCGTCATACTTATCGTAGTGTTTCTTGATATCAGGGCGGCCTTCGATTCGTTGGACAGGACTGTTCTCTGGGATTGTCTATTGAAGAAGGGTGTGCCTGAGAAATTCATTAACATCTTAAAGGCCCTGTATACGAACACCTCAGGCAGAGTGAGGACATACAACCACCTTTCTCCCTTGTTCCATTCGAGCATTGGGGTTAGACAGGGTTGCCCGATCTCACCATTCCTCTTCAACTTTGCCATCGACGACATCCTGGAAACAGCTCTGATGGATGTAAGTAATGGCGGTGTGGATATGTTGCCTGGAGAACGACTTCTCGACCTTGAGTATGCGGATGATATTGTCTTACTGTGCGATAATGCTCAAGCCATGCAATCCGCACTTAATCGGTTGTCAATCAGTGTCCACAGGTACGGCATGTGCTTTGCACCCTCCAAGTGCAAAGTACTCCTACAAGACTGGCAGGATTCTCATCCTGTACTCACCCTGGATGGTGAGGAGATTGAAGTAATTGAGAAGTTCGTGTATCTAGGTAGCTATATAAGTGTTGGTGGTGGCGTGAGTGATGAGATTGATGCACGTATAATGAAAGCCAGATCGGCTTATGCCAATCTGGGCCATCTTTGGCGCCTTCGTGATGTTAGTTTGGCTGTAGAAGGTCGGATCTACAACGCGTCGGAGAGAGCAGTTTTGCTCTATGCTTGTGAAACCTGGCCTCTCCGAGTTGAGGATGTTAGACGTCTCTCTGTGTTCGATCATCGTTGTCTCCGAAGGATTGCTGACATTCAGTAGCAACACCATGTTAGTAATGCAGAGGTTCGGCATCGTGTGTTCGGGCGCAGAGATGATAATTCAATTGGTGTCACCACCTTGAAACACCGACTTCGGTGGCTTGGACATGTTTTACGAATGTCGTTCCAGAGACTTCCACGTCGTGCATTATTTGCCGACTCTGGGACTGGTTGGAAAAAGCGGAGAGGAGGTCAGTGTATGACATGGTGTCGTGGCTTGAAAGAGATCTGCAAAGGGCTAGCTTCCGTTGGTCCTTCACGACTCCCTGGCTGGGGTCCGAGAGATGGTGCAACACAGTGGCTAGAGACGTTATCAGATATGGCTCAGAATAGAAGCCAGTGGCGATCCTGCTGTAACCTTCTTCTATTTTCTTCATAAAGAGTGACTATAACTTTCCTAACTGAGAGAGCTCTTCTGTTTGTACATTCAGTTCCCCCCATCACTACTTTTCTCCTTTTTTTCCTTCTTTTATATATACGCATCTTCTTCCTTCTCCAATTCTCATTATTTTATGTGGCGCATATGTATCCGGTGCCCTTTCTACCAATATATATATGATTAAATAAATAAATTATTCCTTTTAATACATAGTACTCAGAGGGGTAGTATAGTCACTGGTTTATTTCGATATTGAACAACTAACTTACCTGGTTGTAATCCGAAACAGTGTTTTTCAACTAAATTCTTATTTGAATCAGGATGTCTGTTAACTGTTGACCTTCTATGCACGAATCTATCTAAATTTGACTAACCCTTTCATTATCCTTGGTTGTTTTCTGTTTTTAATTTGAATATCACTTGATATCATTAGATCATTCTCGTCGTTTTTCGGCCCTATGGTATCGTCTTCTATATTTGTGGGGCTGTCATTGTTTACTTCAGCTCTTTTTTTCATAGGCTATCAGAAAAAAGTTACCAGGTTATATATTATATCTTGTAACTGCTGAGTTATATCACGTGTACAATTAATGGTCAGGGTACTGATTTTAATTTGGTCTGCTATTTGTTCCAGGGCTCGGTGTCTATGAATTGTCCAACTACACGCCTTACCAGCATTATTGACCTTGACCCGGCAACTGGGTTCCTACTAGCCCACTTTTCACTAGCTCCCTTCTATGCACAGTCTTTGGGTCTAGAAGTCGGCAGCCAGCCTTTAAGATACATATATTCCAAATAGACGTTTATATAGAGACGTATCGGACCGCGCCACAGCATAAAATAAAAGATGACAATTTTCACTTAACGAGCCAAAACTGGCTTGGAATAGGAGAGGCTGTAAGTAATAAGCTGACAACAAATTAGGAATATTAAATCCTACTTCAGTAGTTTATGAGTCAACGGAAAGCTTGTGACAAAAGGAATATACATATGGTTTCTTAATAGATATGCAGTCATAATCTATATGACACTAACCAATAAATTAGTTCCAAGAATTACCATTCTTTCGAGCTTCGTTCTCATGTAACAGTGAGCAGGTTTTCAATTATATATATCGTTTAATCGCTACATAGAGCACACGTTTATACAGAGCATTTGGATATTAAAGACGATCTAGTTGATCGATAAATCTCAAGTTTAGGAAATTGCTGTGTCGCCAAGTGCTATGAAGTTAATCTGTCCACAGGAAACCTATCAAAAGAATATCTGCGGCTAAATCTGAAACCAACCTAGTGTTTTTCCGATACACTGATTCGGAACTACACTTACGCACCCGCTCATTATAGAAGCTAGTGACTTAAGTATTATACTGGTAAAACTGATCCTTTTGAGTGTAATAGGGATAAATTACAGAACATCTTATAATTTAGTAAAATCTCTCTGCGTTCACTAATTGCTGCTAATTTTTTGGCACAATTTGTTATTTTCACGTCAATCTGTATATGCAGCTAAGTTGACCTAAGAACACATCCTTTTTAAAGTCGACTGAGTGTTTACTTAGTGTTTCATCAAGCGCATATTTGACAATTCAGTCTAGCTAACGCATTAGTTACCTCTGTGTTGTGGTTTCACATCTCCCATAAGACGGATAAAAGTATAGTTTCTCGCCAGAATATGACTAAATGTTGTACATGTCAACCAGAAGAAGTGGCAGACAATGAGTAAAAACAATACTAAATAATAATATGTAAGAGTGAGAGTGAATAACATTCCACCTATTTAATCAATTGCACGAACCTGTCGTTACAATTCGTTAAGTTAGCTAAATTTCACTCAAATTACCGGAAATTTATGTTCAACCTATCATATTAGACAATTGAAAAATGATTAACTGACATACCTTTGAGACGATTCCCTCTTTCAGGAAGTGTTTAAAGGGATATCTAATCCGGACGTCCATTTCATTAGACATTTTTGAATCTCTGCTAAAATACGAAACAAATAAACATATAATCTATTCACCGGGTAATTAATAGTGAGGTTAAAAGAAGAGTATTGGCAAATGATGACAAGTAACTTGATGAGGTTGAGAATCTTTATCAAATGAAATTGTTGAGCCACGTGTTGCATATAACTTTAAGAATCTATGTGGCTATATATAGTAACGGTCTGATTAGAGTTGCAACTAAATTTGTAACATTTCTTTAGTAGTGTCTTTATAAGTAAAGACGTGTTATTGTCGGAAAATACATAGAAAATGATAAGTCCTGACATTAATTAATGAGTACATTTGGATCAGATGATGTGTTATTGTCCACATAGTAAACCTATCAATAATCCATGTATGCTCAGATGAATCCAGAGCCGGCAATATCTGCTAAGCTGGAGATTGGCTCAATTAGTTTAATATTTTTAGCTCAAAAGTGCCTATTTTACCGCTGAAGATTGAAATACCTCGTTAATTTCGTTATAGAAACGTGTCCAAAATGGTGTATTAAAACAAATAAAAGAGAATACAATTTATAATATCTACTTGGTGACGCAGTACAAACTCTGTAATTTCTAAAAAGTTGATCTTTGTACTTGTGAAATAGTTTAAAATCTTGAATTTGTTTACATGAGTTCTCATAGTCACTCAACTGAAATGAACGCTTCAAGTCCGATAAGTGTTTATTAGCTGATATGTTTTCTAGTTTAGTGAGTGAATTTCATGATAGTAGGCTGGTTACTAGGTTCAACTGGCAGAACGACAACGAGTGACTTTGGTTGTTTGTGATGTAAGTTGAAATATAGTTATAAAAATAATGACAATAAAGCCTAAGAAAACATTAGTTAAAAAACTGAATCTAGCAATAGAAATCTTTACACAACTTAACTAATTGACAGATAAATGTTGAAAAAATGGAAAACAGAGGATTACTCTAGATGTGGTTAAAGTAAAACTAGGTTATGCAATAACTTTTTCCATTGAATAATTAAATTTAACTGCTTTCCAAACTGATGTCTGCCAATCCGTGAATACGCTCTTGAAGATTGAGTACATTTATAAGGACAATTTTTGAAAGGGTTGTCTTACGACAGCTAAGAAAACACTTACCATGTTAATGACATAGAGCATAAAGGAAAAAGATATAATACTTTTGTGTTTTCTTTATAATGAGCGATAATATTAGCATTCGTTAATAAATATTTTACCGCATCAATTTTTTATTACATATTAGGTCGTATTTCACGATAAATTTGTTACGTGCTCTGAGTCTCAGTTTGGAAAGGACAAGAGGTTGGGTGGTCTCCTTTAGTCCTGAGAATGTTGGTCTCTCAGTTTATTCAATTTTTTTTTAAAGAGCAGACAGATGAAGTTCCAATCACTTGATGAGGTAACGAATTTCACTCGTTAATGATTCGATGGGAAAGTCGATAGTCAGCTGACAATTTATTTGTTCTGGGCTAGTGAACATTAACGGAATGTCCTCCTAAACTTCCTGTTTTGGAAGACAAACAAATGAGGGCATGTCAGTGTAAATTTATCACTTAGCAATTTTAAAACTGTAACCAAGTCACTTCTAGCTCTTCGATGTCACAAAGGGAATAAGTTAAGTTTAGTCACTTGAGCATCATACAGGAGCTTCGCTATTCTGTGAATCAGCTTAGTTGCTGTTCTCTGCACCTTTTCCAAACTCCTACTGTGTTATTTAAACAGAAGTTAGTGGCTTGTATGCAATAGTCAAGTTTAGGACGCAATAACACTGTATACAAATTCAAAAAGGTTTTAGTGTTGACATGGCTAAAGGTCCCTCCGTATTGACCACAGGGTTCTAAAACCTATGGCGGCTATTACACGGCATTGTACAGTAATTTTAAAGTTTTGGCCAACGATGTCTCCTACGTCATTGTGTATCTGGACAACCGATAGCTCAGTGTTATTCATCGTTTCTGTATATGTGCCTTGATGACAAATATGCATTGCAATTCACTTAGAAATATTTATCAGCAACTGCCAGGTTTGAAACCATTCAGATAATTTCTCCAGGTCATTTTGAAGTTCTAAGCAATCACCCTTACTTTGTATCGCTCTCCATATCTTGACATCGTCAGCATATAGCAAGAAAGATGCCGATAGTAGACGAGGGAAGTCATTTACGTACAAGAGAAATTACACTGACCTCCAAACTGTACCCTGGGGGAATCCATCAAGCGCAATTTCAAAGACAGACAACTTGAGGTTCACCCGTACTCTTTGCTGGCGCCCAACTAGAAAGTCTTTTATCCACATCAACAGGCTGCCTCCAATCCCGACATTTCTTAGCTTATATAGCAGCCGGTTGTGCGGAACTTTGTCAAAAGCTTTGCTAAAGTTAATGTAGGCTATTCCCATAGGCTGTCTCCATAGCTCAGCTGCTTTCCCTAGTCATTAATAAGTCAATGAGACAGGAACAACTCATCCTAGAATCATGTTCCTTTTCCGAGAAGATCCGATTTTCCTCGAGACACTTAAACAGTTCCTTTCAGAATGATGTTTTCTAAAATATTAGAAACCACGCTAGTTAGGCTAACGGGTGTTAGTTCTCTTATCAATGTTTGGTACCGGTTTTAAACACAGGGACTAATATGGCGTTCTTTGAGTTTTTTGGTAAACGACCCTGGGTTACGGATAGATGGAAACATGTACTTAAAGGGTTCTCAAGGAAGTTTACTAGTTCCCTCAGTAACCTAGGATGCAGTTCATTGTGTCCCAAGGATTCGCCTATATCAAGCTCATTTAGAAAATCAAAGACATCCAGTTCTTTAATAATCACGTTATTCAGTGTGTGTATGGGGGGTTTGTGTCCACTGGAAGAAAAAGTGTTTTACGGCATTAAGATTGCAGAAGTAGTTTGAGAATACCTGAGATTTACAATAGTCGTCCCCACTAATGAATGAGAATTACTGTCTCTCCATTATGCTGGATTATTTACTATTCTGTTTGCCATTTGGTTAATATAGAAATACAAGCGTTTAGGGTGTTCTACAGATTCTTTAACAATTTTCTCTTCGTACAACCTCCTGAACTCACGGGGGGTCAAGGCACAAGCATTCCGAACTCCTCGATATTGGGATTTTGTCACGTAAGTACTTAGTGACCGAAATCTTTCCCACTTTCTTCTCTTCTTACAAAGAAGGGCCCGAAGCCCCCCACAGGGTTATGAGGGAGAGTTTTCGGACTTTTTGATGTAGTCCACGGGATGTGTGGTACGGCGAATTTTAAGTATATATTTAGAAAGACATCACAATCTCTTTCTTTGGTGACCCTAGCACTATTGTTCAATCTACTGACGATGCTGAGCGTTTGATATCTTGCATATTTGATTTACAGTCGTCGGATCTGAGTTGAGCTGACTCGTTCTTGCTTTTGTCACCTCTCTGGAAGTCAAACATCAGAACAGCATGATCTTTTTAATCTCCGGTTTGCATGTAATCGAGGTTCGTGACGTCATCCTGATGATGGGTTAATATAAGATTTAGTAACTATGAATCAGAGTCATGGTCGTACCTAGTCGCTTCTTTCACATGTTGTACTAGGGCACATGTTATAAATACATCAAATATTTCCCGCTGGAAGGAATTTTCAGACAGTTCAGTTTTCAGATTTTTGCAGTCTAACAGGAGTGCATCAAAGTATCCTAGGATTAGGCATCGACCACTTTGTGACCGAGTATTGAGAGTGTCAGCAAGACCTCATTTACCTCATAGCTTGGACTGTGGTAGACCAAACCAATTAGCAGCACTTTGAAATTGCATTTCAAGCGGCAACTATTTAATTCAGAAGTCCCTCTGCCATGGGATACACTGTCGATAATTTTAGGTGTGATAGTATTCCTAATGAATAGAGCAACCCCTCTCATTTACACTTCTGGATTCCGTCGGCCCTTACATACGTAAGGCTTTCAGAATCAAGTTTCATACCATCTATAGATTATGTAAGCCACGGTTTTGTAACTGTGATTATATCTGACTTGGTAGAGTCAGTCTGTTCACCTAGTTACGAGCATTGGTGTGACAGACCCGAGGCCTATTTAAATGGCTTCCTGTTGCACACACAGTGGAGTCGCTATCATATTCTGTCGGAGCCTCACAGCCAGAAAGTTCGCAACTTTTAGGCCATTTTCGCCAGCATCTAACCTAAGTTTCAGTTCTTTTTGGGCTTTTCGTCTTTTAACATGGTCTATGAGTGGCAAGTCCTCACGAAGTAAACTTTCGAATCCTCTAGTTAATTTCCATTCTGTAATATTAAGTCCCGTTCATTAGGAGATTTAAATACTTTTTAAGCAACCTGATTTGATTTTGTTTCAAGTTTATTTGATTATCTAGCAAAGTGACTCCGGAGATATCTTGAGGCATAAGGTGATTTTATTAACCCAATGTCATGCTGGGAACGAGTTCTAGGTTCTGAGCCTTCACTCTCCTTGATTCTATGAGAGATAACTGACCTGTCACAGTGATCAGTCTTTCATCTCGCAACTAGTTCTTGAGGGTTTACATTTTCTTTGAGAGCGTTATATCGTTTCATGCTATTGACCCATTCATCAGCTTTCGTTAGAGTAGCAACCGCAGTCGCGTCAAGCACATTATGGGATTCCAAAAGATTATTGGCGACTTGGGAAGTCAGGTTGTTTTTCCTGTTAGAAACAGATCTAGCCTTGCGATCGAGATCTTTGGGCGTTTCCTTTAGGATAACATTTAGAGGACGAAGCATAGAGTAAAATTCCCTTCTTGAATTTTTATTTAGTACAGACCATTTTGAAGTTGGTTTTCCCTCCTTTGACCAAAGTGGGTCGGATGTTACCGAAATCACATAAGGTAGCTTCGCATTAATTTGTGTGTCGATAGAGCGAGTAGTGTACAATGTGCCCAGACCTCGTCTGTTAATACCTTTTTTAACAGCAGTTAACATTGAAAAGACCTCGGCTAGCAAGCAGCACTGCTAACAAAACCAAACGCAACCATTTTTGGCAAACTGTTTAGAAGCTGCAGGCGTTAGATTCGTGCAAATTTTGTTGTGCCAGCCTTGGCACTTGTCGCACTGTATGCCGCTTTCAACGACGTATTGAAAGTCCGGGCGTTGTCAATTGTTTCTTTGGCACTGTCCAGCCATCAGCGGTTTTCAAAAGGAAACTAGATACAATAATACCCAAAGACAAAAGTATTTTTAGACCAGAAAGTTGAAAACTGTGAATTGTTAGAACCGAAATTGCTGACAAATATAATAGAAATAAAAGTACTCGAAAGTACAAATAACAAACTACTTCGGAAACAAAAACGATACTCCTAACGGATACTTTAACTGACGTAAATTTTATTAATGTGTAAACAGTAGTCTTGATACGTAATAAACGATCAGAACAATGAACTTAACCCAGCGAGAAAAAATACTACTGTTCTTTTTAAATAGCGTGGACAGTAAACGAAAACTGGAAACAGTCACAGCTGCGTTCGTCAATCCTCAGACGTCTTTTCAGTTCTGTTACGGCTTTCCCTTACTTGATGTACAGAAAGTTTACGTATTTTTTGCAATTTTACGGATTTTAAAATATACCCTGAACAATGTTTATACGAACTACACAGGCATTTCGTCTAGCTTTCTTCGAACTTACTGTAGGATCATCAACGTTGATGGTCTATGTCGAAATGATTGGGGGCCTACTAGAGTTAGACGAGAATGGTGACGAACCAACCACGAAAGTACAGAAGCGAAAGTACAACCACTGCTGCGTGGGCCAGTCCATGGCGTACCATTAATTGATGCGCGTTGACTGTCTTTGACCTTGACAAGGATCGACGATCTGTTCGATATTCAGTGACCCAACTGCCGAGTGGTCTGGCTAGGGTTCAGTGACATTTCACTGACCTTACAGGACTAAGCCTCAAAGTTGGCCAATGTTACGCTTCTTGTGTAGGCATTGCTGAGATTCATGTCAAGCTTCCTATAATGATACAGGCAGTCCAACAAATTTTGGAAGGACTAGCAAAATAGCCGACAGAGAACAACTAGATTCTGCACAAAACATTCAGATATGTATTCAACCTAACAAATTCCAGAACTTCTATTATTAAATACTAAGCTAAGGCCAAACACAGTTAACTATTAATTCAAATGATATAAGAAAGAGAAATTCACTAAACATTAACATCCGAGTAGGTAAATTTGATAAGTGTGTAGCAAAGAAGTCTAAGAAAAATATTAATCATTTCATGACAACAATTCCTTTACGTGAGAGAATCATCTAAACAACAAAATGAGGAAAGTGGATTGGAAGTCCTCGGATTTATGATTCTCTGTCGTCTAATTCATCTTACATCGCCTTAGTCAATATTAACCTCTAGTTTCCGAAGCAACTTAATTCCACATTTTGTTTGGTGCTGACAAGTGGTAGCGCGCACAATGAAAGTAGTTGCATATGAATGTACTTCGCTCAGCTGTTTTCTACTTGGTCTTTCATGGTTAGTAGTTCTTGTGATAAAACACAATAGTCTCGAATTCAGATTAAATGAAGAAAGAATCCGCATTTTAGTCCACAGGAGCTTTTGAAAATGTTCTTTTTAATACTTACTGACTGTTAATATACATTATTTCCGAAGATATTTGTACATACTGGCTCAAATAATGGGTAAAAGTTATTGAAACCTATTTCAAAATATAGATTTCAAAAATCCATGGGAAGATTTTATTTTCGACCAGACAGTCGATAATATTAGTCAGTTTGTGTAATAATTATATGTTTGTTTTGTAGATGAATCCTCTGACTGTTTTAACAATATAAAACTGAGCAGTAAGTTTTTATTTTACAGAAAAAACACTCCTACACAGACTTTCCCTTTCTTAAAAGTCAATTATCCTCCATTGACTATCTCATAAAGTGTGAAATATGCAATGTTATGCTTCTTCCGGAGAGCATTTCTTTGCATTATGGTTTGTTTTTTTATTTACATTGTATGATAATTTTTTTTACTAGACGACCGGCACTCAGAGCCTTCAAAGTTTGTTAGTTCCGCTGTATTGCCTTACGAAGCTGTTTCTTGGTGTGAATGTCAGGCTGAAATTGATTCCAAAAAGGATCGGACTTCCAAACGCACTAAGGTCGCACCTCTCAAACGTCCTAAACGCAGTACGCCAAACTCTTTAGACGCCACGCCATACTCAGTTAAAGTGAGCATATCGAAAACGGTTATTACATGTGGAGAGGTTGAAAAGACTAGTCATGAGGAACTTAGAGAACCGGTTTTGTTGAAATTAGCAAAGTCAGATGGAAAAATATCTCAAAGTGAGGAAGTGTCCAAGAAGCCTTTGAAAAAACCCACAGAAAGTAAACCTAATGAGCGATCTGTGTGGTCCGTTGTTTGTCCTAGAGAGCATTCTTCTGGTAATTTTTATGAACTTACTTCCAAAAGTCAGGTTGAGGAAAGTCGACACCTGGGGAAAGATATGTTTGAATGTCGGTCAAGTTTTAATCATTCTAATGATTCTGGCATTGGATCTCACGCTAATTCAGTTTTTCGCTCTTCGTCATATCCCCCGACACCTTCATTGTCTCCACATCTTCCAAGTTCCAGTTCATCAAATGTTTCTGATGACACGACATTTGGTTTCAACCAGTTCCGTTCTGAGGTTGCGAATCGACCTGTTTCACGCTCATCTCACTCTAGTTCTAGCAGTGGAATCGGTATTTCTGATCAGCATAATACAGATTCTAGTATTACTATCCCAACAACAATTTTCAATGTAAATAGTACAAAAGCAGTCACTTCATTTCCTTTATCAGACGTAAAATCAACTTCCAAATGCAAAGTCAAGTGCAAGCTTTCGACGGTTTGTCTTCGTAACAACGTCCCTCTAGGTTCCACTTCCTCTCAACCGATGTTCCCGGGTGAAGCATTGACTAAAGTGCATCCCAGTAGGGAAGCAGAGTCAGCTGTGTATCATCTAAAAAACAATCGTCAGGAATTTGATAGTAAGTTAATTAATAGTGAGTTGAGGCGGAATGGTTTTCATAGCTGGATTACTGGTGAACGACCGACGTCATCAGATGCCACACACAAGGCCGATAACGTCAGACGTTTATTGGCATTTCAGCGGCTATCAACCCCAAGAAATCAAACAATTCTATTGCAACAAGCCCCTAGACAGATAAAGAGTGTGCATTTAGCGCCTTCGTTCATCTCACAATATTATCAAACAGAAAACTTGGAAGGTAATGAAGCTTCGACTTCGAGTGACACTAATCGATTTGTCCAACCAAACATTTTAATACAACCAGAAAAGTCCTCAAAACTAGATGTGGTGAATGATGGTTCATCTCGGATTAACTGGCCTCCAGAATCTTTGATTTCTGGTCCCTCTGGCAATATGGCTAGGAGTACTGGCGAATTACAAGAATTCTTGGAAGAGCTAGGTAGATTTAATTGTTTGTTTTGTATACCATAGAGTTCAGCGAAATTTTGTCTATTCACACTACACAAAAATCAGTACAAAAGGTATTTCCAAACAAAATACTTCGAATGAACTTTTCATACAATTACCATATATCCACGATTTTTCAAAAATTTCGTTTTTTCGATCTACCCTCATTTGATAAAAGTGCTAACAATTAATCCACTTTCAGCTTTGACTATTGAAACAGTGGATGGAAGATCATAACGAGTAATTCATTTAAGTTATGGCTGATGTCGAGTTGCTCACTACTTATCAGTAACCCCAATGAAATTAGCATCAAACCTCTCAATGGGTCATTATAAGTCAATTCTAGATGTTATTAGGTATAATGGCTCGGTCGTTACAGTTAGACCAAAATATCAGTTTGACAGGTGGGTGTATTACCGCCGAATCATTATCAATCGCTTATCACATCTCATGATAACCAACAGCCGTGCTTTTGTGGTAATCACGTCCGATCAACAGTTCTGCAGTTTCTTGGCTCTTAACTTAAACAGCAAGTTGGGGATAATCAAGGATTAATCGGGTCTGCTCACGAATGTATGGACTGATATCTTATCAGCGTAAAGTATGCCTTAATTGGCGATGTGTCGGATACGCTTTTGTTCTAGGTATAGAATGTTAATTCCAGAATGGCCTAAGTTTAGTCGTGGAAGGGAAGTGGGATTATATCGTTTTATGACTCGGAACAGATCTCATCAGTGCAATTTCATTTTCATATTTACCACCAAATCCTATAAATTCCTATGTTAATCTCCATTAACATTGGTATTTATATGTACGTACATTTTTTCTTTCATCACCCTTGCTATCTGATGCTCCTATTATATTAAAGGGAGTTATGGAAACTTGGGCTGATCCTCATTTATATCAGATCTTCCGTGTCTATGGCCGACTAATGTTTAGTCCCCATGTTGTTGTTCAGTTAGGAATCAGTAGCGCAACTCAAAAAACCATGTAAACTGCCGGATCTACTCTAATAGATAAATGTAATATTCGTGACAGCCATCCTCAATATATATATATATATATATATATATATATACCTGTTCGCTAATATCAAGATTTTATCTATATAACTACATAATATCAGACAGCTAGTTTTTATACTACTGAATAGTGTTTCTCCAGTTCATCTCAGTATCCTATTTTGCCAAGCTTTTTCAGTACGTATAGACACATTTTTCATGAACAGTTGGAACCAGGATTTTCCAACGCCCCTGAGTGGGCCCTCCGTGCTCAAACCCATCTTAGGTCTATTTAGGTTAGTATCATGAGGATTAAGTAACATAATTAGTACTTAGTAGACTCAGAGTAAAGTAAAAACCTATAAAAACGCTACTTGATTCCCTGTGTTATATTTAAGTAAAAATGAAATATGAGATCATAGCATTAAGATAGTGCACAAACTTACTTAATCCAGGTTTTGAATATTTATGAAACTGTCAGTTTGGCTGATGATGCATACAAGGAAGTTGAAAACGTTAGCTGAATACCTTAAGTAAAAATAATTGTGACCTAGGTGCAACTTGTTACAATTCTTATAAAAATATGTGCCAATTGTTAAAGAACTAATTCATTGTGTGAAAAAGCCGCTTTCTGTTGACAGTATCAAACCGTTTTATTACAGTCAAAAAACAAACAGTAACTAGAACGATTACTAGACAATTAGACTTGTTAACTCTAAACAACTATTCCTGTCTCTTTTGTTCCTAACATATATTTTTAGTGTTGACTATATTAGTGGGATACAAGCCTAAGAATCCAATATATGTCAAATAAAATGTCCAAAGCACATTTTTTACATTTTTGGTGGTGGGCCATTTGAGATGTGATTGACCGATTACAGAAAAATATAATGGACTACAAAATCGTTACTTGTTGGTCTCAGCATTTTGTATTACCGAAATTATGAAAGAGATGTCTAATAAAGGCTACACAACATTTTTCATTCTACTCTTTGCCCTCGAAAGTTTGATTAGAAACTATCATTTTATTTTGAATCACTATTATTGCTTACTGAATAACTCACGTAATGACAATAATAACAAAAAAATCATCAGCATAACTTCCGTACTATTGAGATGATTGGTATAAATGCACTTTTTGTGAAACTATTTTAGGTGAGTTATTACTAAAAGAACCGGTTTATATAAGTTGATATTGTGTTCTATCGATCTGGACAAAAGCTTTTGGTTGATGCTAACTTACTGTACGATTCAAATTATTTTTCCTTCTTTTTCAGAGGATACATTTGATCCTCTTACTCAGTGTGGCTGCTTGGAAATGGACGATATCAAGTGTAAAAATTCTATTTTATGTACAGTAAGTTTTTATTTCATCTATCGATTTGGTTTGATTCTACTTATTTTCCGTTTTGCTTGTTGCTTATCTAGCGATTGAAATTTTCAACACTATGCATTTTTTACCAAGTTTACTAGATTGTCAATATTAATACCATAGTGAATTAATAATTATTCTCCGATCACTTATCCGATCTTTTCTTCTAAGAGGACATTTTTGCTTATTTGATTAAGATTTGCGATATAGTATTTAAAATAGATAGATACTAAATCTTTATCCCTCTATACGACTTAGGAAAATATGGATATATCTCGTCATATGTATAGGTATTCTACAATGTACAAAATAGGTTTTAAGGGTTAGTCTCAAGTTAATATTGGTTTTTGTCTGCACCCTTCCGAAAACTAGCGTAAGACAATGATAGAGCGCTGGCTTAGTAGTAAAGGCGTTTGGCTTTCAGCCACTAAATCCTAGGATCAAACCCTCCACCTAATTCGATTCGAGTAACTAGGTCGCATCACTAGCTTTCAGACTTACAGTATGGTTTGTATCTATGTACTTGATAAATTAGTTAACTATATATATTGTATGTTATAGTGGAATAGTTAATTCTAACGAGTTTAATCTTTATGTATTGTCGTGGCATTCTTTTTCGTATTGTGTCAACATTACATTTGCATTGTCATTTTAAAAGCATAATATGTTACAAACTATTAGAACAAAGATGGAAAATAGTCTGCCATATGTAATTTGTGAATCTCAATATTTTTGGGATATATGTAGTTAAGATTTTAGTTGATCTTTTTAGTGTGCAATCCACGTATCTTTTTCTGGACTTTCATATTATAAGTAGTGTACTTGTGTAAATTCTGAATATGTATATTTTGAGTACGTGAGGCAACATACAAGTTGTACTCTAACTCTTACTTGCTCATCAAAGCTATTAACATATAATATTTGTGCTTGTTCATTCATTTTTTACATATGATTACCTATAAACCATTTATGGGTTGTTATCTCAGTTAACACGTTCCTCTAGATGAAATAAAAAATCCTTTGACATATTGTTTTAGTAATTTTTAATATATCTTCGATTTCCTCATTATTTCCATGGCAATTATTCCTTGTTTAAGTTCAGATAGTTTGTCGGGTTTGTGCATTAAATTTTTTCTATGTGTAATTAGTTGTTGGAATTTGATACATTTCAGTTGTTGTGAGCAGTTTTCCATTGAATTCAGTTTTTTTCGGTTTCTATTCGATATTTGTGATATTTTATCTCAATGCACTGTTTTAAAGCTTTTTCTTTCAGATTAGTTTCATGGAAATATCTCCCAAATAACTAGGTTTTTAACACCGGCTTTTAAATTACACAATAAGTGTACAACTTATTACCTACTGCTAAATAATATTTCAAAATATGTTCTTGTAGAATATATTTTTTTGATTGGTGAATATATGATACTCAAAATAATGTTTTTCGGTAGTATTTAATCATTGATTATAATGCTGGTTTGTTCAACACCATATGTTCGTTTACGGTAGAGAATTCTCAGCATAAAACATGCAACTTTACAATAAAACTCCCTCATTCATCTTTTAAATATTCAAAAATATGTATAAAAACATTTTAAACAATGATTAGTGTCCATCTATATTCATCCATAAATGTTTACGATCAGTCTCGCTCTCATGAAACCTCTTCATTTTTTAGTATACTTGAGGCATGGATTTTAAAATAATCGCTTCTAGTTTTTCAAGGGATAGGAACAGTAGAAGAAAAATCTAGGAACTACCGTGTTTGTGTTTCTTGAGTTTCTTGGCAATTAAATTCTTGATAAGTTGCACGAGTTTTATGGGAGATGTAATTATATGTGGTTAGCAGAAATAATAAACTAGAACGAATCTAGACCAGAAAATTTTGTGATAATAAGTGTACGATTAGAAAAATGGTAGATGGGATGTTCGACCAACTCACTTTATTTTGGTAATTTATGTACGTGTAGTGACTTAGTAGAACAAGTCTACCTCTAAAATGAGTAGATATGTATGATTAACACTTCAACCAAATAACAAGACGAAATTCGCTTGGATCTGTGAAGCTGATATGATGCCAGTCAATTATATGTATTGATCATTTCTTCACTCTCTTCCAAATGTTAAAACACCGTCATACTTATTGCAGACCAACAGTCGTGGTATTCTTGATATCTGTGTCCCCTTCAGTTCGTTGGACAGGACTTTTCTCTGGAGTCGTCTATTGAAGAAAAATGTGTCTTAGAAGTTTATCAACATCTTGAAAGACCTATTTGAAGACACCTCAAGAAAAGTGAGGCATGCAAACACCCCTTCCCATTGTTCCATTCAAGCATTGGAGTTCGGAAATGCTGCCCAATCTCACGATTCCTCTTCAACTTTGCTATCGATGACCTTCTGGAAACAGCTCTGATGGATGTAGGTAATGGTTGTATGGATGTTTAGCCTGAAGAAAGACTTTTCGACCTTGAGTATGTGTATTATATTGTCCTACTGTATAGTGATGCCCAACTCATGCTATCCGCACTTAACCAGTTGGCTGTAAGTGTCCGTAGGTATGGGATGTGCTTTGCACTTTCCAAGTGCAAATTACCTTTACAAGACTGGCAGGAACATAAACATGAGCTCACTCTTTGTACTGAATAGACAAAATGTAGTCGAGAGGTTCGTGTATCTGGGTAGCTATGTAAGTGCTGGTGATGGCGTGAGTTATGAGATTAATGCACATATAGAGAAAGTCAGAACGGCTTATGCTAATCTGAGCGATCTTTGCGCCTTCGTAATGTTAGACTGGCTGTAAAAGGTCGAATCTATAAAGCGTTGGTCAGAGCAGTTTACTCTGTGCTTGTGAAACCTGATCTCTCTTAGTTGAGGATGTTTAGTGACTCTCTGTGTTTGATCATCGTTGCTTCCGAAAGATTGCTGACATTCAGTGGCAACACCAGGTTAGTAATGCAGAGGTTCGGCATCGTGTGTTCGGACGCAGAGACGATAATCAAGTTGGTGTCATCATCCTGAAACACCGACTTCAGTGGCTTGGACGTGTCCCACGAATGTCGCGCCACTGAATCGCACATGGTATGTTACATGCTAACGCTAGGAATGGTTGAATAAAGTGAAGAGATGATCAATGTATGACAGTGTCGTGGTGTGAAAGAAAGCTATGCGGGTCCTGTTTCTGTTAATTCTTCACTACTCCCTGTTTGGAGTCCTAGAGATGGTGCAACACAGTGGCTTGAGATGTTATCAGAAATGGCTCAGAATCAAAGTCAGTGGCGATTCTGTTGTAACTTTTACTTTCTTCATAAAAATGGACGTAACTTCTTTAACTGGAATTCTTTCTGGTTCTATTTTTCCTAACTGAACTGCTTTTCATAATATGCTCAACTGCCTTGTGGATCAGATCTTTCGGTCAAAGGCTCCGGGTGTGGGCCTCTAAGAAAACCACCTGCTTCAGTCTGGGCACCTGGGCAGTATCACAGCCCTCAAGCAAATCGAATAAGATTTGTGAGGCGCATATATATCTAGTGCTTCCTTGTACCAATATTTATGTGTTTAAATAAGTTAAATAAATAAAACTTTCATAATATTACTATCATTATTATTATTATTTCACTCTCATACACTAATTTATATTCATTTGTGTTCTTTTTGTTATACTCAATTCCCTTCCTCTTTCTTTTTACAACCTTATTGTTATTGTGTGGTGCATATATATTTTGGTATCCCGTTGTACCAATGTTTATGTATTCAAATAAATAATAATAGATTAATTAGAGAAAATGTCTAATTATGTGATGTATGACGAGTACATAATGCTCCTTAATTATTTAGTTTGAAATTACCAGATTTAAAATGTTTTTAATTTACTGATAGGAATAAAAGATTAATAAGTGCAATAGTGTTAATGATATTGAAAGTTATGCTAATGTTCGGAGTAGTTCTAACAATTTTTATTAATCTTAAATAGAAAATTCCTATCGATTTTTGCCTTCGGCTATACATTTATGATATTAAGAACGATTAGTTTTTGAATTAGATTTTATGCTACAGTAACAGATAATTCACTCTGGAGTAGATGACTAGTACAACAGTAATATGCTCTTGAGTATTATCCGTAAATGAATTGATGATGTATAAATACAAGATGTTATTACAATGAATGAATTAAACCACACACACATCCATAATCTAAAAACACTTCAGGATGCAACATTTCAGAATGCCTATTATTAATCAGTTACCTTTAGAATAAAAATTTTATACGTCTAGTATTACTATAGTGTACTATTAGAAGAATTCGTCACTTCTAGATCTTAATTACTCCAATCTGATAAATATACTAACCATAGTACTTTTTGTTTGATTGTGCGTTGTCTACAAAGGAAAATTAACACTTTTTTTAGTAATAAATTTTAAAAAAAGTTTGTTCGTAATTAAGAAAACAAAAAAGGAACATGCCGAAATTCAATCTTTTCATCTAACAGCTATTTATATTAATTATGTATACGTTTACTAGATACAACTGGAAAACAAATTTGATGTATAATTTGTATTCACTAAGTTGTTAAATGTTTTTTTTTCTATCGATTTTTCTAAAATTCCATCTTAGCCTCTGTCACTGTATAGATGAATGTTCCTGGAAAATGTAAATTGACTATTTATTTCATGTATGGTGAGAATTCAACTTTCAGCCATTAAGTTACATGTTTCAACAATGAACCACTTATTTCATTTTTAGCAATTAATTAATATTTCATTGAAATCATGAATTTATCTAAGTTAGACCTGGCAGCACTGGACGATCGTTTCATCCTAGTATGGAACTGCTAGGTTGTGGAGGCGATGAGTTCATGATTTCAGTACAATTCAACAATCTCAGCAATTCTATTGTAACAACCAAATTATACCACTACCCTTCACATTTAAAATGTGGCTCAAAACCAAGTATATATATTTATATAATCACTAGCCGTCATACAAATTAACTTAGATATAAATAAATAAAGTATATATTTGGTGATTTAATTAAAATAAACTCCATATATCATAAATATATTTAATTTACTGGATGTTATTAAACTATTTGTATTCATGAAGTGGCCGGGTCTTCATGATTAAAATGCTTGTTTACTAGACAATAAATATCAGGCTTGAACTCCTCAATCAACTTTAATTTGACCGACCATAAATACCTGTATTTTTAACTGTTATTCTACAATAAATTACTGACTTTTTTCATAATCAAAATTCCAACTCTGTTTTCTAATTCTATCACTTAAGTTCGAATATTCTAAGGTTAAAATTCTGTCTATTAACTCAGTATGTAGTAAAGGAAAACACAGATGAGGACAACCGATTATATTCAGCACAAAATTATAAAGTTACTTGGTAGAATAGAAAAATCATACTCCAATACTTAATTTGTAAAATGTTCATTAATTATCTCCGACTTCATTGTTCCTGCATTTCCATACCCATTGCTTTCTGTTCCCGTTCTTTCCTCCATGATCTTCTTAACCTTCTGCTGCTAGACATTCTATTTCTGACTAGCGTTATATACCACATGTGTCAACATAAGTAGCACACACCACATGTATACTATTTTGTTTTCTGTTATGCTTATCTGTCAACTTAGTTTCAACTGCTTTATCATTAGAATAGAAAGACTTGTACGTATAATGCTTATTTTCATGAATTTACTTCTATCAACTGTAAACTTTGTGGCATTTCATTTGTGCAACGTTCAGGTAGGAATTTATTTTACATACAAAAGTCGACTTGTAAATTTTTACTGTTTACCGTAGCATATTGTTAAATTGAAGAAACTAATAGCTACCAGCCAGTAAAACAATGTAAATATTACATATCGGTTATCACATAATTCATATATGTGTATTAATCTGGCTTAAAATATTTTCCTCCAGGTACATACAATTGAGGAGAAACGCAGGGTCCCCCGTCAACATGATTTACGCCTTCTTATGCGTGAAGCAAGGAAAAAACAACAAATCTTAAGGTTAGTTGAAATTTGTTTCCAACATAACATCAGTGAATATTCATCAATTATGGGGACGCATTTTCTCCCCAATCTTAAAACCCCATATTGCAAATTAGAACAAAATATAAAAGCGAACAATATTGTTTTCAATTAGATCCCCACTAGGTTTTACTCTAATGTACATTAATATTTATATGCATATACGAAATTATTAAAGTAATCAAGGAAGTTAATGTTTCAATGATAACAGTGGAATAGATTAAATAAATAAGCGTAATAATAATAAAAGTATGAATTGATAGTGTGATGACAGATATACTAGTTGTGATAAGAATACTTACTTACCTGCTTACTCCTGTTACCCCACACGGAGGAGCAAAGGCTGCCCACCAGCACTTTCCATACAACCCTGTCCTTGTCAGTCCTTTCCAGTTGTTTTTAATCCTTTTCATACGTGCTTCCACTTCCCAACGTAATGTGTTCTTCGGCCTTCCTCTTTTCCGCTTCCCCTCATGATTCCAAGTTAGCGCTTGCATCATGGTGCAGTTTGGCGATTTCCTCAATGTATGTCCGATCCGCTTCCAAAATCTTTTCCTAATTTCCTCTTCATGTGGAAGCTGGTTTGTCCTCTCTCACAGAAGGCTGTTGCTGATGGTTTCCGGTCGATGGATGTTGAGTATCTTGCGTAGACAACTGTTTGTAAATACTTGTAATCTTATATGCATATAAATATTACTGTACACTAGAGTAAAACCTGGTGGGGATCTAACTGAAAACAATGTTGTTCGCTTATATATGTTGTCCTATGCTTATCGAGTCTACAGAGTTAATGATTATATATGAGATAATATCTTTCTGTTCCATCCATTTACCATTAAGGTAATGTGAACCATTGCCCAAAGTTATTTCTTCTCACTTTTATTAAATCTAGAAGGTAATCATTTATTTGACGGAATCGCTGCATCTGAGAATGAGGGTTTTCTGTACAGTAGATGTTTATACAAAATTAAAAGTCAAGTGAATGATTTACTTTGTCCATCTTCCTGTACTGTACTAAATATAATATATCCATTCCCCCAAATGCCCTGGTACGGCCGAGAGTGGGGAGAGTCCGCTCTCCCTCTCCAAATGCTCTCACATGGTCAGCGAATATATAGCCTCTGTCAGGGAAGTCCTACTCACTGCCTTCTCGTGGCGAGGGTGTTGTTTACGAAATTGAGAGGATGAAAAGCGAATGTCCGGCGCTTTAACCGGGTTGGTGGAAATGGAGGGTCCACCTAGGGGAGTTGGAAAACCCTCATTCCAAACCAATGGTGCACATAGTCTCCAGGATCCTGAAGGAACGAATGGCGTATGAACCAATTGTTGGTCACCGACTACCATGGGACTGCATCTCCTCACGATGCTCCACTGCCTCTTGGATCAGACATTTAGGTCAAAGGGTCCGGGTGTGGTCCCCTAAGAAAACCACCTGTTTCAGTCTGGGCACCTGGGCAGTATCACAGCCCTCACACAAATGAAATGAGATTTGTGAGGCGCATATTTATCTGGTGCTTTTTTGTACCAATATTTATGTGTTTAAATAAATAAATAAATTCCTCTCAATTGTTTATAATTTGTGACAAGAGAAAAACCAATCTATTTTAAGCATAAAATAATGACAGTAAACTAGTAATCAGTAATTATTGTTTATCATGTTTTGGTTTAAAACGTACTTTTGTTGTTGACTATTGTCAAGGTGGAATTTTTTGCTGGTTTGTCTAAATAATAACTTTCTCATTGTAAGTTCATTGTCGTTGATTTAAACACAATAGTTAGTTACAGTCAATTTTTGATCTGTTGTGTTTATTAAAAACTTGTTATGACCTTTACTAATTGAACTCTTCTTAGAATGCACCTGATATTTATTTGATCTTTTATTGCATAATTTACTTTTCCAGACAAGTACCAAACACTCCCTGTCAACAGTTTCCATGGGCTGTACAAACTTCTGGTTCACCTAATACAGTCATTGACCTCACTGATGAATTTAGCAATAATGAAAGTTTCTGTGAAACCCCAGGAGTGTTAACTTATCAAACACCTCGAGTTCCAAATCATTCACAGCTATTGCGTCATAATACGACGTTTTCTGCACATGATACACAAGTTAGGTGTCCAATATATCCCAACGCACTTAACTCTAATGGTCCTATCGATTTGAGATATGTGTCAAACAAACTAACAGCTAGATTACATCAACGAAATAAAACAGTTGTCATCGCCCAGCCATGTGCTATTGACATAAGACCACAAACAGAATCTTTTTTGTCTTACTCACCTCAAACCGCGTCTATCAACTCCAATCTTGATATGCATCACTTTCAATTTAATCCTATGGGATCAGGAACAACACAAATGGGAGAATGTTTTGGTGAATCCAACACACCCAATATTCTAATGTATCCTAATCGTAAACAAACAACTGGTTATTCATCAACCTCTTATTCGAATACTAGGTTGATAAATGAACCTCAGTATGTTGCTCAAAGTCATTGTTTGTCCAATTGTCAACCTGCACAACCTTGGGCTAATCGATTGAGCTGTTATCCCATTGAAGGATCTGCCGATACAACCATCAATTTGGATAAACTTATCACTAACGAAGATTTGTGCTCAGAAGAACATTACAATGATTCTTCCCATGATATAAATTTACTTCGAAAAGTAAATGTTCCGTTTGTTGATGAAACAACTAATTTTGGTTCTATTGCTACTTCTACTACGACAACAACTGCTACTACTCTGTATCCACATTTGTCATTCAACACTCGCAAATTACAAGAAAGTCAGGTAATTTTAGTTTGTTGGTTTTCGTAATTGAGGTATTCAAGTTGAACTTTCGACTAACTAAAGCATATTATCAACTATTTTGAAAAAAAAAATTATTTGCAACTAAAATTTCATTAGGTCGCTTTAAAATAAAGGGTTGTTAAATTTAAAAACTTTAATCCCTTTTTTAGTGCAAAAGAGATGACAAATCTATTTGTATACCGTCCGGATGTTCACTTAATTACAGCGGTAAATATAACTATTACTAGGCTTTAAAGATTTATTAAACAATTATCCCGTTCAGCTTTTAAATTGAGATCATGAACCAATCAATGTTAGCCCACCATTGTAAACCTAAAAGCACTGGACGACCGTTTTGTCCTAGTATGAGACTCGGCAGTGTGCATCAGCGATCCTGCACGTGGGACGCGATTACAGGACCTTTGGCTTTGCGCGCTAACGCTTAACCTCTAGACCAGTGAGCCGGCATCCAACAGTGTTAATGTCTAACTTCAACAAATCCACGAGATTGCGCGTCCATCTATCATTGTCTTCGGTAGGCAACTGCCTCACACCTAACAAGGTTGAACTCGGCTGGCCGGTTATTTATTTATGCCCATAATATAAAGTAGTATTATGCGATGATAGTGAGCTACTGAAATTATAGTTCATTTGATACATTATATTTTAAAAAATAATTATTAATAGAGAAAACCTTGATATTTTTTATAACAGTTAAATTTTTAGAGATAACAGAATGATATTGCTGTATACATTTCGCTGTTTTACAGATATATTTGTGAAGCTCTATTGTTAGTTGATCACGTGTAACTCAGAATAAAGCTGTTATATATCAAAATACCTGTATAGTAGAGTATTCAGTGAATTGTTGGTTAATAATTATAGTATTTAGTTTGCTATTCGTTAGGATGAAGTTTTAAATGCAGCTCCAACTATGGTTTAAACAGTTAAATCTAGACTTCATACTTGAAGTGTAACCCAGAGCTAAGTTCATAAACTATTGTGTCACCCAAACTGACGTAAGTAGAGCGAGGTTTGAATTTGGAAATTATTGGTTAGATGCTGAGCACTTTAATTACTGAACAACCTCTATCCTACTTGTATCTAACTTCTTGTGGTTGGCATGTTCAGAATTGATGATAGTGAATGTATATTGTACATGTTACAAACCTCAGTTTTTATTATCTTGATACATTTCGGTTTACATGTTCACTCTAATCTTTCAAGTGTACATTATTTAATTAGAGTTATTTTTGCATATGAATTTCGTTTTTACTTTTTATAGAAAGTAGATTTGTTTGATTTTGATCTATCAGTGTAGATGTTGTCTTCTGTGCACACATGTTTTTCGTTATCTCAAGTCGCTGCCCAACTCTACTAATAATTGCCGACTTAGAAATGATGTTATTTCGATTTGAAATAGACAGTGAAGCTTTCGGATTTATGATTTAGATCACCCTCAGTAGTTTACTGACTGAAATATTTTTTATAAGTTATACTAACTTGATGTATATTTGGTAACGTATATCGTGCTAAGTGCTTATGGAATCGTTGTGATCCCATAGTATTTGTTGTGCCACTTATTAATTCTAAAGTAATGATACTATCAAGGGATCAAGAATTGGTGGTCAAGATAATGTGCTGGTTTTCAGTGAAACAATTGAAATCATTCAATAAAGCTATGCATATTTATCATTTAAGGTGAATAAGTTTTGTTATAAACAAGCACTAAGTCACTAACTTTATTCATACTACTTGCTAGTTGGTGTTATAGTAAAACTGGAGAAGTTATATAGTATTCTAATTAAAATACTGTCGCATTCCGTAAATTTCTGACTGTTAGCTCGGTTTATTTTCCCAGAGATATTCTGTGCTTGATTATTAATGAAGTCATCTAAACGAAAAACGATAGTATTTGTGCTTATTTGCAACGCTATAAATTTGTTGGCTACTTGTCTTCATGTAAAAAAACTCTTGCTGTCATAGACTGTGTTTTCTTTTATTCAATTTAATTATTATTTTTTATTTCTATCTTGTTCAGTCTCTTTTAATGTTATCATTTCGAATTATGATAATTTGACCTATTGAATTGTTTTAAAATTTCTCCATTGTATACTCCATTCATCTGCCTAACTTATGTTTAGTGACTAAACAAGTTTCAGCAAATATGATAATATTTACCCCTAATTATCTTACAGGAAATACTACACTAGTTTAATTACCTTAAATAGTTTATATCACTGTATACAACTGATGTAAAATGTTGTTAGTTTTATTTATTTATTTGAACACATAAATATTGATACAAAGGGGTACCAGATCGATATGCGCTACACAAATCTTATTTGATTTGTGTAAGGGCTATGATATTGACCAGGTGCCCAGACTGAAACAGGTGGTTTTCTTAGGGGACCACACCCGGACCCTTTGACCTAAATGTCTGATCCAAGAGGCAGTGGAGCATCGTGAGGAGATGCAGTTCCATGGTAGTCGGTGACCAACAATTGATTCATACGCCATTCGTTCCTTCAGGATCCTGGAGACCATGTGCCCATTGGTTTGGAATGAGGGTTTCTCAACTCTCCTAGGTGGACCCTCCATTTCCACCAACCCGGTTAAAGCGCCGGACATTCGCTTTTCATCCTCTCAATTTCGTAAACAACACCCTCGCCACGAGAAGGCAGTGAGTAGGACTTCCCTGACAGAGGCTATATATTCGCTGACCATGTGAGAGCATTTGGAGAGGGAGAGCGGACTCTCCCCACTCTCGGCCGTACCAGGGCATTTGTTAGTCCATAATTCTGTTCATTCTTTTCTAATCGGAGATTTTATTACTCAGTCTATTGTGTCGATTAATTGGCAGTTGTTTTCGTTTCAATAACCTCTCAACTTATTTTTATTTTTGTTTTAATTATCTTACAGTAAAATGTTTTAATTAAAATGATTTTATTTGATTTCATTATGCAATCTTTGAGAATATTACTCTTTAATTGTTTACGTTAAAACCCATTCCAATTTGATTTGTTTCAGAGTCGCGTTGTTGTCAGTGATATGCGTGAAAAATCCATTACTGGAAGAAGTAGGAAAACAGCTCGAACATCATTTCGATCTTCAGGTTCTACTACTGTTCAAGGTTTGTTTTTTAATGCTTAACTTTCTGCCCATCATAGAAACAATTCAGCTCTAGATTGTTTGTTTTTTCAAATAAGCATTTTGTTTCATATTTTGTTAAGTAGAACATTCAAACATGCAGTTCATTTATTTTGTTAGTTTTTGCTGTCAGTTATTTCTCAGTTCGGTAAATCTGTATTCTCAGACTGTTCCATCGTTAAATAAAAAATCATACTCTTACAGTATATATATATATATATATATATATATATATATATATATATATAGGTGTATGTTGTAGAAAATGTTTGATAACTCTTTGTGCAACGGTCATCAAGTTCACATGTTCCCTAATAATTTTCGTCTCATGTATCACTTCCTACCGTATCGAACAAATCTGAACTTCATTTCTTATGTTATTGATATTAATAAGTTCATGAGATTTTGACAAATTATACTTATTAACATTTGATCATTGTGCTTAATGAAATCTCATGAAGTGTTTCAGTTAATTAGGTGTATGAATTAACCCTTCAATCAGATGTTAGGTGATTTAGCTAAAAATGAAAGCTTAAAGGTATTGTTTCATCAATTTCTTGTTTTCTATTAAATTTTCAACTAAATATCATCCATAATTCTTCATTTTATATTTCCGTCGCAATCAATATTAGTTTATCCTTTTAATTTTCCTTCTACTTGTGCTGGTGTTTGAGTTGTTGACAGGTTTCCTCCTGAGATTTTTAAGGATGGTGATCCAGTACTAACAGCGAGATTGACTGAGGTCTTAGGTAGAATCTGGGAACTGGACGTAATTCCATCTGACTGGTCCCAATCACTGATTGTGCCAGTCTATAAGAAAGGACAAAAGTCCTCTTGTGACAATCACAGAGGAATCAGTTTGACTAATATAGTGTCTAAAATATTAGCTTCAATAATATTTAGGCGCCTAACCAAAGCTCGTGAAGAGCAGACTAGAGAAAACCAGACTGGTTTTCGACCTGGACGTGGTTGCATAGACCAGGTATTCACTCTACTTCAGGTCCTAGAACATAGACATACATTCAGACGTCCCACAATAGTAGTATTCCTTGACCTTAAGGCGGCATTCGACTCCGTTGATCGTGAGGTTCTATGACAGTGTTTGTCAATGAAAGGAGTACCAAAGAAGAACATTAACCTCATAAAGGCTCTCTACTCGAGCACAACTGGTCGAGTTAGAGCCTATGGCGAACTGTCATCAGAAGTGGTTACCTCAAGTGGTGTTCGTCAGGGCTGTCCACTCTCTCCATTCTTGTTTAACTTTGTCGTCGACATGCTTTTAGCGATAACACTTTCATCATCTCAATCTCCTGGAGTTGAACTTTTACCAGGAGGCTCACTTGTTGACTTAGAATACGCCGACGACATAGTTCTATTTGGTGAAGACGCTGACAAAATGCAGAGTCTTCTGATCACTATAAGCGAAAATGCAGGCATGTTCGGGATGCGATTCTCCCCCTCGAAGTGAAAAATGTTACTTCAGTATTGGGTTGCATCGGCACCTGAACTAATGATAGGGAGTGAAGTAGTTGAGTGTGTCGACCGCTTAACTTATCTTGGGAGTCTCATCAGCCCTTGTGGTCTGGTGTGTGACGAAATCTCAGCACGGATACAGAAGGCTCGTCTAGCTTTCGCCAACTTGCGTCATTTATGGCGTAGGCGAGATATCCGTCTAGCGACAAAAGGACGGGTTTACTGTGCAGCAGCTCATTCCGTTCTACTTTATGGCAGTGAAACATGGCCGATAAGAGTAGAAAACATTCGTAGGCTACTAGTATTCGATCATAGATGTCTTCGAAGCATTGCTCGTATAACCTGGGACCACTGGGTAAGTAATGCAGTTGTTAGGAAATGGGTAATAGGTAAGGATGGCAAATCGATTGATGAAGTAGTGAAACTTCATCAGTTGAGATAGCTGGGACATGTGTTACGTAAGCCCAACCACCGACTGTCCCGACGTGCAATGCTTTATGGTGTAGGAGTAGGTTGGAAGAAAGCTGGGGGCGGCCAGACCAAAACGTGGCACAAATCAATGAAGTCAGTAACAATTGGACTAAGCCATGTTGGTAGGTGTAGATTACCTGGTTGAGACTCGCGAGATGATAGCAACCGATGGTTAGAGACCTTGAATGACAAAGCTCAAAATCGTTTGCAATGGCGAAGGTGCATCCACTTTTTATGTTCTACCAAATTCTAACCTTCTGGGTTCTTCATGTTCCTATCTTTTTTCTCTTTCCAAATTTATTTCATTGGATTATACTCCTTCAATAACATCTTCAAACCCTAATCTTTCAGATTACTGTTTATACTCTTACTACTTCTACCACTATGGGATTTGAATCGACAACTTTATCTCTGTGCTAATGTGGTATGGCAGCTCGAACTGATGTACGTACGTACGAAGTTCTACGTTGTGACTAACTGACTGTTACAATTTAGGCTACTACATATTCGAACCATGTTTTGTGTAATGCACAATGGATAATTGCTAGATACCTGGATACAATTTTTGAGCTAATAAATTCTTTAGACTACACTAGAAATGTTTCTCATCTGTTAACACTTTTCAGTTTAGCATACTTTTTCTTGATATGAGAGATACAAAATGTTTAGATATGAGTCGATGTCGTGAAATCTTTGGTCATTTGTAACAGTCATATCTAGGATTTTCTGTCGATTATTTTCAGATGTATAATAATATTAGGATTTTACTGTGTATTTTTTGTCATACATGTCTTAAATTATTTTCAATTAACCTGTATAAGTCGTATGGTATAACTATTACTACAAAACTGCAGAAATTACAATCCATCATTATCATCTTGTGCGGATATTAATAGCAATGTCAATTTTACCGCACTACATTTATATGTCTGATGATTACCTCATCAGAGTTTATTTAGTAGTCCCTCTTTAATGTTATAAATTTTGTCACGTATATTTACCTAGATAATTTAATTTCAGACTATGAGTTCGACTTCAAATTAGTTAATTACTGTTATTTAAAGGTTGACTTAAATAGTTTAGATTTCTTAAGCAGTATTCTATAATTATTTTCTTTTTACAATCATTATTTCTTATCTTACTGAAATACAAATCTTATTTTCTTAGTCGATCCAATCGCTTCCTATTTGTTAGTTTACCTTACTTTTTAACATTAGACTCTCATACACTATGTTGTAGGTTCTAACTCCATTCTGGTTATATTAGCTCGTTGGACATAAAGTGTAAGTCATATCCATGTACACATATCTGTAATTGGTTATTGGGTTGTATAACAGTATAATTTCCATGAAAATTCCTCTTTATATTACAAATAGTCTCTGCATCGATAAATTTTATTAATGCTGATTTCTTCAAGATGGTGACAAGTTATTGGAAAGTATATAAGAGGAAAGCTCATAAAACATGTACAAATTGTGCTTTAGTATATATTGTCTTAAATATTCGTTGTAGAACAACAAAGAACTCAACAAATTTCACAAAAGGCAATCAGAATATGCGAGAAGTGAGAATAAGATGAAACTATACATAAGATGATAATGTGTTTTAACAATGAATAATTCAATTAATGTATTAGCTCAGATCACTATATGTTTTCTCATGAACTCTGAATCTCGAAATCTTCTTGAATTTTTTCTCTGTACTTGATCTTTTCTACTGATACCATTACTGTTTCTACTACTATGGGATTTAACTTTATTTCGTTTTACTAACATGGTATGACAATCTGAACTAAATCACATATCTTACCAAGTGAATGGCTGAATGTCTAATATAGATCACTATTTACACATGTTATAGTGTTTCATCATACAGATCACATTAACTCTTTATATTAATAATCATTTAGTAAGTTAGATCATTTTGTTTGTTATAATTACTTATTATGTTCATTAAATTAGACCTCTCAATTGATGAGTTTTATGTAACCTATAATTATTCCTAACCTTGTAATAATTTAATCATGACTATAACTTGATAAGCAATTCTAGTCTAACAATAATTTTTCCGATTACTTAAGACACTATTTTTTTTCTAAAAAAAAAGTTCTAATTTTGATTCAATGTTTATAATTAAATATCAGAATAATTCTAAGTAATTTTGTTTAAATTATAGATTTATGAGGATCATCAAATTATCAGTTTATTTATTTATTTAAACACATAAATATTGATACAAATGGGCACCAGATAGATATGCGCCACACAAATCTTATTTGATTTGTGTAAGGGCTATGATATTGACCAGGTGCCCAAACTGAAGCAGGTGGTTTTCTTAGGGGGCCATATCCCGAACCTTTGACCGAAAGATCTGATCCACAAGGCAGTGGAGCATCGTGAGGAGATGCAGTTCCGTGGTAGCTGGTGACCAACAATTGATTCATACGCCGTTTGTTCCTTCAGGATACTGAAGCCAACCCATGTGCACCATTGGTTTGGAATGAGGGTTTTCCAACTCCCCTAGTTGGACTTTCCATGTCCACCAACCCCGGTTGAAGGACCGGACATTCGCTTTTCGTCCTCTTAATTTCGTAAACAACACCCCCGCCACTGCGAGAAGGCAGTGAGTAGGACTTCCCTGGTAGTGGTTGTATGCAGGTGACCATGTGGGCATTTCGAGAGGGAGTGTGCTCCTCCCCACTCTCGACTTCACCAGGGTACTCGGGGACCAAATTGTCGCTGTGGTCTAGTGGTCAGGACAAATTGTCAGTAAATATGAATTGCCTCCAGTTCATAAAATGATAAATTAATGTGTTAATACTATTAGTCAAATTATGAAATATATTTTCTCTTATTCTATCTATGTGTAATTGTTTTAAAAAAAACAGGAAAAAATGAGGGTTATTTCAAAACAGTTTATCTGACATAGTCAATTATCAAATTAATCATTACATTTATATATAGTTGAAATCATGAGTCAATTGAAGCTAGACCACCATGGAAAACCCGGAAGCACTGGACGGCCGTTTCGTTCTATTGTGGGACTCCTCCAGATTTTCTATGGTGGTCTAGCTTCAATTGACTCATGATTTCAACTATGAAAATACTGAAATCTCCAAAAAATCCATTCTGATATTTAAAATAGTAAATGTATGCGAGTATTTTTAATGATACTTGAGTCGTACGTAAATGTTAATGTGAATGTAACAACAAATTTGACGATAGAATAATTCATTGTTTATGAAAATTGTATCTTTTTATTAAATTTCAAAGCAAGATCTATCGACAAATAAATGATGTATGGATATAAAATAATAGATGACATATTTTGATTTTAAAATTATTTTCGCAGATTTCATACCATTTTAAAGGCATAGTCATTTTAACATTACAAAGAATGTATCCAATCTATACTATTTAGAAAATTATAAGCAAAGATGAATAGTGTCTAGCAGTTTAATACAGGACACGCCTTTCGTCCCCATTGCACAAGCAAGTGGCTATCAGGCCTCAGTAGCTGAGTGGATAACGCGATAACGTTTGAAGCGAAAAGTATTAGGTTCGAGTCCCAGAGTGAACACCAACTCTGAGATGCAGGTACATTCAGCTGACGAGTCCCAAATAGGACGAAACGCGCGCCAAGCTGGATTCCACTGCTAGCCGCTATACATCTTTGCTTATAATGCTTGTGAATTAAGGCTGTATCGAGGCAATACGCACAGTATGCACATATGCCAATAAGAGACTGATCAATTGCAGTCCTAAACATCAATAGGAAGATTCAAACAAGCAATATTAAATGAATTTATTTAGAGAATTGTTTATTAAAAATTATTTTGGAGGATCTGTTTAAACCAGAATTATGCATCCAATCGATTTTTTTTACTAAGAAACTAGCTGCTTATTTACATGGGTTAGTAAATGAAGCTTTCTTGGTGAATAGTTTGAGCTTCACGTGACTGAGCGCTCTAGTAACATACAATTAACTAGGCTCTTTATTTGTGTCCAGTAATCCCACAGATTTTTACTTAAGCAATGTAATCAAGATTTATTGACTTTTATGAACCAATGTTATACTGCCGTAACCTTTTGAGTACGTTAGTCTTGGTAAAATTGCTATGAGGAGCAAGTAAATCCAACACAGTGCTGACATAGAAACAGCAAGAAACGCGGGTGATCCAGAAACCACCTATATATAAATGTTTAAGTAAGAGTTAAGAAAGTATCCAGTTCAATGCTTTTTTGTAATATCATAAAAAGTAAATTAAGTCCCATCAAGTTAATGTAATAATGTTTATTTAATTGAAAATATTCTTGTATATGTCTGATTTTAGACATTTAAAGAGTCTGATAATAACTAGGTTTAATGTTAATGTATTCGAGCGTGCTGAAAAACCAATGTCAGTAAAAGCTTCACTGAGTAACTTAACAAAATTACATAAACAGATAACGTTTAACTGAATTGTTTAATCGATTGAGTTACATTTTGTAAATGGGATATTCTCATAAACTTTAATACTTTTTTCCTTTAATTGACATTCTCAAAAGGTTGAAATTATAACTTAAATGTTTTCAATCAAATCACTGTATATACAGGTGATCCATATTATTGTACTTGTACTCCTTAAAGCGAAGTTTTGAAATTTAAGCAAAATTAAGGTTTATTACTATTTTAAATACAAAATAGATAAGTTTAAATAAGTTTGGTGAAGACGCTGATAAGATGCAGAGTCTTTTGGTAGCACTGAGCAACAATCCAAGAGTAGAAGGTACTCGTAAGCTACTAGTATTTGATCAAAGATATCTTAGAAATATTGCTCTCATCTACTGGGATCACCGGGTATGTAATGGTGAAACGCAAGGTATTAGGGAATGATGGCACATCAATTGATGAGGTTGTGAAACTTCATCGACTGAGATGGTTGGGCCATGTGTTACTTAATCCTGAACACTGATTACCATGATGCGCAATGCTGACTAGTGTTGAGGATGGCTGGAAGAAAATTAGGGGCGGACAAGCCAAAACCTGGCATCAGTGCTTGAAGTCACTAACCTCTGGTCTGAGCCATGTTGGTAGATCTGGACTACTTGGTTTGGGTTTGTGCAACTATCGTAACCAGCAATTGGAGACTCTGTATAACATGACTCAGAACCGATCACAATGGCGTGGGTGTACACACTTTGTCTTCCCTTAAGCCATGTCAATAAAATTACTTTATACCTTTCGTTTTACGGACAATTTCTTTCCCCTTGTATCATATCTTGATATACAGTACTTGTTTTTTTATATTACTACCAATAAAGTAGCTGCTTCTATGAATTCGGTGTTCATCTTGTTGTACTAATAAGGTGTGGCAACTTGGACTGATGCATATATATGCCTGATCCTACGTTGTAGCTGACTGACTCAACTACGTAAAAATTGTTTGACTGTATCAACAATTATTTATTTTCATGATGAAAATACAGTTTAAGTATATTCAAAATTTTAAAAAAATAAAACGTTCATCTGTCTTTCATACATCTTTTTTATAAATCGAAATCAAATAGTGTCTGTTAATTATAGTTGATGTTAAATTGAAAGTTCAATATTACTTCATAGTTGTTTGTTTATTAGCATCATTTCATCAAGAGATAACAAAAAAGTACTTTAGTAAACAAAAACACTAGTTGGGGACAATCGAATGTATTTAAGCATAAATTACAAACTATCTTACTAAGATCTGTTAACCATAGAGCAAATAGTTAATTTGCAAAATAACAAATCAATTGTCTTAATCTTCACTGTTCCTTCTGTAAATATCAATCCATCTTTTCTAATTTCATTGTTTTTATAGTTTCCTACCAATTGCACTTCATTTCAGTTCTTTCCTTATAGGTCTTCTGCCAAAATACATTCTATGTCTGACTATCGCCGTATACTACTTATATAGATACAAGTAGACCATACCACAGTACAATTTTCCAATTAAATAATTCTTCATTATTGACTGATATGCAACCTATTTTAATCAACTATTAATTATCTAAGAAATTACGTTCAATTAATAAAAATACAGTATAAGGAGATCAAAAGTTTATTATCCAGTCTTTATCAAATCCAATTTATTTGTTACTTATCTTATCTTACTGTGTACGAAATAAAGATGTTTGAGATAATCAGACAAACTGAATGCAATATACCCTGTGAAATTGTTTATCTAAACTATAAGTATTACGAAAAGGGACAAAGTGACTATATTTATCAGTATGACTATAATTGAAGCAAAACGTCATCTTATGTATTATATACTCTCTCGTAAGATTTTCTACAATAACATTCATCGATGTAGCTTAAAATTTGTTTATTTAATTAATACTTTTCAATCACAAACATTCACTAAATTACTTTAAAAGGAAGTCGTTTTTAACAAATCTCTACACATTTTTGAATTATTAACAGTAATAATATTATTAGTATTTTTATTGCACTTAGCTGGTGTACAATTCTATTACTGGTGCTTAAGCTTAGCTAACTTAGATATACATGATGGATCGGTGGCTTATTGGTTAAAGTGTCCGAATTTCATCCCAGGTTCAAATTCTTCCCCACCTACTTCAGTTTGAGCTACTGAATTGTAAGATTGGCCTCCACAATTAGAATGTGGCTTATACCCAAAAACCTGGTGAATCATTTGATTATTAATATTGTGTTAAATTGGATATCGACCCATTGTACAATATGATTTTGTGTGATAATTTTGACAATAATAGGGTAATCGTAAGTTTCTATTAATGTCTTATGAATCTAGGATTCCTATTATGCTATGGTGATACTGGGTTCCTAATGAAGTGTTACTCTATACAGATAAAACATAAAATATATGCCCGTCATTTTTTGTCAGCAAAACGTGGGTTGATGGTAATATATGTTTTGATTCATTGTATAAGTATTACAACAAAAATTCTGTATATACTTTACTTAGTTTGTATTCTCTACTCTTGAATTCGTTTCTTCATAGATTTTGTACATACTAATACCCTTAGAAGTGATTGCTTTTAAAATTATCTGTATCCATTGCCATAATCATTGAAATTTCACTAAATTTTAGTTTTTATCATAGTATTTGGTTAATACATTATTTTCTTTCTGTATATATTTTGTTTAGGTCCTACTCTCACTAGTTTGTTACATTTACGTTATCAACATCAACAGCCGAATCAACAACAAGGTCAATTTCAGTCGATCTCTGGACTTTTAGGCGGAGGTAAAATTAATCCTAATGAACATGTTTCATTAAGACCTACGGTTATTAGTAAAACTAAGCCAGTGACTTCTGCAACAGATGTTTTCAATTGTAAAATATCATCGCCATCATCAACGGTTTTTGAATCACAAGAAAAAGTTGATATTTTGAATTCTGTAAATCCTCAACTAGTCTATTCCCCATCCTTGATAACACCAAACATACCATGCACGTATGTTGGCTTGTCGTCGAATTATCCTACTTCGTCAACTACTTTCAGCTCAAGACTTCCTAATCAGGTGTTAGATTATTGTGTTGAAAACTCGTTAGATACATTTTATGTCCCTAATTCTCTACAGACTTGTTCAAATACAGTACCCTCATCTATCTCATCATATTCTTTACATTCCAATTCTAGACTTAATAATTATGTTATACAACGTAATGTACAACTTAACCAACCACAGGCTAGAACTTTATTTGCAAATTCAATTAGTTCTCAAACGAATGAATCTAGTCCTAATTTAATACTATCTTCTTCTTCATCCTCTTCGTCAACACCCACTTTACCAAGTAATCGTTATTTTGTCATTCGACCAAGTGCAATTGCACAAACACCTAATTTAGTGGTTTGTGCTAAACGCAGGGATACATATTCCACATCTAATATAAATAGATCTTCTGAAGATGTATGATATTATTATTTCTATTTACTAATTCGCCGTTTTTGTATTTTAAAGTATTTTCCTTCAGAATTCCATGTTTTCCTGTTTATTTAAAGTTTTCGTTGTACTCTCTCTCTCTCTCTTGTCCTCCCTTCTTGACAATACAAAAGCAAGTCTTGTTGGTATGTAGTTAAAATCTATTTTTCCCGTAATTTTGCTTCTTTTTTTTCTTGTTCGTAAGTTATGTTCAGCAAAGATACTACTTTTACTGATATTATTGTCGACACTAATAAAATTATTGTTAGTATTAGTAACAACTTGCGTTTAATCATATCATTATCACTGTCAAATTACTTTTTCTTTAGTGAATTAATTTTGTACAAACGGAAAAAACCTCTAGTTGTTTTCGCTCTTGTTCTGTTTTTTTTCTTTTTCATGCGAACGACCAATCAGTAAATAAGCTGACTAATATAATACTTTTGACCGAGAAGAGATAAAAAGCTTGCTGACTAATATATGACTGAATAATCCGTTGTCCAACGATCTCTACTTTTCTCGTTGTCCTTCATTTAAACTTCTCTCAAATGTCATTTTCGGATAATATTTCATGTAAAGACCATTTTATACTGAAGTCGAAGTCCTGTTCATAAAGATGCCCAGTGTGATATTTATGTTGTGTTTAAATGTGATATACAAATAGATGGTATTTATGTTGTCGTGGGTTATTCCGATAACCATGGTTATTATCACACAAATTATTTGAGAAATTAATTCTCACTGAAATATATTTGATCACTATAAGTCATTTTGTGTTAAGGTCAAATTCAGTTGCAAGAGTTCACAGAAAGTTACATCAGTAAAGGTGACGTTTCATAAGTGTATAAGGAGACATAAGTCTCATATATTTTAATGTTTCAACTGGAAGGTTCCTGTTTCTATTTTATTGTACACTCAAGTTATCGTTGTATGAAAAATATGGCATCATGAAGAGTAGGCGTGGTTTATGAAACCGTCGCGTTATCTTACAAGACGTTCGTCATGTGCCAATGTAACATGAGTAAAACAAATGTCCAAAGTTATCGTTTGCTTACCTCTCTGCTCTGGGTTTGTAATCTTCCTGCCGTTTGAAGTTTCTATAACACTCAGAGTTCCTACTATTTGTTGGTTTACGATAATATCTTCTCCAAGCCATATGATCCCAAGAATGGGATGCACTATCAACGGATGAGTAATAGACAGATTTCAGCAGCATTATTCACAAATCTGTCTGGAAACGCTTGCAATGTTGATGCGTAATGCAAACAAGAAAAAACCTCAGGTGAGACATGCGAATAAATGCTTACATAAGACAAAAGCATTACAGTTTCAAGAAACATCTTAATTTTTAAATTATTTTCACCTCTGTGACATTACCTAGAACACAGAAATCCTATAGAAAGTGTTGTGTCGGCTTTATACGGAATAAGTTTAAAGGTTAGAATTATACTACGTATCTGAAAAGTCGTAGGAAATGAAATTTACTACTGCTACAGTTACTTTTCTGGGAATAACTGTGTTCTTGACGAGCAACGAACGTGGTTCTACCGTGCTGGTCAGTTTAGTTGTATCCATTCAAAAATAAACAACTAAAACTGTGAAGCATTTGGTAAGCATGAAGTTAAAACTGGCAATAGATAATTGCTTGTCAGTTTTAGTAAGCGTTTCAAACGGGGTCGAAACGTACTTTAGTTAAAAAAGCAACAATTTGAGTCGAATTATTCAAGCATACTCAATTGATAGTTGTAAAACTTACATGACTTCAGTCATAATTGAAAATCAATTAAAGCGAAATAGCTTCCAACCGAGGAATAAAAATGACCAGGTCACACATTGTCGATGAACTATTAGGATGTCTGCAAGAAAACATCAATTACCAACCGTAACTTTCCTTGTGTTCGTTTTATTCCAACTTACATCCCATGAAGTGGATATGTTTAACTATGGTAAATTTATGGAAGGAGTACCAACGGATTTGTTTTCGACCAAAACATCGTCATTAATTTTGCAGTGTGTGCTCCTTCGACATAAGTAGTATACAACACCAATCAGAAGTGGAATACATGGCAGCAGAAGGCTAAGAATATCGAGTTGAAGAAAACAGAAAAGGAAATAGAGAATAACTGTGAATTGAAAGAATCATGCAGAATCTGAAGTACAGTTGATGGAAGATTTTCAAATAAAATATTTAGTTTATGGTTTTCATATTTTACCATTATATCTTGTAATTACATATTGAACGGTAAATTGGTTGTCCTTACCTAAGTTTCGTTCATTACAGTTTCACCGTCGAAATCATGAATGATCCCAGCTAGATCTCTGTTAGAAGTCTGGAAGCGCTGGATGGTCGATTCGTCCTAACATGAATTCCTTGAACAATGCGCATTTACGATCTCTCAGGTCGAAGTAAAACTCAAAACCTTCGGCCTCATGCGCGAAAACTCTATACCGAGCGCCTTTAGAACGGGAAACTTAGTCCCAACGTAATTTACTGTGTCATTACTCAACAAAGTACCATTTTCGATCCAAGGAATATATTCTGAGCCTAACACTCGGTAGTATAATCTACCGAATTAATAATTAACTTTGTTTATGAATAAGCTAAGTATTCGATCTTTATAATTTTCCACTTCGAGGCTAGTTTAGGTGTTGCCAATGCTAGATCCTCAGAATTCACTTGGTAAACGTCTTATTCTTGCAATTTTACTCTAGTAATTTGAATTTATCGTTTTCGCACCAAAGGCGCTAATTTTTACCTACAGATTTTATTCCACGCTTGGAGAGACCTTGAATGTTATTGATCCATTTCGTCTTCTAATATGCTATCTTGTTATGTTTCTTAGGGAAATTTTTTTACTATATATGTACTCTAGAGTTGTGTGCTAGTTCGCAAGTTCTTTTAGCTGATTATGGAGTACATTTTCCTCTCGGATAAACCTGACCTTCTCCCCCTAGTTAGCAGGGCCGGGACGGAGTGGGATAGTTGGCTTTTCTGTTACTGTGTAGCTAAATTTCTTTTCCCTTACCGGTTTTTGGTGACATCCTAACTTTTTCAAATATAGCATTAAGTACATTCTAGCTTTTAATAAAACCCATTTTTATTCGTTTTGTTGGTTTTGAGCACATTTCACAGTCATAAATTTCTGCTAGAATCCATCTTACTACATATTTTAACTTTGTCACCAAGAACTCATGTATAGGGCCTGGACGCTGTCTTGCAGTCACATGTGTTATGCTACGTAGCGAATGCAAAAGTTGGTTTCGCGAATCATGTGCGCATTTTACAGTAACTACTTACAACGAACCTAGTAAATCAGATCACATTTGATGTGAGACATATACAGAATGAACTCTGAGAGTTTGCTAAGCAACATCGTCATTCTCTTAACCAATTGTTAGCAACTTTGAAAAAAGAAAGTCATGAAATTAGTAAACAAACAAGAACCCGCACTGAATCGAAAAAGGTGGACCTCGACAACATGAAAACTGATGGGAAACGCCTCGACACTAGCGGAGATATGCTGAATTTCAGAGCCCTCATAACATCGACGGTGTCAAAGTCTCTCAGAAAGCTTGTATGCCAACCAGACTATTTAAATTCAGATGTGGTTCCAGACACTCTATGGGCGAACAGACCCCTCCCGCGGTGGCAAAACGGATCAAATCTTACCGTCGAAAATGCTGAACAGCCCAGGTCTTGTAGGATTATCAGCTAATGAATTGAGTGTACAATCTATCCCTTAGATTGTCCATTTAGTTAGTATAAAGCACGAGAATCCCAAACGCAACCCAACTGTCAGACAATAAGACCCCAACTCAAAAGTTTCCGAAAACCTGGGAAAACGATCATGGCTCGAGAATATTCTCTTCTTATCAAGGACCTTTAAGACATTTCTGACCTTTCTCTCAGTCATCAGGACAGAAATGTCAGGATACTCTGAGGAGAGCTGAACAGAAGACGCAGACTTCTAAAAATTGAGCCAATGACTGTGTCACGGCTTACCTGGTGTTAGATTTCGAGCAGCGAATTTTTTCAAGACTCCCTTGAGTAACGTTCACTGGCACTGATGATGTAGAGGATGTTCTGCTGGTCTGTCTCTTGCTGAAACGTAACGAAGAATCTTACGAGTAGTTCTTTAGCGAAAATATCAATGTTCAAGCCGTCCTAGAAAACACAGACACTGAATATGCAAACTGTAGTATTGCAGAGAAGAAATTATCAAATCAGCCCTTGAAGCTGAAGAACATGTTGACTCAACAACTTATGTGATTAGCCATGTAGAGCGGGGATCCCAGACTGTGGCTAGTGAAGTTTGCGCTCTCACCTTTGGCATAGGACTAAGCTAGCCGACAAATCTATCCCGAACTCGAAAAGATCATTCTTACATACAGCTGTCTTTGAGATAATCTGGAATTTTCTTATTACGAGTTTCTAGCGCCACAACCAGCAACGACAGGGATGTAACCGACCTTCCGATAGAATGGAATTTTCAGATATTTCAACTTTACTATATTAACTACGTTAAAGACAGCTTTGTTTACAACTCAATGGGACTCTCAGCAGTAAACATGGGCACTGACTTGGTGAATCGGAAACTTCAGCATCGAAACAGAAACACTTCTCCTGTCATGTATATGTTTTATTCTGACACAGTGAGTGAAGCGGCTTCAGCCTTTAAAAGCAGATTGCTTAGAGTGTTCTCATATTTGTTAAGCCGAGGCATTGCATCAGAAAATTGGAAGCTAGCTAATATTACACCAATTTTCAAAGGAGGTCACACAGAGAAACTTCAAGCTACCGGACCGTAGCACTTCTCTCAATACGCTGAAAAATTATGTACTTCCTGTTATGCGACAGCCTACGTGGTTGCTAACAATCAATAGATTTCTTTTCAATTAAACAGCATGGTTTCTGAAAGAACCATTCTTGTATAAGCAACATATTGATCGCGATGGAAAACGATCCTTGATAGCAAACAGGAATTTGGCTTCATTTAGCTTGACTTCTCAAAACCTTTTGATAGGGTCAGTCATATATATCTTACCAATAAGTTCAAGCGATTGGGTATCAGTACACCATTGATTGGTTGGCTTACTTCACATCTAAACAATTGACTTTTTGAATTCAGGGCAAACTTCGCCTTTTCTAAGGTTACAGGACGCACAAAAGTAATCCACATGGTTCAAAACTAAGAACTCTTCCTTTTTTAGTTTATAAAAAAAACTTTCTTCAGCAGGTCTCGTTTGATTCGTCATTTTTCACTGATGAAACGAAACTCCGGTAGAACGTTTGCAACCGAGGTGATCAGCTGGTACTTCATGAAGATCTGACTTGATTTTACACTTGAGTGGACAATAATGGACCTATCCTTAAGAATTTAAAATGTGAAGTGGTTCATCTGAGACATGTTGTAGACCATGAATACAACCTAGATATTTCCTTCCTACAGGTGTCTCAAGTTGGAGAAGATTTACGAGTGATGGCACCTTGTGATTTGAAGTCATACGCTAACTGTGACAAAAATGCCCTACACTAGTAAAGTTGAAGCGCACTTTCGACCAGTTCGCTAATAGAACCTTCGGCTTGATCTTCAGCAGTTTTATTCCACCCCGTATAGAATATGGAAATATACTGTTTCCTTCCTCACTCCGAAATGATTACGACATACTGTAACATATTCAACGGTGAGTCACCAAGTGGGCTTTGAACCTCGAATTCAGGGCTTATGAAGAGTGCCTCAAATAACTTAACCTTTGACCGGTAGAGTGTAGGTGTCTTAGAGGTAATTTTCCTAAGACTTACAGCATACTAAACACTTTTGGACATCCCCGTAGATGCCTACTTGAGCTCACTTACCAGATGAACCTTAGGGGTAACACCTAGAAGCTGGAGACACAACTTAACGAATAGATTGTAGTCACAACTTTCCACTTCTTGAAGGTAGTCAAATGCCGGAATTTTTGCCGACTAAGGCAGTGCAAACAACTTCCCAGGGGTTGTTTAGGAGAAAACATGACTGATCACATGTGTCCTAGTGCAACATATGAGAAAAGCGACTAGGTACGACCCGAGATCTGAACCATCCTTACTAGATCTTATATTGACTCACTATGAGGATGAAGTCGCGAACGTCAATTACATGCCACCCCTAGGTAAAAGTGATCATCCAGTTTCAACCTTTGACTTACATACAACTGTCAATCACGAGTACACGTCAGCTTAATCCAGATCTAACATCTGTAAAGCAAACACACAAGATATCATACACTCAGCATCGTCAACAGATTGGACGACAGACCCAGAGTCCTCATTTGAAACTGCTTGGGACGTATTTCGAAACTTTTACCTAAATGTTACCTCACCCACATCCCTCTCCATAAGGGGAGGAGATTGTGGGATAGATTTAGGTCGTTGAAGACGATGAGACTAAAGCTCAGTATCGAAATGTTCGGAACACCTGTGCCTTTACCCTCCGTAAATCTAGAAATTTGTACGAAGGGAACGTTGTTAAGGAATCCATAGAATGTCATAAACGCATGTATTCCTATATAAACCAAACGACAAAAAGAAGAAGAAATTTCCCTTCACTATGGGGAGACAGTACTGCCTCATCATCAGTGGAGGACGACTTTGGTAAATCTCAAGTATTCTTGACATAGGCAAATCTACTGGACCTGATGAACTCCATCCTAGGTTACTAAAGGAATTAGCTAACTTTGTTGCGAACCCTTTAAGTATATGCTTTCATTTAACGCCATAGTAAATCCTGTCTTCAAAACACGTACGAAACATAAACCTGAGAATTACCGACCCATTAGCCTAACTAGTATGGTTGTTAAAATCTTAGAAAAGATAATTCGGAAGGAGCTGTGTTAAGCACCTCGATGAAAACCGGATACATTAGGAGAAGCAGCATGGTTTTACAGTAGGTTATTCTAGTTTCACTAGATTATTAGTCACTCGTGAAAGCTGGTGCACTCTTAAGGACCAAAATTTACCTGTAGACGTAGCCTACATCGATTTCAGTAAAGCCTTCGACAAAGTGCCACACAACCGGCTGCTATATAAGCTAAGAAATGTCGGGATTGGAGACAATCTATTGTTGTGGATAAAAGAATTTCTAGTTGTTCGCCAGCAAAGAGTACGGGTGAACCTCAAGTTGTCTGTCTTTGAAATTGTGCTTGATGGATTCCCCCAGGGTACAGTTTGGGGCCAGTGTTATTCCTCTTGTACGTAAATGACTTCGCTCGTCTACAATTGTCATCTGTCTTGCTCCATGCTGACGATGTCAAGATATGGAGAGCGATACAAAGTAAGGGTGACAGCTTCGAACTTCCAAATGACCTGGAGAAATTATCAGAATGGTTTCAAACCTGACAGTTGTCGATAAATACTTCCGAATGTATTGTGATGCATATCGGTCATCAAGGTACAGATACATACACTGAGCTATCTGTTGTCCAGACACACAATGACTTGAGAGTCATCGTTAGCCAAGAATCAAAGACTAATGTACACTGCCGTGCAATAGCCGAAAAAGGTTTTAAAACTTTATGGTGAATACGTAGGGCTTTTAGTCATATCGACGCTAAAACTCTTTAGACTTTGTATAGTGTTCGTGCGTCCTAAACTTGAGTACTGCATACGAGTGGCTAGCCACTGCTTAAAAAAGACAATGAGCCATTGGAAAGGGTTCAGAGAACAGCAACTAAGCTGATTCGCCGAATAGCGAAGCTCCCGTATGATGATGGACTGACCAAGCTAAACCTATTCCCGCTGTCATGTCGGAGAACCAGCGGCGACATGATTACAGATTTCAAATTGCTTAGTGATAAATTTGCACCTGATATGACCTTATTTTTCTTGCCTTCCGAAACAGAAAATTTACGAGGACACTCCAAAAATGTCTAAAAGCCTGGAACGAACTACTTGTCAGCTGACTATCGACTTTCCCATGGAATCATGAACGAATGGAATTAATTACCTCAGTACTTGGTTGAGGATCCATCTGTCGACTCTTTCAAAAAAAATTGCATCAACTAAGAGACTATCATTGCCAGGACTAACACAGACCATCAAGCCTCCTGTCCTTTCCAAGCTGAAGCCCGATATTCTGTAGGACTAAGGTAAGTAATTTCTTCTCTTGTATCTTTAAATATACCAAGGTTCCCAACTGACAGCATCGTTGATCCACCATTAATATATATGGAAGCTCATTAAGCGAAAGCTTTTTCTATTCTGTTCATGTCCATTTGAACCATTTAGACCACTGAACCGGCATCTAAAAGTTTTATTCTCTAAATTCAATCAAACCATGATATTGTGTAGCGATTTATCCATTGCATGTGAATAATAAAGATCGCACACCCTAAGATATGGAATTATACCTAAGCACCAGTTGATTTTCTGCTGCACACCGAAAAGATATTGGATATTGTATAAGCTGGTCTGCAAAATGTTTGGCGCAAAAACATCCACAAGGCCATAGTTCTCGTGATGTTAGGTGGTGGTAGATGTGTGTGCTCTCGATAATTTTTCAGGGTTTCAGTAGATGCACGAGCGACTTGATGTAGACTTGTCTCTGTGATATGCTTGTGCCGATCAATTTTCCATATTCAGCGGAGACATATCAGAAACAGTTCCTCAATACTTCCACATCACGTCCAGGGTCACTTTCAGTTTTCCCGAATGTATTGCATTACTCTGAAGAGGTGGCAGCAATGTTTAATGGTCTACACATTGGCCCGTCTTTGAGATGTGCCAACTTGATCCCACAAAAAGGCCCTCAACACATTATTGGAGGTCCTGTTTTAGAAGTTGTCAAGTCAACTTTTTCTCCTGCTGGATATGGGAATTCTCAGAGGCTCGAAAATGGATTCACTTTTCAACCAAGTCTCACCCAAAAAGTGTACATGCCTGAAAAGTCTTTGGGATTTGGTGCTTTTGGTGTTGTGTGGTAATGTCATATATTCTTGTTACCTTGTAGGTTGGTTGTTGATCCGCGAACAGGCGACCAGGTCGCTCTTAAGAGAATCCCCAACATTTTTGAAAGCATTGTGTCTGCTAAGCGGGCATACAGGGAATTAAAGTTGTTATTCTCTTCAAGACATTCAAATGTAACAACATCAATTTTTATGAACCATTTTCTAGATTGTCCGCCTAATTGATGTCGTAAAAGTCAGCAATTTCTCTTTATTCAGTGAAGTGTACGTCTCGTTTTACTTTCATCTAACGTTCTTAGCTCCGTCCTTTTCGAATATATGGATACTGATCTGCACAAAATAATCGTGTCCACTCAATATTTGTCTTTAGAGCATGTCAAACTGTTTGTCTATCAGATACTAAGAGGTAGGTACAGTTTTTCTCACTTGAATGTTAGGTTTAAAATATCTTCATTCTGCTGGTGTAATTCATCGGGACCTAAAACCAGGGAACCTCTTGGTTAATTCTGACTGTTTATTAAAGGTAACATTTATTTTAGTCATTTTCAAAGAATTACGAGTTAGAGACACTAAGTTATAAAAACATTTCACGCTTGTTTAATGTGTTAAACAGTAGTATGGTAATTTTTTCTTAACCATTGGTCTTCAGGGGTTTAGTTTTGTCAATTGATGAGTCATAGTGTTTTAGATTTTTCAAGTTAGTTTATTAAGGCACTCTTGAATCATTGATACAGGTTTTCCAGTTTGTGGAAGTTGAGAGCTACTTGCACTACATGTAAATGTAGTCTATTCCTCTGTTATGAAAACCAACATTTTACAAGTTTCTACTCTGAGTGAGGAAACCTTATTTGGTCCGGGTCTAGAATAAGACGTAGTGTGCTTTTTGGTAAAAATACAACTGGATCTTTATCTAGTGATCTTTTGTAAAGCAACGTTGGTCCTGAGTGCTTTATGCATTATAAGTTGAAACAAATATTAGCCTCACATAACACTGAATCTTTTCTTCTATGTATAGTAATAGGTCTAGTTAGAATAAATGTAATTAAAGCTCATAATGTGAGATTTTACTTCTTTGCTTGTTCGAGCACCTTGATTCTTTTGTGCGTGTAGTTCTACTTCCTAACAGAAGTTGGTGAATAAGAATTGAATCTGTAAATCACTTGATTTATGAAGTGTATCCAACGTATGATCCAAGCCGTTAGTAATAAAAGAAGTTAGGCCGCCAAACTGAAATATGGCATTATATAACAGGAACCGCTTTCCACGAGACGTGCATTTAGATAAAGGCTTCGGCAGTGAGTTTCGTAAGGCTGCTGTGGTATGTCAGCGAGTAAGTGACCAAAAAAAATCGTGCATTGGTCCCAACTCTGTTACGCTTATTCGGGCTGTGGTAGTCGATTAATTCCACTAGCCGTCACCCATGAAACGTAAATTGTGGCAGATTACTCAAACTTGTAATTAGTTAATTTGTTCTGCATCTAAAAGTGACTACAAACTTTCGATTATTTTGCTCATGATTGGTCCCAGTGATACGGATGAACCTACTATCTATCTTTCCCCAGTTTATCCTGTTCTAGCGTTTGTTCTTTTAATTTGTAGATTTGCGACTTTGGTCTTGCTCGTTCAGTACCGTCTTTTGATGTAGAAAGTCCTTCGAATCCATTAACCCTTGAAGTTGTGACTCAATTCTATAGACCACCGGAATTACTTCTAGGTTCGAATTTTTATACAGCTGCTGTTGATCAGTGGAGTGTTGGTTGCATACTTGGAGAGCTTCTTTGTCGTCAAATTCTATTTCAAGTGAGTCTAATTGTTATCACTATTGCAATGAGTTTTGTACAATTTAGTTCACAAATTATTATGCAAATTACGTTTCTAAAGCTTAATTTTCTAAGATATTACTCAATTTAAGCTCTGATGTATGCTCCAATGTAATAGCTTTACATTTCATGGTCACGTTTTGTTAATCGCCTACCTAGTGCATATTGGCCGTATGATAATTAACTGGCAACATAAGCTTGCGTGATAAATATCGCTTACATACCCATGGCTTATGCTTTAATCGCTAAGGTATTGAAACATCTCAAAGCGATCAAACTAACATGCAAGAATAACTTGTGTTATATTGGCTATTAAGTATTCTTATTTATTTAGGTGAAACTGCTACTTTTGTACAAAGAACGTAGCTTTTATACAAATACATCATTCATCTATTAAACTTCTAACGACTGGATCATCTGTGAATTGGTGTTTCTGAAAAAGGTATTTATCTTTCACGTTTACAAATTTTGCACAAGATCTCATTTCTATCGAACACCAATAGGTCTGAAAATAATATCCAGAGCTTTTAAATTGTGTTTGACCTCAATGTTTTATTTGTCTTGAGTCAAAACACTCTTCAAAAATGCAACTTTTAACCCAAATGATGTAAAATATGACGTGTTCCTCAGTTTTACACATACAGAAGCCATTCCCACCTGCTGTCTAACGTTCGTCACGTTCATACAAGTGTTACAGATTGCGGTCGAGTGGATGCACTGTTAACGTATGACGTGATAAGACCGCCAATCCGAGAGCAGTGAATTATCGATCGGACCAATGGCACACAAAACCTGTACGAGCAGTTTTGTCGTTCCTGCTTTCTGCCTAAGCCATCCAGTTAAGTCCAAAGTAACAATCTCAGCCTCTGCGGTATGAGTCATTATATTTTTAAACATAATGAGTTTATACACCAAACAGACTGACCAATAAAATAGAAAATAAAATTGGTACAAGATTCAGCCAAATATGGCTGTGAATGTGGGAGGCAGTAATTATTAGACTAGGGATAACTCAAGAATAGTAAATCGTATAACAATAGTCTATAGATCAAAATAAAGCTTATAATAAGAGGGACATGAGTATGAATAGTTTAGTTATTTAGAAATTATACGGTAAAAAATATATGCATAGTATTGATTCATAAATAGACCCCAAAGTTACTCTAAATTTCCTATTCTACTATAATCTTCCTCTACGATAACTGTTATTATAATGCAGTGGCCGAACTTACGTCTCGTGATGGTCCGACTGAGCTATATCGACTGGAACGATTGTTTTTCGTTCTGCCACATCACCCAGGTGGTTTACATAGTGGTATGGTTGAATGCAATTTTCTTGAGGTCCGTTGGCGGAGTATTACTGTCAATATTTTCTACAATTATCTAATATCCTTACCAATACTCTCTCATGGCGGAAAAGGAAAAGCGAAAAACGGCTAGCCTAGAAAATAGTACATATTATCCTACTTTACAGATTTCCAGTATTACTGGTAAGGTCTGGAAAATATGGAACTGTTGCACTAAAAATTACTTACAAGATGTTTCTTGTGTAACGAACTCAAACCTCTCCTTTAAGTTCTACGTTCAGGCTGCCAGTTCGACAAGTTCTCCACTATCGAACCAGTTTCCTTTTGGAGTTAGTAGGCCAGGATCTTTTTTTGGTGTTTAGAGCCGGAAAATAACAATCGCCCACAAATTTCTTACATAACTCAATCTTGTAGTTCTCAAAATTATGTTATTTCATAGTTCCCTCATACTTCTGTTCGTGTCATCATCCGTTCTCTGGTTTAATCTTTTTCCGCATATTCCACCAGTGTTAAAATTCCAGGTTCAGGAAATGTTATTCTACTGTCCTAAAATAGCGCTCCAGATTACATGTTAAAGGTATTGAACTCAGCATCGAGTCAAAGAACAGGCTAATTCTTAAAAGTTGCATGTGTATGTTATAATTGAAACCGCATACAGAACTCACGTAACCAGTGTGAAAAACCAGTGCAATTCTTATTTATTTATTTATTTGAACACATAAATATTGGTACAAATGGGCACCGAATACATATGCGCCGCACAAATCTCAGTTGATTTGTGGGAGGGCTGTGATACTGCCCAGTTGCCCAAACAGATGCAGGTGGTTTTCTTAGGGGGCCACACCCTGAGCCTTTGACCTGAAGGTTTGATCCACAAGGCAGTGGAGCATCGTGAGGAGATGCAGTTCCATGGTAGCCGGTGACCAACAATTGGTTCATACGCCATTTGTTCCTTCAGGATACTGGAGCCAACCCATGTGCACCATTGGTTTGGAATCAGGGTTTTCCAACTCCTCTAGGTGGACCCTCCATGTCCACCAACCCGGTTAAAACACCGGACATTCGCTTTTCATCCTCTCACTTTCGTAAACAACACCCCCGCCACGAGAAGACAGTGAGTCGGATTTCTCTGGTCGTGGCTGTATGCAGGTGGCCATGTGAGCATTTCGAGAGGGAGAGCTAACTCTCGACCGTACCAGGGCATTTGGGGGCACTAGCGCAATTCGCTATTCATATATTCATTTCGGGACCTGGAAATGAATTCTAGTTGAATGTTGACCGTGAGTTGTTTGATTAAATGAGATGGTAGGGACTATGAAGGGTAAGCGCACATGTTGTTATGTTCCTAGTCGACTAAGAATCAGTAGAAGTAAAACTTAGTCTCTACAGGTAGTTTCTGGCCTTCAAGATGCTAGGTGCGTGTATAACAAAATTACGTAAGACTGAACAGTACTTTTCGGAGGCCTTCAATGTATGCTTGGCTTAAAACCATACTTTACCTAAAGCTTATGTTTACCTGGATACCCATGGGCGTTTGAAGGTCAAAATAGGAAGACCTCTCAGAGTTTCGCATGAAGGCGAAAATTCTGAGTTGTCTAAGAAAATACTAACTAAACAAATAGTTAGCCGTAAACAGGATCTCCACTAAGACGTAGTCTGGGCTTGCTGTAAAAAGTTCTTGTCAGCAACCCAAATCAACAGTTCATGATGAGCTGGTAAATTTAAAAGTAAAATGCGAAAATTAAAATATTCTTGTCATATGCAAACATGGGACTGGAGGCAAACCGTAGAATCTACCTGAAAATAAAATGTCAAACCAACCAATTGTTCACACACTGACCATTATTGCAAACTATGATAACAATAAACCTAAGAAACGTGATTTTTGGCACAAGTCACTGAGACTTGACTGTTATTTCATTCATCGATAATTAAACTTCTTGATAAATTATGAGATAGATTGCAGAGTTTCTTTATTAAATACATTATTCTGAATTTTATTTCTTCATTCTAGTCTTCCAGCTTATTTCGTCAATTGGATATGATATTTAATCTACTAGGATCACCTAATGCAATGGAATTAATTGACTTAGTTGGTTTTCCCTCATCTAGCGTAGATTTTATTCGTAATTGTCCTGTACGACCGTTTAATCATGCCGCTGTTTCAAGAATACTCGTTCCGGTTAATACTCAATATTTTCAGTCATCTTCAGAAAATCCACCTGATCCTGATTTAGTTAATTTGTTTACAGGACTTCTAAGTTTTAGCTCAGTAAGTGAAGCATTTAACGTTTATTGTTTATGTGTTACTAGTGTCTTCTCTTCTATCAAGGATATAGACAAGGATGTTGCTAATTTTGCAAACTGTATCCTTTCCTCTTTCTTTTGAAAGCATAGACGGTCACACACTCCTTTAATATGCAAAAATATATTGTTAAACTGAGTATCCTAATTATATGGATATTGTTCTTGCGGTACTGCCATAATTCTCATGGTCACTATTGTGTTAACTATAATCTTACTGGAGTATATTAATTTAAAATTTTGTCGTTGACGTCATACCAATGCGTAAATACCTAAAAAATGTCTGTTAGTAATCCCTTGATAAAGTCCAGTCTTCTAACCAGCTACGTTATACTTTACTGTTGTGCTTCAATCGGTTGTGTAATTTGTTCTGGTGGATTCAATATGAATTTGTATTTGATTTAATAAATCTTTTGAAATACTCATTAAGTGCCATGAGAAGACGAAATTTATCCGAATGAGTAAAATATTAGTACATGTTACATTTCAAACAGTCTGGCCAAATAATAACTCGTTAAATTATTTGTATACGTAATAAAGTGCAAACTAAACAAACGATAAAATAACTAAAAATAATGAGATAAAACAGTTTAAGTCGCGTTACTCTCGATATTTAAGGTAAACCCTATCACGGTAGGTCTAATATAAGTACTAATTGTTCTTTAATTTGTAGCATAGGTCTCAACAAATCAGATATTAAATTAAATTCACTTATATAGTCTGTTTCAACAATGTCATACAATAGAGGAGGATAGCTGTGTATCAACTGCTTTAATCTGCCTACTGGTGTTTATTTATTTACATGTTCGACCATTCGTACTTTGAAGTTATGATTAAATCTCTCTATGTATGTGCTGACACATGGATCGGTGTACACCAAAGGATGTGATGTACTCGTTCATAATTTGTTTAAGTGTTTAGTGAAGAATGACTTCAATCTGGCCCTTGGAGAATGTTTCTGTAATTGTTGCGAGTTCTATATGGTTCAGCTGTCGTATTTCGTCATTCGAATTCCGTGTGAACAGTATTTTAACGCAATTATGAGGTGCATTATACTAAATGTCGAGTGATTGGGAACCTGGGACACTTGAAAAATTATCTTGTTCTAGTTTGGGACTTTCCTACAATTTCGACTCAGAGCAGTGGCTCGGTCTTTAAGGCGTCAAACTGTCGGTCACTTGTTGTGACTATCTATTGTTGTAGAGCTGCACAGAAGGGAACAAAATCGTTGACCTGGTTACCAGCGGTTCTTCAGTTACTGAGATCAGTTTTTGACAAAATTACTTTCAAAATTAACAGATCCCCAGTTTTGTTTTTGTCCTCGTGGGTGACATTGATAAAAAACTTCATTAATTATACTCATTGTTTTCTGTATGCTCTGTGATTTTTTGTTAAAATTCTATATTATTGCTCGTCTAGTGTCTGATCGTTAGGTTAAATCCTTATTATTTTGATCATTAGCATTTGGCCTTTATTATCTACAGTACAGATCATAATGAGTAATAATTTCTTTTGGGTGTATTTCTTTCTATTTTTTGTTGTACATATATATATATATATATATATATATATATATATATATATATCAGTAGTTGTCTACATTCGATCAATCGTATACATGGATGTCTTATATAAATTCTAAGATATGTGTTGTACGTTACTCTCGTGCTCTGTTAAATAATAATACAATACAAGCCATAAAAAGCATTTCTATAAATTATTTTTTCAGTCGAAGCGGTTAACTGCTGAACAGGCTCTAGATTCACCGTTTTTAGTTGGAGGTAGAGCTAGATTTCATACTTGTCTGTGCTGTTGTTGTCCACCACGCAATCGAAATTCATTAATTAACGATTCATCTTCCCACTGGCGTAATGTAACAAATCAAGTAAATCGTCATCATCTTGTAGCTGTTGGTTCAGTTGGTACTCTGTCATCATTTTGTGGTACACCACCATCTTCACTTCATTCATCTATGCTGTCACAAAGTAGAGATATAACATTGCGTATCCCCTTATTTTTGTCACCTCATCTAATGGTACCAACTTCTCTTATACGTTATAGACGTATTAATTTAGAACCAACGTTTCAAGATATACATGAATACACTCATATAAATACTGAAATACAAATGAATAATTTATTTGAAGCTAAAAGTGAGTTTTTAATTTGTTGATTTTATTATTTGAAAGTAATTTACTCAAAATGTATAATTTTGGATATTCTACATGTTGTCACTTTGAGTGAGCATTGATTATACTATCCGGGTTGTTAGACTTAAAATGCTAAAGTTGTATGTAACCCCCCACAATGTAATGATTAGAAATTGAGTGTTATTCAGTGACTTCTGGGCTGACTATTTTACTGTTTTAATACCGCCACTATTACCTGATTTGAAGTCGTCGTTATCTTGAAATTAAATGATAACTCTCTTATTATATCACATGTTTATAGATATAGACTATCTGTTTGCATTCTATGCGATAACTCTGATCGATGGTTGGAAGCATTGAAGTAACATTTCTTGAAATCAGCCAACATAACATAAATACATTCACTCTTTATCTTAGTCTCAATTTTAAGTTTTCATATTTCTTTATACACACGTTTTCAGCATGTTCATTTCTTTTCATTATCAATGTTGTTACATTATCTCAATTCCTTTATTATATATGGTGTATATTTCATTTTATTTGTGTTAATATCACATGGCAACTTGCGGTAATACACAATTGTGCCTATAATTTAACTTAATAGTGACACAAACTTTAAGGTCGTTTACAACTATACATTGAGTTCATTCATCCAATATATTGTAGGATAATTTAGGTACTCAATGTAATTAGTTTGAAACAGTCATTTTATACGATTACATTTAGTTGATATGAGTCATTCGAATTATTTTATATGACCTTTTAGTACTTATATATCATAAATTTATGTGTATGTCGAATTTATAATCAAACAAGAAATGAAAATATGAAAGTGGATATCAGAATTAGATTATTATTAGTTTTAGTCAATGAGAAATTATGAATTATACCAAGGGATATCCAAGTATCCAACTCTTCTTAAATAAAATGCATTCTATACGTATCTTATAATCAAATCACTTATTAAGTCTATGTATATATACTTACATAAGTTGCTATAAAATGTTTTTGTTAGTATTTTATTTCGATTGTTTACATTTGTGCACAAGTTAAAACCTCGTTTAATCTTGGCTTAAATGCTATATTTATATAAATTCCTTTCGTTTCGTAATTTATGTTTATACTTTTATGAATATGTTTATTTGTATTGCCTGTTTCTATGGCATTATCCCTCTTTCAATATGCATAAATTTACTTCATTTTAGGGTTATTTATAAATCATCTCATATGTTGTATTTTTTAACTTCATATACTTCGATATTGCTTTATGCATATACTAAGTAGACAATTTCCGTTGTTTACATTGTAATCTTTGTAAACTGTGTAATTTCTTTTCCAGAGTAATTGTTGTTTTTATTAGCTACAGAACCTTTTAATTCACTGCTATTTACATTCAAACTTGACACAGTATGTATGCTTTAATGCTTTGAATAGTACAATGAAGTAGTATGAATTGTTTCATGTTTTTTATTAAGATAATGTATCATTCTGACTGCTATCTATCAGATGTGTTTTGTTATTTAATGTAAACATTGAGGGGCAGGAAAGTAGACAAGAAAATTTTCCTGCGTACAATTATCATGTTATATATACATACTAAATACCAAATGCCCTGGTACGGCCGAGAGTATGGAGAGTCCGCTCTCCCTTTCGAATTGCTCTCACATGGCCACGCGAATATATAGCCTCTGTCAGGGAAGTCCTACTCACTGCCTTCTCGTGACATTACTATTGTTTACAAAATTAAGATGACGAAAAGAGAATGTCCGGCGCATTAACCAGGTTGGTGGATATGGAGGATCCACTTAGGGGAGATGGAAAACCCTGATTCCAAACCAATAGTGTACATGGACTCCAGTATCCTGAGGGAACAAATGGCGTGTGAACCAATTATTGGTCACCAGCTAATATGGAACTGTATCTCCTCACGATGCTCCACTGCCTTGGGGACTAGATCTTTAGGTCAAAGGCTCAGGGTGTGGTCCCCTAAGAAATCCACTTGCTTTGGTCTGGGTATCCTTTGCTTTTTTTCCTTCTTTTATGTATACGCATCTTCTTCCTTCTCCCATTCTCATTATTTTGTGCGCATATTTATCTGGTGCCCCTTTGTACCAATATTTATGTGTTTAAATAAATAAATAAAAACTAACCTTTTATGAACATTTACTATTTATCTTGGTAATTTGATCTCGTACTCATATGGTATAGGATCTTGAACTAAAAACAGCTTTGTGTTAGGCTCTGTATTAATTATGACTGACTATTACTTTATCAATGATATGAGTACAATTGTGAATAGCTTTTGACTCATGCGTCGTAACCAAAGGTTATTTTATACATTGTCACGTGTAACCTGAATTGTAGATTTGCATCTGTGTATTGCAATCGGAATTTGTCTGTCTAAATGCTTGTTTACAAGTTTAGAAATGAGAGTGTACTTTTTAAATTTGTTTTGCTTAGAACTTTTCAAATGATAGTGTGATACTTATTTACTTTTACTACCATTTTTTTATACATTATATATTCAGAAATATTATGGAATCTAATTCAGCAATATTTCCAAAGAGATCCTAATCGTACCCGAGTTGTTATAAACAATTCTTCGCCTAATTTTCAATCATTTATAAAGTAAGCATATTATACGGTTGTTTTTAGTTTATTACGTTTATAAATTAGGGGATGTTTTATCATATGCTTACTTATTGACTAAAACACTTGACTTTTACTGTTACGTGGTAGTTTCGAAACTGGATCACTTTACTTCGGTTTGAATAGTCTTAAAGTATCATTATCACTCGCACTACTGAATTATGGCTGAAAGTTGGGTTCGAAAATCTGTAAATGGCCCACCAGTAAATCAATCAATCAGTTGACAAGACCGCGTGACTAGTTTTAAGGAGGTTTCGAATTCCTCAGATTCTTTTTAAAAAAATCTTCTAAGTTGTTTCTCATTGTAATCACGAGACCTTTAATGTTCCAGGTTTAATATTGCGTAAAGTCATGACTTTGTGTTGGAGTACTTAACTAGACTTTCTAGTCCTGAAAAGTTCTCCAGTTAGTTTCATTCTGTGATAAACATTAATTTCAGCTTCTTGCGAACTAATCACCTTAAAGTCGAATTTTAATCCAAGCTGATAAGTAGGTAGTGTCTTTATCGTATATATTATAATGTTAAATCTACATCATGAAAGAGTTGTGACATTTCCCTATTTCTGTGGATGTCATTTTTGTAGTACCACTCAACCTCTTCGTGTGAGAAAATACATTCACGTCTACCATGATTTTTTCCCAATATATTATTTTTATATATTTGACTAATTATTTATTATTTATTTGAACACATAAATATTGGTACAAGGGGGAACCAGGTATATATGCGCCCCACAAATCAAATAAGATTTGTGTGAGGGCTTTGATACTGCCCAGGTGCCCAAACTGAAACAGGTGGTTTTCTTAGGGGGCCACACCCTGAACCTTTAACCTAAAGATCTAGTCCCCAAGGCAGTGGCGCATCGTGAGGAGATACAATCCCATGGTAGCCGGTGATCGACAATTGATTCATACGCCATTTGTTCCATCAGGATACTGGAGTCCATGTACACCATTGGTTTGGAATCATGTTTTTCCAACTCCCCAAAGTGGATCCTTCATATCCACCAACCTGATTAATGCGCCGGACATTCTCTTTTCGTCCTCTTAATTTCGTAAACAACACCCTGTGGCGAGAAGGCAGTGAGTAGGACTTCCCTGTTAATGGTTGTATGCAGGGTCGCCAAGTGAGCATTTCCAGAGGGAGAGCTAACCCTTCACACTCTCGTCCTTGACCAGGGCATTCGGGATCATATATTAGACTGGTTCCGTAACGTATATATTCAAACTCTAAATTTAAACTGACATTTTTTATCTTTCACTTGGGTAAAATGTTAGCTCTAAATTCTGCTTATATGAATATACAGCAGTTCTAAGTTACTTTTCTTCTGATTTCCTAGTAATACTGATATATTACTGACATCCATGGTATATACATCCTCATTTTAATCAGATATTGTTTACTCTGATCCTTTTGAAATGTTGTGTCCAGGAGTAGCGAAAAACAGTCATCTAGGATCTTCCAATTTCACGCAAGTGTGTTGCTTGCCGCGAAGCCGTTGGCTGTAGCTCAAAATGTTCGGACGTTGGAACTTTACGCAGATATGCTGTAACTTTAAATTGCCCATCTACATTAATCACATCAAGAGGTGATCTACTGAAAGTGTGCTCTAAGGCATGATTAAATCTAATGATCTAAAAGCATCCGTTTTGACATGGATTTTTAGTTTGTCCGGCATTAACTTGGGATATGATTCTCGTGGTCGATTTCATGTTAAAACACTAAGTCTGTATATTCATGGATAGGTCGTAAACAAGAATTTTTGAGGCTAGGGTACACCTGCACCACTATGGCATGCCAAATCTGTATCTTATGTGGGGATTTCAGAACTTGTACGTCAGGTACAGAGCAATCAAATGATAACAGAGAAAAATCGCCGCGCAACGATTGCTGTGCCTCAGCAGTTTAGTTCAGTGTTCGAAGAAATTATTTCCTGAAACCGAACGACTACAGTGCACCACTCTATTTGCACAGGAGACCATACTCCACTTTGGAAGCCACCTCTCAGGGTAATAGTGCACTACAAACCACAACTAAATGCAATGATAAAGGATATGTTAAACAAAATTATTATGGTTCTTTCATCACTTCCCTGGGCGTCACCTATTGTCCTGGTAAAAAATAAAGACTCCTCTCTGTGACTCTGGGTAGATTATCGACGCCTTAATGCCATAACTAAACGTGATTCTTTTCCGCTCCCGCAGATCGATGCTACATTAGACGCCTTAAATGGCGCGTGTTGGTTTTCGACTTTGGATCTAGCATCTGGATACTAGCAAGTGGAAGTCAGACCGCAAGATAGGAAGAAAACCGCATTTATAGTACTTAATGATTTAAATGAGTTTCAAGTGATGTCTTTTGGTCTAACGAATGCCCCAGCTACGTTTCAAAGGCTAATGCAAACAAATTTGCAAGACATAGTACCCCACAGATGTTTGATTTATCGTGTACGATAGCTCACCCAAACAACACAACCGTCCAAATGTCGCCTGCTGCAGAAAAAAGTAGTCTTCTTGGGGCATCGTATCACTGCAGATGAGGTAGGCACAGATAAAGAAAAGACACGTGTCACTTTTAATTGACCGCAGCCCAAATCAAACGGATACGTTCGCACTTTTCTTGGCGTAGCTTCTTATTATAGACGCATTGTTCGCGACTTATCATTAGCAGCACCCTTGCATCGATTGACGCACAAAAGATGAAAGTTTTTATGGACCAGAGATTGTCAACAGGCTTTCGATGCTTTAAGGGCACGGTTAACTTTCCCACTCATATTAGCTGTCCCGGATACTTCAGCAGACAGAGGCGAATTTATACTTGATACGGATGCTAGTTCCTCGGCCATTGTGGTAGTTCTATCACAAGTAGCTCGAGATGGACAGTAAAGAGTCATCGCGTACGCTAGTCATTGACTAGATAAGAGTAAAGCAACATATTCCACAATACGTCAAGAGATGTTAGCATTAGTATGATTCTTACAACACTTCCGCCATTATTTACTGAGTAAACCCTTCCGTGTGCGCACGGACCACGGTGCATTACAGTGGCTCCGCTCCTTCCGCGAACCAAAAGGGCAAGTGGCACACTGGCACGAACAGTTATAAGAGTTCGATTTCACATGCGCGCATCGACTGGGAAGCCGACATGCCAACGCAGATACCCTTTCCCACATACCTCAGACTTCAGGTACTATTAACGCAATTCACTGAACTTACAAGATGATTTATAAAACTATTTTGTAAACTAGCTTTTCCTTCTGTACACACCCCGCGAATTTTAATTTCCAAAAATAAAAGACTCGTAGCTTTCACTCCGTGTTTTCTAGGTGTGACGTTCTCAATTAACATTGCGTGTTGTAGTTTCAGGTCTTCTCAGCCTGTTCGTGACTGCCAATAACACGTGTTATGTTCCAAAATTTCCCTATAATACATCATTTCTTGCTTATTGACAAGAATATGCATAAAATCAACCTTTTCTAGTCTAATTAATTGTTAGTACTCCATTATAGTATTCTATATTCTGTTTGGTTGGTGAACACGGAAAGTTCACCTAGGGGAGTTGGAAAACCCTGATTCCAAATCAATGATGCACATGGGCTCCAGTATCCTGAAGGAACAAATGACGTATGAACCAATCGTTGGTCACCGGCTACCATGGGACTGCATCTCTTTACGATGCTCCACTGCCTTGGGGACTAGACCTTCAGGTCAAAGGCTCAGGGTGTGGCTCCCTAAGAAAACCACCTGTTTCAGTCTGGGCCCTAACACAAATCAAATGAGATTTGTGAGACGCATATTTATCTGGTGCTTCCTTGTACCAATATTTTTGTGTTGAAATAAATAAATAGATATTCTGTTTGGTTAGTCCTCATCACTTTTCTATATACTCATATGATCAATTGTTGGTATTCATTAGAGATTCATTTATATCATATTTCAAAAGCATATGATATTTCATTACTCACATTTTCATAAAATTTAAGTTCATGAAATATGTGTTCATGTACTAGTTTTCTATCATATTTATTGAAATGGTCTTAAATTTTTTTTTTTTACTTAACTGACTAAATTTCATGTCAATAGAACAGTGTTTTAACCATTAAACCATAGTAGGTGATAAATTTTGAAATCAACTAACCTTTATTACAGTTTTACTAATAAGTTTAATAGATTCAAGTCGCCTATATTTTTGTTGATATCCACTTCTCAATGTAAAATAGATTCATAATTTTTTCAATCACCACTAAGATTACCATTATTTATCATTGGAGACTATTGTCACAACTTATATTGACTATTGTATGAAACAATATAGAACATAAAAAACATCCGAAACAAGTTCGGGGTCAATAGTATGATTGTTTAAAATTTTCATTTATTTTAAACCATATAGCTTGATTTATATGACTATATAGTTGTATTAATGTTAAATCATTATTTATTCTGAAATCGTTTATACTGACTAAAATAGGAACATCACGGTAAATAGCTAAAGATTATTTAGTCGCCAAAAAAACATGACAGTGAGTATTAGTTTAAGCTGCTTTCGAAATTATAAAACTCTTCACTATTTTAATATTCATTATGTTTTAAATGCTTGAGTAAAAATAGTTCAACAATGATGGGTATTCATTCAGTTTGTTTCTTTGTATTTCAAGTTATTTCTTCTCTTTTGTCTAATTGTTTTCTATTATATCCTGTTTCTACATATGTGACAGTTTGAAGCAGTATATTGTTACTATGCGTTATCCTCACATTGTTTTATTTATTTATTTAAACACATGAATATTGGTACAAGGGGGCACCAAATACATATGTGCCCCAGAAATCTCATTTGATTTGTGTGATGCTGCCCAGGTGCCCAAACTGAAGCAGGTAGTTTTCTTAGGAGCCCACACCTAGAGCTTTTGACCTATAGGTCTGGTACACAAGGTAATGGAGCATCGTGAAGAGATGCAGTCTCATAGTAGCTGGTGACCAACGATTGATTCATACTCCATTTGTTCGCTCAGAATACTGGAGCCCATATACACCATTGGTTTGGAATCAGGGTTTTCCATCTCCCCTAAGTGGATCCTCCATATCCACCAACCTGGTTAATGCGCCGGACATTCGCTTTTCGTCCTCTTAATTTTGTAAACAACACCGTGATTCGAGAAGGCAGTGAGAAGGGCTTCCCTGGTAGTGGTTGTATGCGGGTGGCCATGTGAGCATTTGGAGAAGGAGAGCTAACTCTTCCCACTCTTGGCCATACATTACATTCATTTAACTGATTATTTTTATCTATTCAATATTATGATGACTTTTAAAAACGTTTTTAGTTATAATGGTGTGATTATTATACTATATTTTTTTCTTTTACAAAAATAAATATCTTTCAATAAGCACTTTAAAAAGCTAATTAGTTATAGTATGTCAATTTTTGTTGTAAAACTGTATGCTCATTATTTTTCTAGTTGTTTATCATTAATAATGTATTCATTTTCATTTAAATAAATCTAAGTGAACAAAATTATTTACATAAATTGAATAAATAAATAAATGTAATATGATAAAATAGAATTTAAATAAAACTTTTGTTTTAGATTGTTAAAGATTTCATAGTTGATTGATCTGATCTGATTAAATTTGAATTTTCACAATTGAAAGAGTGAGTCAACTGAAGCTAGACAACTAGGGAATACCTGGAAGCACTGGATGGCCGTTTCATCCTATTGTGGGACTCCACAGCAGTGCGCATTTACGACCTCGCTTCGCAAGATTCGAACCCAGGACCTACCAGTCGCGCGCCAGAGCACTTAACCGATAGACCACAAAGCTGGCATCGTATGGTGTTTATGTTTAACTCCAACCAATCCATGAAGTTGAGCAACCGTTCAATATCTTCAGTGAGTTGTTATCTCAACAGACGTGGTTTGAACTCCACTGGTCACTGCTTCTCACTAGAACTCATGGATTTACCTCTTGAAGTCGGTCACTAGTGCCCTAGCGCGAAACTGGTAGGTCCTGGGCTCGAATCTCGCGATGCCAGGTCGTGGATGCGCACTGCTGAGAAGTACCAAAATAGGACAAAATGGCCGTCCAGTTCTAGCTTCAATTGACTCACGTTTTCAACTATGAAAATACTAAATCTCCACACAAAAAAACCTGATAAAAATTTGAATTTTTTTTCAAGTTTTTCATAAAATAAATTAATTTAATACAGTTTCGTCTTTTTATTTTTCGTTTCGCTTCAAGGTTATTACTTTTATTTATTTTTTTCTTTTTGTTTCTTCATAGATCTTCAGTTGCATTCACTTAATACTCTAATGATGACCATTTATGTATCTCTTTCAATATTAACTGGTATCGTTAAAGCCTTATCCCCTCTTCTTATTATCAATCAGTTCATGTAATCATTCTCTTTGATATATTTTCTTTTTTTTTCTATTATTATTGTACACTTAAATATATTTAAATGTATATTGATAGTTTAATAAACTACAAATGTTATTTGTACCGTATGGTTACTACTTTTTCGAGTGCCTTCAATTTATAATTTTCTTTTATATTTGTATCTATCCATCTAACTAGATTCAATCCAATCTATTACCCATATTTCGGTAAAATGATTCTTATTATTATATATATATATTCTCTCATCTTCTTTGTTCTATTCTAACAAGTTCTTTATTCTGTCTATATATGTACGCAACCTGTAACAATGTTGTATATTTTAAAAGTTTTCCATACCAATTTTTTTTTTCTTATTTTTTTCATTGAATTATTGTATAATCTATTCACTTGTTGTTGTTTTTATTTACACATTGGGCTGTGCTTTCTACTACGTTTCAACTATGTTTAAAGTGGTTAATCCTTACAATCCATTTAATAAGGCTGTGATAAATTAAAGGGGCACAATTTCAAGTACATTCTCTAATTAAATTTATTATATATTTATATGTATGTATTAATTTTTTTTTTCTTTGTACTTATCATTGTTATCCTAGTTATCATTTCCATGTTTTGTACTTCAGCAAATTACGTACACTGTGTGTGTGTGTTTTTTTTTTGTGATCACTCATTTTTCTTTTGTTAAAGCACCTATATATCATCAAATTTTCTATTTTAACTTTAATGATTGACAAATACTCGTTGTTGAAATCCATTTATGTTAAAAAAAAATGTTTTCTTTTTGATTATAAATTCAATTTACTGTTTCTGTGAATTTTGTCTGTTTTTTTTCATATTCCAATAAGGTTGGTTTCTAGTGTTAATTATCATTTAGACGTATTAATATTATTGTGCAGTAAGTGAATTCATGAGGACTATGGGTACTTGTAACTTTTTAGACGTATATAGTGGCAGTATCACAGTCGTGACTAGTTGTCTTTTTATTCCAATGGGTTCTTACGATCGTTTTTCGGAGACCCGTGGTTTGTAAACTAAACTGGAGACAAAATGCAATGTCAGTTTTTTATGAGCTTTGAATTAAGTGGAGTAGAAGAGTTAATGTCGGTGACTAGGGAAGTTTAGTAATGTGTGATGGAACAGTTGAGGTATAACTACCTAGACTTGTTTTGGATCCTAACGACACGATGTTAGATGGTGAGCGTATAATGATTATTATTACATTCAACATGTAACACGAAGAGCAGTTCAACAATGTTAAATACGGGGAACAGAATCGTAATGGCCTGAATTGATCATGCAGGCTTGGCCACATTACCTCTCGGTTTCTGTATCAAATATATTACTCTCTTCCCAGCTCAGATGTTTTCAGAAATGCTAGACGTCATACTTGCTTTTACTAGGTCAATTCTTATGCAGATGTATTTCAACAAGTCAAAGAAAACAAGACGGAACTATGGCAGCTAATGAACAAAGAATTGTATAAATAAAAGCGATTCGAGAGATGTAAAAGTTAAAAATTATACATGCTCCCGACATTGTTTCCATATGAAATTGGTTTCTTTTCATGGCAATTATAACTTGTAAAGTCAAATAAATTCAGATTAAGCGTAATTGCCTACTTTAGCATGGAGTAAGATTTCTCTGTGTAGTGAAACCACTGATATTTAGAATTCCAGCACCACTTTCCTCCACGAAATAATGTCCTAACGTCGCAATGTCATAACCAATATGACGATCCCAATTCGCATTATCTTTTCAAATTTGAAGCTTCGATTGCTGTATATGAGTATTTGGGGATACACACAGATATATGATTTGAGGCATTCCATCATGTGGACTTGACTTGCATAGAAAATATGATACATATTCTTTTTGTTATTCATATTAGAATACACAGATAAATATGCATTGATATATGTAATTAACACATGTGATTCATCTAGGCTTGATTCAACTGCGAAACAATCCAACGGAAAACATACATCTGCCTCACACTCATTAAAATAATCTTGGACTTGTTTTGAATTTTCTACCTGTGCAAACTTCATATATCTGGGCAAAATAGTTCTCTGATTGCTTTGGGAAAACTTGTTTTTCCCTCTAATTCATCATATCACTGACTAGGGATTCTACTCAACATGTATTACTCGTGAAAATATCCAATATCTGATACAATAACACCACAAACGTAACTCGAAATCGACCCATTCGGAACATATTTGTCACATTCATTGGGAATATCACCAGAGAGAAGTTCATTGTAAGGACTACTGACACGATATGATATCAGAATTTGATTTTTCTGAAATATTTCCTTCAAATTTATTAAAAGTCTCATCAGAGAATAATGGATCATTAAGAAAATCAGCATCTACCAAAACCGAATCAGGTTTTTGATCATGATTTGACTAATTCAACATATTATTCTCAGAGTAGTAAGAAATTTTATTAGATACGTGTAAATTATTATGACAGACCATATCTGGCACAATAACACGAGAAATCTGATAAGAAGTTCGTTGATTAGAAACATTCGTCTCACAATGATTCCGGGTTTCATCCAACTCTGGACTGCTATGCGACACTACATCGCTTCTGGAAGTCTTGGATAAAGATAATTGATCATTAGAAACATCCATCTTAGTAGAATCACAAATTATAGCATTAGTTTCAGCAAAATGAACCATGGTATTACAAAGTGACAGGATGTGTCCTGTTTCACCACATTTAAACCATTAAGAATTACAAAATACCCATGTATCACACAGGTGAAACTTGCCACAGAGCAAGCATTTACCAACTTGTTCTCATCTTCGTGAACTGTTTCACAACCTAATGAACTAAGGATCCCACAGGTATTGTAGTTTAACAACACTTTATCAGTAACATCTATGATTGAACCGTGTCCACCCAGTGAAATCAAAAGTCAGAATTAAGGAGGCTGGAAGATATATTTGATAGATTATCAACATATCGAGAAGTGACTGATCTGAACTGACTATCGATCGCAGGAGAAGTTGCGCACAGCGTTCCCACTCGTGATCTAGTGCGGATGCATGGCCGAGCTCTTTCAGCTAGGTGAGTCCATCAAAACGAATGTGGTCAGCATCCAATGTTGATCACTTACAGAGCTATTGACTTTGGAGGTTTATTTACCGCTACAGGATCGTTATCTCAATAAACTTGAGTACGTATTGGACTGCGACGACGCAGTAAAGTAGTGGAATTCCTAATGTTCTGACGAATCATTTCATTGAATTTTTCTCCATCACCTCATTGGAAATTTGTATACTTTACATGGTCCATTAGTAGTTTCATAAGGGAGTGAAATCGACTGGTCTGGAAATGCCAAAGTCTTTATTAAGATATATGCTCCTTTTCTAATGAATGTAAGGAAATTGGTCACAATATTCAAATCCTCAACCTATTCATCGGTCAGTCCAGATTTCGAATCTTTTCATGTAATCCCCAAAAGTATCAAATTGTGCATGTATATGCAACCGTTCCAACACGGGTTCCTTCGTGACGCCAATGTGGTAATTAAGAGTATTTGAATTACAGTATAGACGAGTAATCCCAGAAATAACGTAATTTAATCAAGAAGTACAAGATGAACACAGACGAATGTATTGTATTTGGAATTCAAAATCAAGTACAAAATAATCATTGGTTCATATAAACACCACAATTTCGCAAAGCTGGAACATTATCCAGCACATGATTACGCTACATACACATGCTGTTATTATACAGAAAAAAATAGTCCTGTGGTTAAGATCCACTTTGATAATTATATCAAGGCTTTGCTCCGACAGATAATGACGCGCTTCTACAGAGAATGATGCCGAAGCCACTCTCAGTGAAGCATGAGGCTATCTAAGTAGGCTTCGGATGTGTTACATCAATGCCAAAGCTTGTTCAATAAGCGATCGGAACTAGGTGTACAGATTGACTCTATTAACCCAGACATAATCGCAGTCACAGTAACTTGGCCGACACAGTCTATAGATAGTAGGTAACTTGATCTCGAGAGTTTTACACTGGTAAGGGCCGTTAAAATGCAAGAGCGTAAAGGAAGAGCTGTGGCTCTATTCATTAGGAATGCTATCACATTTGCAATTAGCGATAGTGTATCCCAGGAGAGTATGACGTGTGAAATAGTTGGTTACCTCCTGAAATGCAATGGTGATTGGTTTGGTCTTTCACAGCCCAAGCTGTGAGGTAAACGAAGTTCTGCTAAGCAGTCTCAATACTCGGTCACAAAGTGGTCGATATCTAATCCTAGGGAACTTTTTACACCCATGGTAGACTGGGAAAATCTGCGAACTTAACTGTCAGATAATTCCTTCGAGTAGGGACTAGTTCAAATGGTTGAGGACGGAATAGAAGAAGCTTCCGCTTAACGGGCTTCCGTGTCTGGTAGCAGTGGATCACCAATACCTCCAGGCAAAAATCTAGGTATATGAACGATAATAGAGGAAAAAAAGAATTTGGTAAATCATAATAATATGTTATCCTTAGTCCTTAAGAATAAGTCAAGTTTCCTCTTAAAGGACTCCTGCGAGGTCGCTTGGAATAGCTCAGTCGGCAGCGAATTCCAGCACTTGACAACTCTAACGGAGTAGAAGTTGTGTCTGCAGTCTGCTCTGCTATGTAGGGTCTCCAATTTCTGGGTGTTACCTCTTAGGTTATTGTTATGACTAAGCTTAAGAAGATGTTGAAGGGGATGACCAGAAGTATTAAGGATACTGTAAGTCATAAGAAGGTCACCTCTAAGACGCCTGTACTCTTACGGGTAAAGGTTAAGTGGTTGGAGGCGCTCTTCGCAAGGTTTGAATTTGAGTCCCCGAACTGATTTCGTGGCTCGACGTTGTATACGTTCCAAAGTGTCCTTATTCTTTTGGAGGGAGGGAGGAAATACTATGTTTCCGTACTCTAAATGGGGACGAATAAAACTGTTGAAGATTATATGGAAGGTTCTACCGTCAAACTGGCCAAAAATGCGCTTCAATGTTATCAGTGCAAGGTTTGCTTGAGAGGCGTTTTTGTCACACTTCGCATACGATTTCAGGTCATAGGGTACCAACACTCCTAAATCTTTTTCGACTTGGGAAACTTCTAGAGGTGAGTTACCTAAGTTATAACTATAGTCTGCAACATGTCTCAGATGGACTACCTTGCACTTTGAAGTGTTGAAGGTAAGTCCATTGTCGTCTGCCCAACTTTGAAGTCGGGTCAGATCCTCCTGAAGGACTAGTATATCATTATGATTACATATCTCTCTCCAAAGTTTCACATCATCAGCAAAAAGCAATAAGTCAAATGAACCTTATTGAGGAAGATCGTTAATATAAATCAAGAAGAGAAGAGGCCCTAGTATTGAGCCCTGGGGGACCCCACTAGGACATTCCATAGCCTGAGAGGGAGTGAAGTTAACCCTGAATTTAAAGTGTCGGTTTTCTAAATATGAAGAGAGCCAATCAATCAAAGGGGGTTTTATACCCAATCGTCTAAGATTCTTGATAAGACATGCTTTTGAGAAGTCCAGGTAGATGACGTCAACCTTTCCCTTGCGATCAAGGATGGTTGTCCATCTATCCACAGCAGTCAGCAGGTTGATCATACAAGAATGACCTTTTCTGAAACTATGCTGTTGAGGTGAGAAGAACTTTGAGGATGATAAGTATTCTAGTATACCGTCGTATATTAGGGATTCCATAATTTTGGAAGGTATGGAGAGAAGGGCCACTGGTCGGTAGCTTGAGGGTTCACTGCGTCGACCTCTTTTGAAGATTGGTGTGATGTGGGCCAGCTTCCAAATTTCCGGTAGTTTGCCTCTGCTTAGCGAGTGTGCAAACATCACGCTAAGTGGTGTCGCCAGGATTAAAGCTGCTTCCCTCAATACAGCTGACTGAACCATATCCGGTCCAGGAGAAGTGTCTTTTCTTAGGTGCTGCAGTTTACGGAGCACCAGGTCAGCACTCAGGTCCACTTCGGAAAGTATTGTACAGGCGCAGGTGAAGCTTTCGACAGTATGGTTGATGTGAGTCAGCTGGAATGTCCGGGAGTATTGTTCAGCCAAAAGGTTAGCGGCATCACTGTTGTTATTGGTCGGGCCATTAGGACCAAGCAGTTGGGAAACTCCAGTTTTGCCTTGTCGAAGAGAAGCTGCGTAACTGAATAAGCTTTTCGGATTGGAGACGAATTTATCGATAATCTAGATCTGGAACTGAAGCCTGTCTTCTCTTATTGCCTTTGAACATATGTTCCTTATGTGTTTATATTGCCTGTATGCGTCGTTATTGTCGGTTCGTTTATATGCGACCCAACAGTGCCTTTTGCGGCTTAGCAAACGACGAGTGAGGTTCTTGATGATTGGAGTTTGTTTGTAGCTTTTTGGGACAACTTTAGGAACTGAATGCTCAGTAGCATATAAAATCGTGTGCAGTAAAAAATCCCAATGAGCATCCACTTCAATTTGACGGTGAACATCCCAATCCACCTGTTGTAGATAGTTCTGTAAAGCTAACACATTCAACCGTTTGAAGTTCTAGCGCTTGTTGCTAGTAGGATATCGTAGCTCCTTTTTGCTGACAAATCTGAATGATAAGACGGCGTGGTCACTTTTCCCCAGGGGAGCCAGGATTGAGAGGTCGTCAACTAGGAATTCTTCATTTGTGAATACCCAGTCTAAGCGCGACAGCTTCTGACTGTGTCTCCAACGGGTTGCCGACTTCACGTTTTCGAATAATCCCAGGTCACCGATGAGGTTGAAGAACAGAGCTTCAGTGGAGTTGTCACCTCCAATGTATGTATGTTCCACGAAGTTGATTCTAGGAAGATTGAAGTCCCCTAGAATCAGGATAAGAGAGAATCCGAGACTCGTAGAGCGAGTTAATCCTTCCAGCAGACGTTTTTTCATACTCGATGTCTGCACTGGGCTTCCTGTGAACGACCCCAATTAGGCACCTTGAGGTGGTAGATAATCTTACTGAGCACCATACTGACTCGTCAAGATTGTGAAACTCTTGGTTGTGAAGTTGGTGCGCATCCAGGCATGACCGTACGTATAGTGCTACCCCACCCCCCATTCCTGTTTTTCTGTCGTTGCGAAATAAAGACATTCCAGTTATTGCTAACTCCTGATCCGTAAACTGAGACGTTACCCAAGTTTCGGATATTCCTATCAGATGGGCATCATTAGCGTTACTAAGCTCACGTAGCTCATCCATTTTGTTTGGCAAGCTCGCGGCGTTTGTGTATAGGCAGTTTATGCTTTCAATTTGGGACGCGTGAGGTTCTTCCTGTTTGTCTATATGAGCCGTGCGTGAGTGGACAGGTGACCTACCTATACGATGTTTACCGAGTTGGTAGTCCCTGTCCTTTTCACGTTTTTTTATGATCAAGACAGTCCACGAGTGGAATTGTCAGCTCCAGCTTTCGTTTGTGCTTGATCCTGCTGTCGTGGGGCCTATCCGGATGCATATGGATGCCAGTTGGCAACCGACGTCCATTGGCACGAAATGCTTCCAGAGTTGCAGCCGCCATATGGGAGGAGGGGAAGGTTATCTTCAACAGCCGGGGCCTAGAGTCTCCGTCTCTCTTGACTAGTCGCATTTCCTGTTGGGTCAATATGTTCTTGAGTTTTAAGGAATGCTTAATGAATTTCCATTCCCGAATATCAGAGTTTGCTTGAGTTGGATCCACATTTTCCGGCACACCTTGCACAATGACATTTCGTCCACGGAAGAACGCCTCGCGAGATCCCTTAGGGATGTTCCGGATGAGATTTCGTTCAGAATACGGTATGTCGGGCAGTATTCTTACGTTCCCATCGGACTTCAGTAAGTGACTGGCTAGCAGGACGTCGTTTATGTCGGATGCATTCTTAAGTGTAACACGAAGCAGCCTCGGCTGGTTTAGGTGGTTAAGGTCCTTCCCCCGAGTGAGCCGTGTGACGGTCAAAGGCTCTATTCTAGGGGGCTCAAGCCTCTTGTTTAATTCTCCCCAGAGCATCCTATCAATTTTGTCCTGCAAACTGAGAGGAAGGTCGGAGTTGTCAATAAGGTTCATGATTATGATAGAGTCGTCACGAACCGTAATTGATTTCCCAGGTTTTCCTGGGCGTCTAGGCTTGGTATCTTGTTGTCTGGATGTCGAGGCGCGTTTTCGATTCCTGGGCTCAGTGATGACCGGGTGGACAGTCTTGGGGGTAGACTGCGGCCAAAGCATCAATTGATTTCCGCACGGTACTTGGGATGTTCAGTTTCAGCGGGGACGCTTGGGCTTTATTACTCCTGTTAACGTTAGTCCAACCACCTACAGGATTTTTGGGAACCACTGTCTCATTCAATGACTGTTCCATGGGGGAGCCAAGTTTACTGAGGGAGTCCATGACAGTTGATGTTAAGAAGGTGCTGAGTTTCAGCACATCATCACTCGTGCTGTTAACAGCACCGTCGATAACCGACCTGTCAATATCCTTTTTCTTGTTTGCCCTATACGTTCCAGCTTTGTTACTCGTCATGATGCTATCATTTACCAAATTCTTAGGCAACTTATCCCTCAGACCTGTTAGTAAAGTAATGATGGTACCCAACATAACTACCGTATCAGTGTTGCAGATTACACATACCCACTTACGACCAGACTTGCTGAGTCTGCTATAGGCTGCTGCTGTTAGATCTGTACATGATTCGTGGAACCAACCTTTGCAGTTGTCACATTGTATGCTAGATGTAACGGCAAAACGGCAACCAGGTCTTTTGCATGAATTTTTCATGGCTAGTGATTTAGACTGTCTTAAAAATACAAGCAGTAAATTTAGGACCGTTAAAAAAACACAGTAAACAAAAACTGGCAAAAATGTATAAAAACAGTTAACGATAAGCTAAAGCTAGTCTTTACGTGAAAACCGATAGTGAGCTGAGGAAAAACCACAGTTAACTATTAATTTGAGTGAAACACAAAAAAATAAGTAATCTACCGAACGTATAGCTCAGAACAGATTATTTAGATCGGAAATGGTACTTTTGTTGAGTAAGAACACAGCAAAAGTTAGGACTAAACTTCCCGTTCGAAAAGCGCGATTGATGAGGTTATCACATGTGCACTACTGCAAAATGTGAAAGAAGCGACTAGGTACGACCCGAGATCTGAATCATCTTTACTAGATCTTATATTGACTCACTATGAGGATGAAGTCGCGAACGTCAATTACATGCCACCCCTAGGTAAAAGTGATCATCCAGTTTCAACCTTTGACTTACATACAACTGTCAATCACGAGTACACGTCAGCTTAATCCAGATCTAACATCTGTAAAGCAAACACACAAGATATCATACACTCAGCATCGTCAACAGATTGGACGACAGACCCAGAGTCCTCATTTGAAACTGCTTGGGACGTATTTCGAAACTTTTACCTAAATGTTAACTCACCCACATCCCTCTCCATAAGAGGAGGAAATTGTGGGATAGATTTAGGTCATTGAAGACGATGAGACTAAAGCTCAGTATCGAAATGTTCGGAACACCTGTGCCTCGACCCTCCGTAAATCTAGAAAGTTGTACGAAGGGAACGTTGTTAAGGAATCCATAGAATGTCATAAACGCATGTATTCCTATATAAACCAAACGACAAAAAGAAGAAGAAATTTCCCTTCACTATGGGGAGACAGTACTGCCTCATCATCAGTGGAGGACGACTTTGGTAAATCTCAAGTATTCTTGACATAGGCAAATCCACTGGACCTGATGAATTGCATCCTAGGTTACTAAAGGAATTAGCTAACTTGGTTGCGAACCCCTTAAGCATATGCTTTCATTTAACGCCATAGTAAATCCTGTTATTCCTCTTGTACGTAAATGACTTCGCTCGTCTACAATTGTCATCTGTCTTTCTCCATGCTGACGATGTCAATATATGGAGAGCGATACAAAGTAAGGGTGACAGCTTCGAACTTCCAAATGACCTGGAGAAATTATCAGAATGGTTTCAAACCTGACAGTTGTCGATAAATACTTCCGAATGTATTGTGATGCATATCGGTCGTCAAGGTACAGATACATACACTGAGCTATCTGTTGTCCAGACACACAATGACTTAGGAGTCATCGTTAGCCAAGAATCAAAGACTAATGTACACTGCCGTGCAATAGCCGAAAAAGGTTTTAAAACTTTATGGTGAATACGTAGGGCTTTTAGTCATATCGACGCTAAAACTCTTTAGACTTTGTATAGTGTTTGTGCGTCCTAAACTTGAGTACTGCATACGAGTGGCTAGCCACTGCTTAAAAAAGACAATGAGCCATTGGAAAGGGTTCAGAGAACAGCAACTAAGCTGATTCGCCGAATAGCGAAGCTCCCGTATGATGATGGACTGACCAAGCTAAACCTATTCCCGCTGTCATGTCGGAGAACCAGCGGCGACATGATTACAGATTTCAAATTGCTTAGTGATAAATTTGCACCTGATATGCCCTTATTTTTCTTGCCTTCCGAAACAGAAAATTTACGAGGACACTCCAAAAATGTCTAAAAGCCTAGAACGAACTACTTGTCAGCTGACTATCGACTTTCCCATGGAATCATGAACGAATGGAATTAATTACCTCAGTACTTGGTTGAGGATCCATCTGTCGACTCTTTCAAAAAAAATTGTATCAACTGAGAGACTACCATTGCCAGGACTAACACAGACCATCAAGCCTCCTGTTCTTTCCAAACTGAAACTTGTAAGCCTCTTTTCAATGGTACTTGAAACTATAGAATATCGGCATTCATAGAGAGGTTATTTAGACTAGTTCTCGTAACATTAGCAACGCGGTAAGATAGGGTGGCCTTTGGTTTAGGGTTATTTATTGGTTAATTGGTTTGATCAATACCTTTAATTGGGCCGTTGAAGTCTATTAAAAGCTGAATGGGCTGAAAATATATACTCATCTGATAAGGGGATTTACTCCAACGGCAATTCGGCCAACTGGTCGACTTGCTCACTGCACAGTTTACCTCGGGTGACCTACCGTTAATTCGCCACTCCGTTTTAATTGCTCATGCACACAATATGTGTCTATTAATAGACACGAGTAGATACGAGTAAATTTAGTCGTATTGAGTGATTTTTAATTGAAAAAGCCTGCATAAGGCTAATAGGTGGATGTGCTCATAGCAATCACGAAGCCCGTTTGTAAAAAACCGCTCTTACTGTTTCTAATCTTTTTTTGTTGAAATAATTGAAACTGAACTGTTAATTGTCAGTCTGGAGTATTTTTCAACCTTGGACTTTGTCATAATACTTTGATATCACGATTGTTTCTACTCAGTCAATATTTTGTTCCGATATATATGACGACTTTTCAGGCTACTAGGGAGAATTAGAAAACTGATTGGTTCTTGGGCTCTGTATTCTCGTTACAGTCGTCGTGCTGTTCAGCGCTGGAATCACTTATAACTGTTAGCAAATGTTCTCGAAATATGTTCCTCACTAACAGTTCCCTCAAATTATTTGTATTTATAAAATCAAGTTAAAGATCAAGATTTCCTTTGTATACAGTTTTCCACATAACTTTGTATGACATGATTATATATATATATATAATGACCGAGTCAAATGGTTTTTATGGGATGACTTGCACTCGGAACTGTAAGTGATCTAACCTTGTAATTTTGTGGAGAGATGTTGAGAAAGACTTGTGTTGTCAGAGTGCTACAGCTCTAGCGCAGTAGCAAACTTGAATCTTTTGAAGTTAATATTCCCTGTTTAAACTAAAGGTTAGAGTAGGTGTCGCCTATCCGGTCATCACTGTGTCCCATTCTAAATACGGTGGTTTCCATGTGTTTTTGTCATGTCTTCAATCGAAGTTTACGGTTACAGTGGGGTACAACGTGTAATATTCCTTTAGCTAGACTATATTTTAAGAGGAACTACTCTGCAAAATCGAAAATGGCTGGGAAAGTTTCAAGGAACAGTAAATTCCTCGTATCCTGTGAAAGAAATGGCTCTTAAACATCTTTTTTCGATGAGCTATTCCAAAATGTCAAAGCGATATAATTCTTATTTGCAGAGAACTTAGTTTTGTCAGTGGTAAGGAAGTGTTTTTGGTACTAGGTGTCTCTAGCGTTCGAGGTGCTCACTTCTGTCACAGTGGAGATTATGTAAAGTATAATAGATCAACTTGGTTGCAGGAGGGTTATTTATTCCATTTATACACTATTTTTCATCCCCGAGTATCTGTTTGAACACGGTAGTAAGTGATTCGTCTTCAAATTATGATCACTATTTTTGAGATATCTGTTAATGGAGTACATAAGGGTGATTTAAGTCTGATAACTAGAGAAAGCTACTTGAATTATTATTCGATACTATTTTAATTGTAAGTTTGTGGTGAAATTGGATTTTTCGGCTGTAGTCAACATTAATAATTAAGTGACATCTCAAGAGCAACGTAGTCGGAAAATAAACTAGTTCGCATTTCATACCGCTTATTAAAGTCTAACTTTCCTCTACATTAATATGTAGTCCAACTAATAGTAGAAGCCTTTAATGCATTATATAAACAGGACTTTACATAAACATTGAGATACAATTAATTTTAAAGTTCCTTAAGGATGATGGTCCTTTTTCAGCAGTTAGACGTATTAGTATATTAACTGGGAACTGTGAGTTATTCTCTTTGGCCGGTCTCGATCTTTGATCGTTCCAGTTTATAAGGAAAGACAAAAATCATTTTGTGACAATCACAAGGAAACCAGCTTGACCAATATAATATCAAAAATGATAATCCTTATAACCATCTGACGCTTAACTAGAGCTGAAAAAGAGCAAACTCGAAAAAACTAACCTAGTTGCTGACGTAAATATGTGTACCAAGTATTTACTGTTTGTCAAGTTTTAAACATGTGCATGCTTATAGACTCCCGACTACAGTGATGTTTCTTGACTTTAGGATATGATTTGACTCTAAAAGTTTTGCGATGTCATTAAAAAGCGTACCAAGAAAGTTCATAAACCTAGTGAAGGCTCTCTACTCGAACTCTGGTCAAGTTAAAGCACATGGCAAACTCATTAGGATTGTCAACCTCGAGTAGTTTTCGTTAGGATTGTCCACTATCTTCACAGACATCGTCTTAGAGATAACGCTCTTATGTTGTGACTTCTCGGGGACTGATATCTTAGCAGGAAAATCACTTGTTGACTTGAAATACACAATTGATGTTATGAATAGGTTGACAAGATGGTCTTCTTACCACCCTAAGCAACAATCCAAGCATGTTTGAGATGTGATTTTGTCTCTGTAAGTACAAAATAGACTGGTCTACACTAGTACCCGAACTAGTGATTGGAAGCAGTGTTCGAGCGCATTGATAACCTCACTTATTTGAGAAATGTCATCAGCCCTGGTTGGTGGGTTTTTGATGAAACCTGGACACGGACTCAGTAAGCTGGGTTCGCGTTTCCTGAGTTGTGGCATAGGCGAGATGTCTGTTGGCAAACCAAAGGACAGGTTTGCTGCTCAACAGTTCACTCTTCTACTTCGTAGGTGTAAACCATGGCCATTAAGAATAGGGAGCTACTAGTATTCAATCACACATGTCTTCGAATCTTTGTTGGTATATTTTGGGACCATCACGTAAGCTCAAGTTAGACATAAATTAATAGTTAAAAATATCAAATCGGTTGATAAGGTGATAAACCATCAATAACTGAGGTGGTTAAAACATGTTACATGTACCCAACTACTGCCTACCTAAGTGCTAATGTTTGGTCAAAGAGTAAGCTGAAGGCTAGCAATGGTTAAATCGATTCTTGGTGTTAGTCTGTAAAACCATTGACTGCATCATGTTACCAATTGTAGATTATTTATTTGGGGTTTACGCTACCGTCGTAACCAACAATTAAAAACTTCGGATAATATGGCTCACAATCGTCTACAGCAGCAAAGGTACATTCGATGTTTATCTTCCCTGAACCTCAAATTCCTACATCTTTTAGTCGTTTCTCTACATCCGTTCTTTTCTATTGATATTACTATCTTTGGTCTAGTACGATGGTATTTTTTCGATAATTTTATCGCGTGCTCAATTGGTGCGGCCATTTGAACCGACGCACTTTTCAGGTTCTACGTTGCTTATGACTGACCAACTAAATGTCTTCAAGAAACTATATACTAAAGCAACAAACAAGCAAAATTTAAGAACATTGTGCTTGACTGTTTGTTCATCACTGAATGCAATGCATTAGTCCAGTCTGAATTTTTGTCGAGGAAATCAATGATGTTACACATCTGGTCTGTATTCTGTTGTATTAAACATTTCGTTCACTTGTGTGATTTATTTTTCAGATTTAGTTCCTTAAACTGGTGCTGTGAAAATTCATTTGGATCAATTTCGAGCGTTCACGTATGCGATTACTTTGATTTACGATCGGATTACTGGGAAACGGCATTTTTACTAGTCATCAAGTCCTTTTCTAATGCCCAGAATATGCACACTAAACTATTTCATTCTCTGCTCAGGAGTTGTCATAACGTGAGAATCATCTTTTGATATAAAAAGCAGTATTGCTCTGATATTCCTTGTTAGGTCGAACCAGTTGGATGAGAAACTTTTTCCTTACTCAAAGAGGTTTAATGGTTCAGCTTGCGTAACGAAGGTTAGCCACCGAACTTTTGAAGCCTGTTCATGTTTTAACTTTTTATTTTCCGAAATCCCAAGTTGATTTTTAAATATCTCTTAAGTGTCATGGTAATCTAATGGTCATTAGAAGTGAAATAAATTTAGAAATCGCAGAAATCTTTGTTCGTTTTTAGTAAAACTATCAAGTCAACGGTGTTAAAATTAGACTTCAATCCTAGACAAATCGGTTGATTAGGTTGTGGAGGTGAGTCAATATATAATGTTGACTGAAGTATGATAAAGTGGAGTCTAAAAGTAACCAGACTAAGATACTATATAATGTCGTGAAGTCAGTGATTGCTAGCTCTTGTCTTAAACACGTAAAATCCTCGAGAACGTCGATTAAAATTCTTCAACCACAATAACAAGAAACAGATACACTCCTAATGTTCATGGGATATTTTACTAATGTCCAATTATTTCTGCTTTTCGACTCATTGATTATTTGAATGTTTTAGTATCTTTGCACCTTTTAGTAAAATTCCAGTTCGCCACATTTTTTTAAGATTTAAAACGTAATAAAAATCTAGTTGCTTATGCTTCTGGCATTAGGTTCAGTTCATATAAATTTTTCAATGTAATCATGGATACATGAAAGGAATTCTACAATTGTCTATAACATATTATTTATTTAAACACATATATATTGGTACAAAAGGGCACCAGGTACATATGCGTCTATAACATAAGTTTTGAGACTCAGTGGGTTCGGCACTTAACGTTGAATAGGTTGATCAAACTTTTACTCAACCATTTTCCCAATCAGTCATAAACATCTGACCTGATGCAAATATATATCGGCCAGTATCACTTGGTCACATCAACATAGTGTGAGTAAATTGTCAAACTGTATGGCAAAAGGTTCTAAATAGTGGTATGATCAGTAGTTTAATTTGTACAATTTAACATACGTATTTCTTGTTAATCGACTGTTTTAATTATTTTTTGTTTCCAACAGGATGGGAAAGTAACATGTACAGAAGGTACACATCAAAGTTTGTCAGATTCATTTCGTCGCTTTATGATTTTTAAATGTTCACTAATTCTATTGGCACTGTGCAGTCTTGCTATAATTCGTCACAGGCATAAGCGTTTAGACAAAAAACTAATGCAGAAAGTCAACTTCCAGATTGCAGCTGGTGTCTAGTATACTCTCATGAGTTGTATCTGAATTTACTTCTCACTGTGATAGTCCTCTTTTTGTTGATTTTATGATTTAAATCAATACTGTAACAATGTACATTTGAGAATATTATTTTTTCTTAAACATCTAGTGAGACAAACATCCTGATGTGCTTATTTAGGTGTCTTCACATTCGGTCATCACACAGTGTACACATAATTTAAGGATAACTTTCATATTTATATGGTGACCTAGTAATAATCTTCTGATTGGTTAGTGACACTATAGTGTTTCAAAATCCTCATATTTAGAACACATGTTGTGGTGCAATAATAATATTCTAATAGATATGACGGTATCTCATCTATCAGCTAAACCATTCATGTATACACGTCCTACTTTATATAACGTCAAACCACTTGGCATTAAACTATATGAGGAACAGAGTTTATATTTTTTGAATATCTAGGATAAATTTCGTTAACATTACATTAGGTAAACAGCCCAGTGAAAATATTTCTCATGGCAGTACTTAAGATAGTTGTTTGAAGATATCTTAACGATATAAGGTCACATGCCTGATTAAATTATGAAAAGAGTACATTGGATATTCATAAATAAGATTTTATTTTGTCTCGTGTGTCGAGCTGTATCCACTAGCACTGTTTCGTGTAAAATGGGGTTTCTAGTGTACACACTTTTGCATTCGACTAGTTGTAGTCACCTTGTACTATTACGTGCCAGTTTAACAATCGCCGAATTAAATCTATATTTTGCAGGAACTAGTTGAGTAGCTTAGCTAACATGTAATGTGGCAGCAGTTCCTCATGTCAGATTTAGCTTTTCTGTAATTTTCCTGAAAATGCATACATCTTAAAAACAACAAAGAGCAGTAAGCAGAAGTTGTCTCAATCATATGTCAGTCAGCTGACTTTTTGAAGAAATGTATCTATAAGGAAAACAAAACTACAATATTCTTTACCACTTGCTATAATAGACACACGTTGAGATAGATGACTTCGTCAAAATCTTTACTGAGAAAACTATCTAATAGCTTTCGTACATGGTCAGGGGTATTATGCTTTGAGACGGAATAATTTTCTAAGTGTATGGAATTTATTTTAATAGCCACCATAATTTACCTGTAACCTTCTCCCTCCAGTTAGAAGCGTCAGTTTAGCTGGCCAATGGTATGTCTATTATAGAACCCATAAACTAATAACATTGCTTTATCAATATCAGTTTTAGCATTTTTTCCGTCACGTCTATTTCAAATAGTAAGGCTGGTATCATTTTCAGATAAATGTTTGTTGGCGTACGGTTTCTAAAGGAAGTAGATCTGAGACAACCAAGAGCTGGTAATGTGACTTACTGTCATTTCATAATTAAGATATTCATCGAAACCCAACAAACTTTTATATAATATATGAATACAAAATGAAGGGTCGACAGCTCAAGCGACATCCGCTCCGTAGGAAACTTATCAACCGTTAATGGTATAGTTTACATTAATTTTCAGTCTGAGAAGTTAGTTCGGAATAATGCCATACCTCGGAGAAAGCTTTTGTGTGTGTCGACTAAAACAAACAACAGTATGAAAAGCTTTGTAAGGCTAACGGAAGGTTAGATACAAACGTAAATTTTCGGCATCACAAATACCTAAGATTGCCAAAACCACTTCTAAAAAGGGGATAATAAATTAGCAACTCTTTTGTGCATGGATAGTGCGTGTTTGTAGAAAAGTAACTGTAGCAGAACTAGGACTTGTCCTCTTTACTTCCACAGAAACACCTATGCAGCAAGAATTACCCCCTGTTAATTGAAAAAGGTGGAATATCAGATCTCTCATCTACCAATAGCAACTGACTTGTTACATCTTTACGGATACTGGGGCACGAAATTAAGTTGTCTAATGGTCTTTCGAACGGTGATGGTATTATCTACGTATGTAAGCCAAATTCGTGGTTTAATTGTCGTTCTCTAGTAAATCACTAATGAATTCTAAGCATTTATCATTAAGAATACTAGTGTATAATGAAATAAAATCAAAGCTTAACATGACTTCATTCTTTCTGATAACTAATTCCGACATTTTTGATTTAAAGTCAGGAATCTGTAATCATGTTATGTAAGTTAATTTGTAGTGGCATTAATATGCTGCTTAGATACTTCGATAATGCACATCCTGGTGTGTTCGTGAAGTTTACTATAGGTCTTAGAGGGATGTCTGGTTTATGGATTTTGGGTAAACCATAAAAACGTGCAGTATTGCATGATTTGGAATATAGATCAAACCATAGCAAGACACCAGTGACTGGTTTTAGGTCTTTTAAAAGTAGACTTGTCTCTGATTTGACTTTATTTTTAATCGTTTGAGGAGTTTTTCGATCGATCTTTTTATTATGTCCTGTAGAGAGATGTTCAAGAGCTTTATCAATATAATCTGTTTTATTCATGACCACTGTTGTATTGCCTTTGTCGGCTTTTGTGATTATAATAGTTTTGTCTTGTTGAAGCGAACGTAGAGCCTTCAGTTCTTCTTTTGAAATATTTTGACTGAACAAAAACACCTTACGCCTAACAAAATGGGGAGTAGAATGTTTAAGGATTTGAAAGTCTTACAGTTTACTCTCTATTTTTCTGCTTTTATGACCAACCAAAAAGGTAATCTCTTAGACGTCCAATGAGGAGTATATTTTCAAAAACTGCGGTAATTTTCTGAATTTGGAAACAATTTGCTACTATTGTTATGCCAGTCATGCTATCTCATACCACGACTTCGAAAAGCGATCAAAGAATCTAGGTGGCCTGTTGGTGATTAGTATGAACTTTTAAAGTAGAGGTCTAGACAGTCGAAAATATACACTATCTGGACCTCCCTACTGTAGTTCACAGAGATTCAGATTAATCTTAACAACCCCCTACCATGTAACTGGAAATTCCCTCCTCTTACAGCTATCTTTTAATATTCACACGGTAAATTTAGTGCAATCAACGAACTTGATTCTGGTAAAGGGGGTCTAATTGTCATATCATATGCACCGAATTGTTTCGTTAGCGTAACAGATGGAAATTGAGCTGATACTAAACGATAAACTAGCGTATATGGTAGCCACTATCTGATCTCCAGTTCCTTGATCTTTTATTCTGTCAAACTGATTTTTCCGTATTTATCTGAAATACATTGGTGTTCCACTAGCTGTTTTGTAATAACTTCGTACGTCGTATGACAGCAAACCCTTGAAGATTTCATTTTCCCTTTCTCAGCTCATCTTTACCAATGTACGCCATCTTTTTTATCGTGCCTTTATAAGCGAATACCATAATATCTGAATGGTAATTACATTCAGTCAGTGAATCGTGTAACCTGTGGGCCACTTTTTCGGATTGTTCAATCGTTGAATCTCTCGGTCATTAGGTCCGGATTTTGGTTTGGACAGCCGGATGGTATCTCTACGTTTGACGCAGTGTTACTCAAACCCAATGCAAAAACTTGTAACCCCACCTATTCTATACGATACTTGGTTACATTATCGAGAACACTTATTATATCTATCACATCCAAATAAACGCTGGGAATAATTTGTAAGATTGGTTTAGTTTGCCATGAAACAAAATAGTAAGATAGCCGAAGGCGGATATACAATACTGTTGAGCCATTGAGATACTTTAATACTATAAAATATAAGTTTCCTGCATAATTATGGAGTAACATTATTAAAGTCAAAAGCTATATTTGACTGAATTTTATTCCTAAATATATCAAGTATTTGTACACAGCTGGAAACGATCGTCGTAAGAGAATCTAAAACCGACAACTTCAAATTTCAATATCTTGACCAAGGATAAGTATTCCAATCAGCATCAAAACGATTGCAATTTGGCTGCTTAAGAGTTCCATCGGGATTCCTTCTAGACTCAAGTGAATGAGTTATTGCTTTGTCTAATCGTGAAAGACTACTATAACGATATTCATTTCCATCTTGATTCAGTTTATATTTGTAGTGTGAAGTGAAAAACTCCTTGAAGAAGTCATGGTTGGCCCATCTTTTGTTGTGCCACTTTCTTAAGTATGTACGACTTAGATATCTGAAATTTTCCTCCTTAGAATGTAATAAAGCCTATAGAGGAAGAAAGGGTTAAGTGAAAAAATGCAATAAATCTACAAAATGCGGACCAGAGTTTAAACTTTTTGACAATTTCTTATGCATTTTTGAATCAAAGGGAGACTAGGCCAACCTTTCGATTAAGTTTGACCGTATAACTGGGGTTCTTATAACTATAACTAGGTTTTTATTATTGTTTGGTAACAATTTCAAGAGGATTTTTCCAAGTGAGATAAACCTGATTAAATGCAATTTAAACGACATTATCTTCTATAGACAACTTACGTTGGCAAGAAAACTACTGTTTATGAGGCCTATATAGTGTGTGGTAAATTGTAGACTTAAAAAGTACATCCATTAAAAGCGAAATGTCACTGAGGCTTAGAAGTTAGAGCCGACATTTTTCATGTAAAAGTATGACGATGAGATATATCAAATCAAACTGATACGAAAATCACTGATGGGTCAATATATACTAGGAAAGGTATCTTTGATGTTTGATGACCAGGAAATCTTTTCGAGCATGTATGAAAACCCAGGCGAACTTTCACGTCTAACGGACAATTCAACAATTTTTTAAAAATGTTTATGTATACCAACCAGGAAATTTCGAATAAAAGTCAAGAGTTAACCTTACATCATGAACTTAGTTTCGAATAGGGACTATATAGCTATCAGTATTATCCTTCAATTGTTTGATGTACTAGAAAATGTAATTTCAAATTTGTTACTAAACAAACTAATACAGATAATGAAAAACTATCTATCAAAGTAACTATGATTTTGTCTCCTGATATAAGCATTTAGTCAACATATAGGTTTAGTAGTTAAAGAACCTATTTTTCCACTTCTGGAATGAAGATTCGAACACGTCCCACAGCATTTCGGACTGCTGTGTATTATTATTAGTTCTCATAACATAAATGCGGCTCAAGACTAAGTACACAAATGTGTAGTAGGTTGATGAGTTACATTATAAAAACTGAAAATGTAAAACTTAAACTTCGTTTTACGTCATTAGCTTAACTAAATCATTCTTCAAACAGCTTTGCACTTAGATGATGTAGGGTCAAGTGATAAATACCTACTGTACCACTGGGTGAACTAAGGAGAAAACGTTTGACGTAACTAACTTTTAGATCATTAGATTGATTTGGATTGTACGTCGATATGTTTATTTGGTTTGGTCCTGAAGAGTCCAATAACTGAGAATCAACAGAAAGACCCCTGTGTCTGAAAAATCTGCCATCCGGAAGCAGTCTACAGGCAAGCAAATCAGATTCAGTTGGCAACCCGTTCTCGAAAATAACAGGCTGTATCCGAATAAGATGTTTTATCTCGTATAAATCTCGGTTGACTGACGGAGTATTTTTGACAACTATCCAATTGTGATTCTAAAAATATATAAAATAATGTATTGCATTACTTTTGTGTCCTTTCCAAGACCATATTTTTCAAGAATAGCTCTCTGGTAGTGAATGATCCCCTTGAGAGGCTTTAGCCGACAGACCATATGCAGTAAAGGAGGTTCCTTCGCTTGGTTGAGCAATGGTTGAGATTCTTGCAGTTGGAATAGACGTTTGGCCCATCTCAATGGATTTTTTTCCTCATCACTCCCAGGAAGTGGTTTTGATTCCTTCGTATATGACATGGCGTTGTGAGGTAAAGAAACATGAAGCGATCGACAACTGGTCATCAAATTAAAAGCCCAAGGTCGGGTCATTATAAGGAGGTAGGTTTTTTCTGAATGTATGGTCGTTTGAGCAGTACGATCTGCGATAAAAAAAAGTATGATACATAATGGCCCAGTAGAAATATGTCAAATTCAGAATAATTAGAGTAGAAGTTCGAAGTAACTTGCATAACCAAAGTACCGGCTCATTCTGAGACGCAGGTCTTGAAGAGCATGGGAAAGGTAGCATTGTTTCGTGAACCTGGTGAAGGCCAGTTTCGACAAAGTCTTCATCAACAATAAATTTTGTTCACCAAATGAGTTGACCGAGTGGAGGGAGAAACTAAACACAAAGTACTTAGTACCATATAGATAAACAGATAAAAAACGTAAATTTTTGTTCTAGTTTCCTCAATGAATGCCACCACAAAAAAGTACGTAGGTCTAGGAACAACGTGGAGACACTGATGCTAAATGCACGACGAAAGTTAGGTTATAACTGGGAACGGAACCGGATGGCGTATATGACTGAACAGGAGAAAAAGTTTATTTATTTGGACACAAATATTGGAACAAGTGCGCACCAGATATATATGCGCCACACAAAAAATTTCATTTAATTTTGTGAGGGCTATGATACTGCCCGGGTGCCCAGACCGAAGCAGAAAATAGAAAGTATGTGGATAATCTTCTACAACGGGTCTTGAGTCGTCACACAAATCTCAACAATAATTTTCAAATTCCACGTGGATTACGACTGTAGAGCCAACACTTCTATAGATGGATTACGGATTATAGGTTGGTTGAATGACTTTGATTAGTGCACAATTTTTCATACTACCTCTGTATCAGTTGGTATTGCCAGCTGTGTTGATTCGGTGGAACACGTCACATGAATTCTTACTTTTACTGTCTATCAAAAAGGTTTACAAGAATATGCGAAGTTTAAAGGCTTGTAACTGTTTGAGAAGTGACTACAATACATATGGATTGCAGAGTGATTAAAGTATCAAGATCCAGTTAGGTCACATTCACTTAATTTATGGTGTGATTAGGGTTACTCAAGAGAGAGGTCTCGGAGAATGTTTGATTGGGCTAAAGATTTTGGTTACAAGGGTAAACTGTATGGGACAATCTAATAAAGCTTCTCATTATTTTGCAGATTATTTCTCACGTGTACAAATGCAGACAGTACTGGCCCTAACCGTTCTAAGAAAAAAATATGGAAATACATCATACATTTAAGGTTATTAGAGAGGGACTTCTGTTGTAGTTTTTGAGAAAGCAGTTCCCACTAATTAGAACAGACTTGATGAACTCATTAATACGGTAATAAAAGTGACTAGTCACAAGAGTTCATCTCTACAGTTAAAAGCTGCTAAGTCTAGTTGTGCAAGTATTCCAATCGAATATCTCATATATTACCTCCTAATGTCTGGTACTAGACCTTTAGTTGACCATGACCTAGAAATAGAAAAATAACTCACACGTTACAAATTAAGGCCGAATGTTTCAATAGCACCAATATCTTAGCAATGAGCTAGTATAAACCAGTAGATCTATTTACACTCACTAGTTGATGTCGTATTACAAACTAACGTCTTTGATATTGTTAAATTCATTTAGTTTACTCAATCGTCGGCACAAATAGAATATATTGTAAAAAGGGAGTTTTGTGGAGATTTTAATAATTTTATGGTTGAAATCATGAATCAAGTGAGGCTAGAACACCGTGGAAAACCTTGAAGCGCTGGACGACCGTTTCGTTTTATTGTGGGATTCCTCAGCAGTGCGCATTCACGATCCCGCCTCGCGAGATCCGAACCCAGGACCAGTCAGCCTGTTGTGAGATAATAACTCACTGAAAACAATGGTGGACGGTTGTTCAGTTTCGTAGATTGGTTGAAGTTGGACAATAAAGCCGTTGGATGCCGGCTCAGTGGTCTAGAGGTTAAGCGCTCGCTCGCTTCATTTGACTAATGATTTCAACTATAAAATTTAATTTATTAGTTATTTGTAGTTTAATATTCCTCAAGTACAGATGAATGCGTTTGTTCTAGAGCAATAGGGTTGTTTAATACTGGTTAGGAGATTTCCGGGATATTATATGAAGGATAATAATATTATAATACAGAGGGTCGAAGAAATGAATGCCAGGGTGGGTAGGTGAATAATTTACACGCACAACATTAACAGACAAAAGTCGGAGAACAACAGTTTTATGGAGGCGAAGAAGGGAGAAATGAGGACAAGTTGACCAGTGACAATAGAAGTGATAGTAATGAATGAAATAATAACAACACGGTAGATGCAAGTCAGTTGATATTGTTGAAGACGAGGAAAGAAGAGCCACGTATGAGTACATGGTTCTCGGGCATCCTCTTATAGCCTCAAAAACTATTTTATTAATTGTTCTTAAAAAGGAGGAAGTCGTTGTGCTTTCTTCAGTTGACAAGAGGAGAATGACAGACGCATAGGTCGAAGGAGGATTTCACTAAATAAACTTATCCATTTGTCTATATTGGTGAAGTCGTGTTTGCTAGATCAAAACAACCCGTCCAATTCAAATGTTACAAAATTATGTCCAGTTCAACAGTTTTTTCAGTATGAAGTCCATAGTGCTGGGGGTGAGTGGTAAAGCGTTATATGACAAGAAGGAGCGATAGGTGAGTCCCACAGCGTTACCAAACTAGAAACTTACAGAGCTTGGCTGGCGCCAACAATGCATTTTCTGGATGGGAGATTCGAAATGTCTCTCGTGAATCGACACAGATTTCGGTTTTCACTTTGTAACAAGTCACTGCTGACAGCAATTAAGCATTATTTGCTTACTATTGAGAGATACTTTACGTCTACTACTTTTCTAACAAGAATTAAATAAACTGCTCAAAAGCACTTATCACAAGAGATGAGAACCATTTACTCAACAAAAGTTGAATGTACTCATCAGGAAAATATTTTTTTATTTCGGATTTCATTGACCTCAAAACTTAGGTTGAAGACCATTGTTAGTTATGTTCATAACTAACTAATCAAAGTGTTGCTTAAGCTCCCACCACGTCAATCTGGTCTGATGTGTCTGTAAACTAACCCTGTTGCATGTGACTTACCAATTGAATGACATTATTATCTTATTATATTAGTGTGACTCATAAATTTCATTCATTTTATTAAGACACGCATTACTGGTCGGTATGTTTGTGCGTTTCACTTAATGACTGTAATTCTTTAATTATTGTACTAATCTAATTGTTTTTATGTTTAGAAACAGATAAAGTTTAAAGCCAAGTTGTCCATGTTCTGACTATAGCTTTCACATAGACTCCGGGATCGCCAGTATCGCGTTTACAGTTTAATAGTATATCTGTAGGACAAAATAAATCCTACAACCATTTTAATCTACTGTTTTCTCCACCACTTGCGTCAAGTATCGTCAGTTTAGTATGCAATGTCATCTACTGGACATTTCTTGCGAATTGCTTTAACGACCTCAGTGAATCATTTATTAGGCAAAATATCATGATCACCAGGCTATATAGCTCATTCAAACAACTATCCCATCGTTCAGCTCAATTGTATATTAAATCATTTGACTAGGCCATTAAATCGCAGACTAGTGACATTGCCTAAGCTGCATCTCTGTCAGATTTCGCTGAAATATGTAAACGAAGTATTGCTACTTAGGTGCTAGGTACTTATTCGTTGTTAAGATTGGTCAAAGCATTGGTCGTTCGCGTTCTCCAAGCTTACAAACTTTGAAACATCAACATGGTGCTTATATCTATGCGCGATTCAAGGAACATCTAGTGGGGATCTGTTTAACTATTTGATATTACTAAACGAATAGTATGAAGGAAAAAGCATTGTAGTCGTCCAATAGTCGTGCTACTGAACACGATTGAAAACAGTTGTAATGAGAATACCTTGATGTTAAAAAGTTAAAGTGTAACCGAACATCATATCAACTGTTCACAATGCAAATTGTCGGAACAGCTGGTTTCTGAAAAGGTCGGTTTGTCAATAAATGCTTCTTTATTTAATGGCAAATTATTCCACGCTGTACAACATGACAGCCACGAATAACTCATGAAGCTACAGCTTGCCATTCAACGGGATCGCATTGTGGTCAGGTGAGGACCATTCATCAGTACACTAACTTCCAAGTCATAACCGCTTACACAGCATATTGGAGAAGATTGTTTGTTTTGTTTTTCCGATTTCTAGAGTAAGGAAAACTGAGAACGCGAACGATTAGATGTAAAACACAGAAATCTAGATAAAAGAAAAACTTATAAAATGTCCTGCTGGGTGTAGTTGGTTAATGGTTCTGGAAACATTACATTGAGACTGGAGAGCGTCATTTAAAGCCGGTCATCAGATACCATCGAAGTTTCGTCGTGGATTGCATCCCAGTTATAAAGATTGTGTCGTTCGGTTGTTTAACGGGAACGTCTACGCAGAAAGTTTTTTCTTAGTAGGCGGATTTTAACCGGACGATGGTACAGTGATTAGGTTTGTGATGGAAAACCTTTTATGTCCCTTCGCATGGAGCATATTGTGTCATGACGAAAACGTATATACCAAGCCTTAGGAGGGACTGTGACCGAGTGGAACCACGTTTAACTCAACGTATGCTGTTTGCAAGCATTTTTGTGTAAGAGTTTAGATCCATCCTCATCAAAGCAGATGGAAGATCCACGAATCCTTTTTGGAGCCGGAATGTCGTTTCGTAAAGGAGTTGTGCAGTAGTGTATAGAAAGTCGACATTGCAGATATCAAGTAACACGAGTGGAAGTGAGTCGGTTCACTACGAGGGTTGAGCTCCAAGCTGCCAGTGGAATCGTTCGCCTAATTTGGAGTGATCATTTAATTCGGCTTATAGTTCTTCGTAACTTCCAGCTGGCGCAATGTATTTTCCAGTTTTTCAAAATTATACTACAGTTTTACTGTCCAATCGTTCTGGTAGAATCCGTAGTCTATAAGTCTGGTTACATGTGTCAGTGAGGAATTAAGGTCTAATTGAAGTCCGTATCTGTGAATTAGGTGTGACTTTTAAAAGAATATCCAGTCAATTTATAAAAACAATTCCTATTTTCTTATATTATTCCACCAACTGTAATTTCAAAGACAGATGGTGAATGTATACTACAAATACAGTTCTTATAAAGTGAAAATTCCCATTCTAAAGGTTCTTGACGAGTATCTGAAGTATAGCACAAGGCTCAGTGAAGCGAAAACAAATGTTTATTTCATAAAGTAGTGCATCGAAA